TTAGTTTTATTCAAAAGGTATCAGGGAGGGCAAAATAGAATATAGAAATATAAATAAATATATTTTCTTGTGGGAAAATGAAGCAATTTGCACCCACAGCAATAATAATTATGTAATTTATTAGCTATTGATTATTAAAGCTTTTTTTCTGTAGAGCTTGAAACATGCTGGCAAAAAACCTCATGTTTAAGCATTCCTTTAACTTCATGTACAAATGAATCAACATTTCATATCCTAATTTTGTTGATTCTTAGATAGTTGTAGGGTCTTTGATGTGGACTAACATTGAATTATTTGTTTTAAAAAATCTTAGATGCGTCTTATGGTTACCTCCCTTTGACCAGATACTTGCATGAAAGGGAAATAAGTCTGCCATTCTTAACACAAACTTCTGTAAACATTAATTTAACAGTTCTATGATCTTCTTTATGATTGAGTTGATTGTGGACCAAACAAGATTGAATGTTCTGTTTACTTATTTAAGGAATGTATGTTTGGTTTGTGGTTTAATTATTAAATTGACAAATCAGGAGTTTACCTTATTTAAACAGAAGTCCAATCAATTTTAGAATTATTTAAATTCTTGTTTGAAATTTAAAGATTTTATCTATGGTAGATTTTGCCAATAAAAATGTGCATTATTTCAATACTAGTGTTTGTTGAAATCTGACATTCCATCTAATTCAATATAATAAAAAGTGTATTATTTCAATACTAGTGTTTGTTGAATCTGACATTCCATCTAATTCAATATACCGGTAATAGAAATGTCAACTAATAGTTATGGCTGTTTGTACCTATTAGATTCTAATTTTATCTCGTATATGAGTGTAAAATATTTGTTGCATTCTAAAGGTATTGATCCATTAAATCTGTTGATGGGTTTGTATAAGACTGTTTAGAAAAATGCTGATGACACAAAATCACCCTATTTCAGCAACAAGGTTCATAGTGGCCAAAACTAAAATTAAGGTTTGTTGCAATAGACAGGCCAGCTCCAAATATTATATTGGTTACATTCTACAAATACTTTACTTTTAAATATATAACCATGAAATGGTTAAAACATATTTAATGCTTACATAGAGATGACTTCATTATACCCCTCTTTACATTGACATAGATATAAGAATATCAGATATTTGTTGTAATTTCCTTTTACTCAAAAGCAGGAGTGATAGCTCTTAGTGCATATTGTTTAGATATGAATACTTTCTTCAGGTTTTTTGTCGGCCACATATGATACCGTTTCATATGCTTTTGACGGATCAGTCGCATATTATACTTGGCCAGCCTTGTTGACTTGCTATCACCATATATTACCCAGTATACTGAGTCACATATACTTGGCCACCCTTAGAGCCTTACACTACATATCATACTGTGTCATCAAACATGTATCTGTCTACACAGACTCTACAGTGCACTCCCTTAATATACTTAGTGTAAGGCATATAAACTTGATACTTGCTTCACTCCTATCATACAATGCTAGATAGCACATGTACAATTGAATGTATTTATATCAAACATAATTATTCAAATTATTTTTTTTTCTTTAGTTACTCTCCACTTTTACAAAACTTAAAATCCGGATACCCAATTCCTGACCTATGCATTCTTGTTATCATTATGAAAAGATAACTTTTTCAGTAATCAGATTTAAAACATGATGAAGGCCGCCTCTGGGTGCAGGATTTTCTAGCTACATCAAATACCCATTGGTTGCTTTGTGCTGTTTTTTTCTATTTGGTCGAGTTGTTGTCTCTGTGACACATTCTTTGTTTCCATCCTCAATTCTATTGGCTTTACTTTAAAGATTTTGCATTATAAAATTCTAAAAGAGTGAGTTGATTATGTATTCTTGGTGATAATAGAAGATAGATATGACTTCCTGTGTTATTATAGAACTATATCAATTATCATAAATCCTCACATGATTGATTATATCTTATGTAACGGAAATTATAAAAAACTCATCTTAAATGTAGTTTTTGTTGATAATGCACTTTGTATTAGAAATCAGTAGAAACTCTGTTAAAATTCACTACTTCCATTAAGCTCTTCTTACATTTTTATTTCTCATATGGCTACAAATTTCTTATAATTGTTTTGAAAAATTGCTTTGTTATTGTAATAGCAAATATCAGTACTTTCTTGAAGTAGAACAGTTTTTAGCATTATAAACTAGAAAACCCAAGTAATCTTTGTCTTTTCTTTGCCAGAAATTGGCCCAACATTATAATATATTGTCACAGGGCTAATATATATAAAAGCAATTTCTATAACACTCAGTAAAAACTCATAAAAAATTAGGAAACAAAACATGACATTTAAAATCAAAGTTTTTTATTCAAACCCTATACAGAGAATCAAGAGGCATTTTTCTCCTAAATGGCTTGTCAGTTTAGAAGAACTGATTAAAAATAGATTTAAATTGTTAGGTTTCTGCCGTTGCATTCATTTCAAGTGTTCTTATTCTGCCTTGCTGACTTGCAAATGGCAAGCAGCTATCCATATGCTAATGATCAATCATAATATTTAATCCAATGGCTTTTGAGATACTATTGATGATTAGTTATAATTGTTTTGGTTCAATCATTTTTTTTCTCCACCAATGGGCGGGCATTAGGGACATACTGTTGTTCATAAAAAAAATAATCTCTTGTGTTCAATAAATAACCTTGAATAAATCATACAATTATGAATTGTTGCTAATTTGGCTAATAAACATAAATCAAGATCAGAATTGGCATTTCAAATGTGTTTCAGAGTTATGGCCCTTGATAATGCAGTAAATAACAAAATTTGAAATTGACTTGAGTATGCTTCAACAAAATATTTCAAAATCTTAAAACATTGCTCCCTAAGAATCTTCTATAATACAATTCTTCCTAAGAGATAGCCTTTTGTTATCTTGTGAATAAATTTCCCAGAGACTATCAGAGATCTGTCATCAACACCAAATTCCATAAAAGGACAAAAACATTATGATACAACTACCCAGTAAACAAAAGTATTGTTTTTATAATACCATTTGTACCTTCTTAAAACTTTTGAAGGATACCTATCTAATTCTTGAAAGTGTTTTTTAAAAGATCAGATTCATGTTAGAGGCATTTAGCAAGTAATAATCTTGTTTTTCATAGGATTTTAAGTTCAATTTATACAGAAGCTTTGTATTTACTTCTGTTTACTGAGTTCAGAATGAATTATTGCTTGAGTTTTAGATGGAGACACATTTTATTTTGGTTGAGTTGTCTTAGAACTTTGAAAAAAATAAAGAAATGAAACATTATAGTGCATGTATACACTGGTTCTACTAAATATATAACTCTGAAGCCTGAACCATCTGCTGTGCTTTTATCTAACTATTTGTATGGTTGCATGTACATGTACATGTATTTATTTGCATAAAAAAAAATGTTCAAAACTTAATATAGAATACTTTACATAATACAAGATCACATATACAAGAAAACAATCTAGAATGTGCAACAATAATTGATTGATAAGTGGTAATAGGTAAAAATATAGGTTATGAATCAAAGGAGATGTGAGGTATAAAAAAACAGATACAGTTAAACCAAAAAAAAACATTTAGAGGTCAATATATAGACAAACAACAGACAAGTGTCAAAACCTTACCAAACTCGCAGTTTTTAAAGAAGATGACAACTTTGGTTTTTAGCTTTAATGGTCCAAAGGGCCACAGTGTAAGTTATTGCAATGACTTTGTGTAATTGGTCTGTCATCATGCTATAGGCACCGTGGTCAGTTTCTTATCTTTTCACAAAAATCTTCTTTTCTAGAACCACTGAACCAATAGTCCATTTAACAATTACCAACTTTGTTTCCAATTAGATAAAATTTTGCAAAAGGAAATAACACCTGGATAGGACAAACTGTATCCCTGCCTATACTAAGCAATTAGTTTTTAGTAAAAAGTAAACTATGAATATTGTTGCAGATGACATACTTTTGACCTAGTTATGCCCCTTGGACTTCAAAAAAGGTCATTGAAATAAAAGTTATCCTCAAATTCTCTGTTTTCAGCCTTTTGTTGCAGATATTTTGCCTGTCTAGATTTTTTCTTTTTGGTTTTTTTTACGAAAAGGTGAGTCTGCAATTGTCGGATTTAAATCCTTGCTAAAAAACATGTAAAATTCAAATAAGTTATGATGCAATGTTTAAGGAAGAATGTCCACTGAAAATCAACTGTGATTGGCAATGCTCTGTCCATTTTTTCCTGCATGATTTTCCAAAAATATAATATTTCAATGTAGGGAGCAAGTGGCTAAAAATGACATTTAATAGCCTGCATATAAAATTTCCACAATATTATTGAATGAATACATCCAAATGAACAATACTAGATTTGATATGGGGTAACCCCCTGCTCAAACTGGAGGGGATAAAGCTAAAATACAAAAATGGCAGACCAGGATGCAACAGGGTTGCTGTTACTGTTTATCCCCATTTAAATGTTTTAACTTCCACTCGGTGGATTATTCATTGTATGTATGTGATTTTGTATTTAAAAAATCATGAAAGGTTCCAGGCTTGTAATTTAGTTTGCAGGACAAAAAGGCATTACTTTTATTTTATACATGTTTTGTATAAAGCCTGTATGCAAAATGCAATTGCATATATATATTTATAAAAAATGGTGAACTCAAAGCTAGGTACAACAATAATGAATGTAGTTTAATAAATAGGAAAGGAAGTCATTAATATTACTTTGCCCTAATGGTGTACATGTAAGATTTCAAAAGATTAATGTACTTTATCAAAAGCTAATTTTAACAATATTATAGGTTTTTGTTTACAAATAAGTTTTTGTAGATCTGAAATAAATGTTCACTCATGCTTATCAATTTATGAAAGAAGTAGATTTGATCCAATGAGGCTAAAAGATCAGTAAAGTTCGTGAGTCAAAGTTTAAAGTTGAACCAATGGTAGTTCTTATTTGTTAAGTGCTCTCTCACGCACACAATACAGTATGTATACATTAGATATAGTGGCCCATTTATATTGTCTGTTTCTTACCTGGCCAAGTGCAATTCACCTGAGCGAGATGAATCATACTGGCTAACACTCAAATAACGATTTTAAAGCTTTAATTTAGGAAAGATATCTGTCATTGAGGAAAAAACTGGCTGCACATAGAAATGTTGAATGTGAACAATTTATGAAATTTGGATCTAACAATACAATGTCCGTACTGGGAGAATCACACTTTGGATATAGTGAATTTAGAACTGGATTTTTTTCCTCTGGTATACCTTCTGGTGGTAGTAGCCTACCATTTGGGTCAGGGCTAGGGTATACTAGTTTAGCGGGACCACCAGTCCCGTCTGTGCCACTATGGAGGCCTACTCCTTCATTACCTATACCACAGTACTGTATGGACATAAGATGTCCCTGTAATTTATCAAGGAGTTTTGGGACTAATGTTTTGGACTATGTGCCATCATTTTTGCCTCCATGGTATTTAAAGCTAGCAGGTAAGTTTTGATGGTTAAATATTAAAAATTATTTTAATTTTTGTTTACATAAATTATTTTGACATTAGATAATAAAGATTTGATATCATAGTTAATTGAAATAAAAAATTTTCTCTTTAAGATTTTTGAAATTCTTGTATGTTACAGTACCTGTAATTAATAAGTTATTGACTGATAGGTAGACCACACATCAAAGACGTGCAATACAGCTGTTGTGCATTTTTGCAATGCAGTCAATAATATCAAACTCGACATTTTCTTCTTCGTTAGGTTTTTGGAATGCTGCTACCAGTATATTAGTTTTTATCTAAAATACACTGAAGTATGCACATTGACTACATTTTTGTATGTACTTGCAAATACTTCTTGTACTCTGAGATGAAATTTTACTTGCATGTCTTTTTGCATCTGCATGTCTCCACAGTGTTGATGGAACCTTGTGGGTTGAAAGACAAAAATTAATATAATTACTCATTGAAAATTGATATGATGTTGGTTCATTTGTATTGTTTTTAGTTCACAAATTGTGTAAAGTAAGGTCATGGTAGAATTAAAGATCTATTTATGAAGAAGGGCAATCTTCCAAAGGGAAACTTTTTTGAATTGCCATAAATGAGCTTGTTTCAAGTTATATGTATTATCTTCATTTATAATATATGCACATATACATGAAATTACTAACAACAGCGAAATGAAATGAACGCATTGAGTTTAATCTTAATTTAGTGTCTTGTCTCATATTCAGTCTGAGTCATTTTAAGCTTGTGGTAAAACTTTAAACTCTGTACTTTTACTAACAATGGATGTACTGTGATAGCAAATATAGGCCTTGGAAAATCCCTTAGGAATGGTTTTATTACTTATATTTCTACATAAATAGGCACTTATATGTTAGTTATAAAGTAAATAAAGCAATATTAATATATTATGAAATATTATAAGCCCAAAGTATACACTCCTGCCATTACTGAGGTTTTTCAGATAAAATTAACTTTCTGGTTCTATATTTCTCCTTTAATAAGCCTTTTCTGAAAAAAAAGCCTACTCAACATTTTTAGTAGAAGTATAATTGCAATCAGTAATTTCCAATTAAACAAAACATATATGGACAATTTATTAACTTTTCACATGTTAGTGGACAGTTTTCAACTTTGTACATGTTTTCTTGATTTCAATTAAAGAAGTCCAAGAAGGGCTTTATTTGGCCAGCAGTAAGTACAATATTTCAAGATTAAAAGTATTTCAAGTAGATGCATAAACATGGGAAAAATTGATTCAGAACAGAGCTTTTCTTATAAAGCATTGACATTTTCATGTTTCCATGTTTCATATCCTGTAAAAACCAATGACTATTTTCATTGAACCTGGTTAAAAATTGTGTATGTTAATTGTGACATCTAAGATTTTCCAAAAAATTTCTATTTCTTATGTAATCATTGTTAAATATACATAGAAAAGAAAAGAAATGGTGGATACATTGACACAAAATCAGTATGTGCACAGCAGTGCTAATGGAAATTGAATCTTACTTGAAATTTTTGCTAAAAATAGGGGCCATATTCATTATTGAGGCCTTGTCAACCTCTCCTTTTTGGTTAAATATTATAATATTAATTTTGGAAAAGTTAATGTGTTTTGAGACATAAAATGGATTTTTCATGCTGAATTTCTTCGCAGTCAAAAATAGTAAATCTAATCTTGTGAATTTATTTTGGACTACATAAATCTGATTTGCTGAGGCTGAATATTGCAATTTTTCTAAAGCATTCAAAGCCTCAGGCTAAAAGGCCAAAATTTGAATATTGTTTGTTTTTCAAAGGCCAACACTCTTGACTTGTATGTGAGAAGTTAAGTAGATAAATATTTCTATTAATTTATTTTAATGATGATGAGTTTAACAAAATTTTGCTAAATTTATTAAGGACCTTTTATTAAAGTGTTTAGAAGTAAGATAACACATTATCAAGGCTGTGAACATTTTAGAAAAGAAGATGTAAAAAATTTAGTTCTGTCGAAGTTTTGCAGTGTTGTTTTTCCCTGTAATAGCAGCAATTTTTCGATAAGAATGAGTTTAATATAACAATGAGCAGAAATAAATGCATTTCAATATTGTCGGGGGTTTCCTTTTTATGCCCCCACCGTAGCGGAGGGGGCAGTAAGGTTTACCCTTGTCCGTCTGTACGTCCGTACGTTCCAAAATTGGTTTCCGTTCTCTAACTTTAGTTTGCCTCAACCAAATGTTATGAAACTTATACACAATGCTTATTACCACAAAACACAGATCAAGTTTGAATTTTATTGGCATCCCTTTTACCGTTCTAGAGTTATGCCCTTTACAAATGGAAAAATTGCTGAATTTTCTTTTCTGTTTTCTAACTTTAATTTGCCTCAACTAAATGTTATGAAACTTATAAACAATGCTTATTGCCACAAAACTCAGATCAATTACAAATTTGGGTAGCGTCACTTTTACAGTTCTTGAGTTATGCCCCTTTATAACGTTATATGCAAGTGGGGGCATCATCTGTGTCCCATGGACACATTCCCCATTTATTTGTATAAAAGTCACTACATAAGATTAGAGCCAGTTTCTAGTAATACATTATCTTATTGAAGAAGTTGCATTTTGTTGACAGTGAAAATATATGTACATTGTACCATGTTTTAAAAATTTGAGTGTGAATATTTATTATCTGTACCTACCAATTAAAACAATACCTGTCATGATAATCCTGAAATAGCTCAGATTCCATCATTTCAGTGTGATATGCTGTGTCCAAAAATGGATACCTAAAACTCCACACTCCGGGAGGTCTCTGTAAATATTTATACTTTGTAAATACATGTATTTACAATTGAACTTTTGTGTGTTTTGAGGTTAACTGGATATTTCAAATGTCAGACAGTCCATTTTCAATCTAGTTCTCAAAAGAGATATGATGTTTTGAAAGAAAAATGATTTAATTAAGCAGAATAGTTTTGCTTACTGTTTGATGTTTCACAGTTGAAGACCATCTATTAGACAGTAACATTGCATTACTCCCTGAAGCTATATTACGCTTGACAGTTGTAGGAGGACATGCTTCCTGTCTATTTATAACATATCCCATCAACCATATTTTAATGTTATTAATTTGACTGTTAATTGTCCATAGAAAGGCAGTATTATAGCAGCTAGCTGAATATATTGTATTTTGAGGATGTACCTTTTGGTTAAATATTTAGTATGTATGTGTCAGTATCTTTTCTAAAGCAACACTTGACAGAAAATCCTCATAGAATTAGTATTTCCTATTCAGCTTTTGCAGAAAACAAATAAAAGTAGAGAAAAATATTTTGTGAAGTCAATAAAATGTAATCTTTTCCATTTACTCTTCCAGAGTACCTGAGATCACCACTGGTTTTAGGTTGAGTTAGTGCTCAATATTTAGGGTTACTGTTGTTTATCTTTTTTGGCCATGGTGTTGTCTGTTTTTCTTCAACTTTTGGTTTTTGGTTGTACCTTTTGATATCTTCTGTCTCTTTTCTCTATCTTTGAATTTTGTTCATCTGATGTCTAATTTGCCAAAGTTTAAAAATTTTACTTGATTTAATGAAGTTAATGAAAGTATGGATTAATAAACAGACAAATAAACAAATAAAGCTAATAATACACCTAAAATGGAAAGGTATGACTACTGGTGCAGAAGATATAGTGTTTAACCAAAACAGAAGTAATTTGAGGCTCCAATGATATAACTGTTAAATTATCAAAAGGAAATTAATATATTTAACTATAAATTGTTACAAATTCACACCAATGTTATATGTATTAAAGTGTTTGAAAAAGAAAAGTTTGAATATCAGGGTTTTGATTTTTTCCAACTTGAAAATATTGATGTGGTAAAAAGTCACCACAACAATATTTTCAAGTATTTGTGTGAATAAGACATTAATATAAAAAGAATTTATCTATAAATTTGTATAAATTCAAAATTGCATTAGATATAATTTCATTTATTTCCATTTTCATGATGGATAACTTGAATAAAATGTTGTAAGTTTATATGTTTCTTAAAGATTAAAATCTTAGCTCAAATTTAATGTGTTTTATCAGAATGTACATCAAATTTTAAACTTTATGAATTTCTGAGCATGAAAATTTTGAATTGTAATAAATAGAAATAGAATATTTATCATTATATATAAGATGTAAATCAGAATTAAGATGACATGTAGATTGTGCTGAAAATCGTGCAAGGGAGATAACACATTTATATTGCATTTATCACTTAAAATATGGAAATATCAACACAAAAAATCAAAACTTAAAACTCATATTTTAAGAAAAGTAAATTTTACAGATTTCAAGTATCATTAACTAGAAATAATTATAAATAATTCATAAATGAATTTACATAATTTTAAATTGTTATTGTATTTCCTGGTACAAATACATTAACTGATATATACATGTACAAGGTTGATGCAGACAACAATGTCACCTCCTGACCGTGTGAGACCCGCATGCAGAAAAAAAATTAACTTGTGTAATTTTAATTGTATTAATTTTAATCAACTTCTTTAATTTAAACCAGTATATTTGATTATAAAAATAAGAAGATGTGGTATGATTGCCAATGAGAAAACTCTCCACAATGAATAATTCTATCTTACTGTAAATTCATCATCATCATGTTTGCAAGTTAATTCAATTAACCAATTAATACAGATGAGAAAAATAAGTTCCTGATCCTAAATTTTGGATAAGTAGCTAAATAATGAGGATTGAGATAGATCTGTTGTACCACATCATTAAATTGACCATTGACTATTAGTTAACACTGGCAAAGGAAGCGTCTTTCAGATTTAAGATAGATTTGGAAGTTGTCATAAAGTTATGGAAATTTGAATTAAACTGCATTTTTTTGCATCCTTTATCAAGCAAAACATGGCAAGTATCTTCATCATAATATTTGAATGAAATGTTATAAGGCTTTTTTTCTGAATAATGCAGGAATTTGCTCTTCACAGCTTTTACTGCTGCATAGATGTACTTTTATATATGCATTTGTACACAAAGACATTCAAAGAAAATTAATGTGTGTCAATACACAATGCATTGAAATTCAATTGACCCTATGCCAAACAAACACCAGTTTTCAATTCTGAATTCAAATTTCAAGTAATAACCATGTTCACACGGCTCTATCTCGTGCATTTGAAAAAAATCTTTCAGTGATTATATCCCTGAAGTCTCATACAAATAGTGAACACAGCCCCTCTCATCAAAAACTCATTGTTACTGTCCACAATAAAGTTGCTAGCCAACCATTTTATGTCCAGGACAAAGACGTTGTTGTATGTTTAAGTTGTGTGAAAGAGGGCCTTTCATGAATTTGATGTTTATTTGTATGACAGGTCACCTTAATTCTGTTTGTATTTAAATTTTGTAGCAGAAAATAGGTTTAAATTCATTCATCATTTCGTTAAATCGTGGGACGCTGATGTTATTCTTGTATTCATTTGTTTGTTCAGATTTTACTTACCTGCATTTATGGTTTCAGATTCATATCTTAGATTCTAAAACTCGGTCGACCGGAATTCCGAAAGACTTCAGTGTATTGTAAAGGGATATTTCATTAAAAATTAGTTTCAATAAAATGAGAAAAGTAAACATATAAGGTGTCAAGGAATGTATTCGTCTCAATACTTGAGAAAGGTCCCATTGAATAAAAATGTGTAAAGAAATATCACAATAGTATATTAAATTTATGATAAGTTATTACTTCTTCCTACAATTTCACAGTATCAAGAGTATAATAAATCCAAGATATATGATATGGTAGATACTATTCAATGAAAAGACTTGTATTTCTTACCTCTATGAAGATAGATCTGCTGATGGGGTTATTACTTTCAGCAAGAAAGACCTGTATTGTGGGTTTAAAGGGGAAGCTGTCATTATTTAGTGCCTATATTCAGGTCTAAATTCAGGTCTAATTCTGGCCACTATAATGTAAATGTCAAATTTTAAGGAACAAAAAGTAACATTATCATACTTGCTGAAATTGTTATGCAAAAAGTCGTCTTGATCCTTGATGTTTTGGGTTTTTATTCATTGTATAACTTCATTTGACACATAAAGTTTTAGTACTAATGTTATATTTTTTGCAACTGAATAGTGCAAATATGGCAATTTTGTATGAAGAACCAATATCATTTTGGTAAAAGGGAATGATTATGTTCACTAGAGTAACTATACAGCAATCAAACAATCACTTCTACATCATGAATATAGCTGTCTGTACTATTTTAAGACATTTTTTGTTCTACATCTCTGGTTGACAGGTGTCTGCATGTTTGGAATACATCTTTCAGTTTGTGTGGTCGGCATATATATCAAACAGAATGGGTCATTGTAAAATATTGTATGTTTGTGTTTTGATAGATCAGTTTTATTATAATTTCTTAATTAACATTTTATATGAAAAATATTCTCCTTCACTACAGTTTTGATTTAAAAAGGAAGTATCGTCCTTAAAACAGGGAATTATTTGAATCTGGAATAATTTTGAATTTATGCATAATTGATAAGAAATGTACAATGAAAACTACTTGGATTAGCCATGCATGCATGGCTAAGGTTCATTTTACTTTTACTGATATTTCAGTATGAACTTACAAACTTGCTAATCCTCCTAAATTGGTAGAGTTTTCATTATAAATTTCTGATCAATTTTCAGAATTCATAATTATTCCATTTAAAATAATTCCTTGTTTTAATAAGGTTGTTCTCCTTTTACATCACAGATAAAAAGGAATGGGGTATACTAGTTTAAATCATCTTTTTCCCCTCTAACTGTGCTGGTGGTCTGTCAGTAATACCTTTCATTTACATTTTATTCAGCAGCTACAAGTCATAGCTTCCTTGCTATACAGGCGCGGATTCAGACAGGGGTGCCCCCCTAAAAAAAATCAAAATGTAATTTTTAAGTCAAATTACAGCCGTTTTTTTGTCAAAATACAAAAATGTATGGTCCTATAACTCCTAATTCTCAAATCCTGAATCCGTCCCTGATATATGGCACCAAGCTTCATCTGTTTATGCCATAATGTGTGACACATTTGTAGTTCCTTCATCTGTTTATGCCATAATGTGTGACACATTTGTAGTTCCTTCATCTGTTTTTGTCATAATGTGTGACACATTTGTAGTTCCTTCATCTGTTTATGCCATAATGTGTGACACATTTGTAGTTCCTTCATCTGTTTATGTCATAATGTGTGACACATTTGTAGTTCCTTCATCTGTTTATGCCATAATGTGTGACACATTTGTAGTTCCTTCATCTGTTCATGCCATAATTTGTGACACATTTGTAGTTCCTTCATCTGTTTATGCCATAATGTGTAACACATTTGTAGTTCCTTCATCTGTTTATGCCATAATGTGTGACACATTTGTAGTTCCTTCGCTGTTCTTCTTTCTAAACACTTTTATCTTGATAGCAGGTATAATTAGTGTGAAATAGCTCACAGTACTACTTGTTCCTATATGTATTGCAAATTAAATGCTAGGTATAATATGCCAAAGATATTAGACTCTGATCTATTATTTCTTTCTCCTTTCAGGTGACCATTTATTATACAAAGGACAGACCTCCTTACATGATTCACAGGAATCACCTAGTAAAGAACTTCCAACAAAGATTCAGAAACAGGAAAGATTGAAGGACAGACAGGGATTGCCACAGACACTTAACTTTGATAAGGAACGGGAGTCCAAGTTTTTATCAAAGAGTCGATGTACAGGAACACAGACGTAAGATTTAAAAACTTGATACAGTCTTTAAAAAAATACAAACAGATTCTACTACTGAATCAGGTGGAGAAAATGGTATCTAATGTGATATCCAATGTCCAATAGAAATTAGTTTTGTTTTGCTTTTTAAATGATATTCTGTTGAACTGTGACATTTTGTTTTATTAAAAATCTGCTCTATTATACTCAGATTCTTCATGACTTTACAAGGCATAGTACTTCAAATGAAAAGAAAGAGCAAGCAAATCATATTTATTATCTAAAAAACAAACAATGGTCCTTGGAAGGTATAAATCTGCAAAGAAATGGTTATTTTCAAAAAGAATCACTATATATATTTAAACATGAAGCACAAAGTGTTTATAAAAATATTAAAGCAATTTCTTAATACAGGGAACCTTTTGTCATTGTCCACTTCATTCTGCCTTCCGGTCAATTCATAATCTTGTCTGGAGCGCAGTACCTGTACTGAGGGTTATAAATGTAATTAAACAAATAAGGACAATTGTTGAAGCGATTAAAGTACTCTGGTGAACGGTCAGTAACATATCTGTTTGATCTGCCTGCGGACACTGTGACAAACATTTGTTTGCATTCAAAAACTTTTGTGGTTACCTTTTAAATGTAAATCATATCCAGTGGCATAAGTTTTAAAGGAGCTTAAAATGTGAAAAGTTTGTAACTATTAACAGAAGGATATACATCTTTAATTTTTAAGATTTAAAATCAACCTATATATTTACCAGAAAAACAGATTTAATTACAATAGTTTTCATAAAAAGAATATGTCACTAATTTATCAATCGATGGACTACTGACCTAAAATTAAAAAAAATAATTGTAAAATGGATTTCCTAAAATATAAATATGCAATGTTTAAGAACTGAGTTGAAGAACATAATCTTAATTAGTATTGATTAGTTTATTCTGGGTGGAGCTGTTTTCATGATATATATTGCACCAAGGCAGTTGTATAACAATTCGTAATAACATTGATGTTCCAACATAGAATGCCAAGTATTCCTATCATTTCTGTGAACAGACATGTTACATGTACTTGGTTGTCAGCAGAATGCATTGTTATCAGTGGTGATACCAAACAAAATATCCGCTGGCAAAGATATAATTTAAAACTATTCCTTGAATGTCAGGAAATCTTATACATTCTTTTCAAATTACCATTTTGATTGAAATAAGTTGAATTTACAACCCATTAGTAATTGTTAATTCTTTCAGGTTATAATAAGAACTGGCTCATTGTAGAAAACCAATGTTTCTAAATGCATATATATGTCTTTTTTGACCAAAATATGTATGTAACACTTCCAAAACATCTTTAATTACTGTACATATCTGTGTTACTGACAGACAGGTAATCAAACACCTGTAAAATTCTTGAACTAGCTGTTCCCGTATTTTACATTTGCACAAGTTGTCTCCCTTTTAGAAAAATATATCTTGTAAATGTTGAAAATAGGAAAATCATATATTTATAAACACATATTATGTATATAAAGTGCCTAGAAAATCATGTCAGAGTAGATCTGATTCTTTACTTCCTCCCCGATCAGGGCTGGAACCTGTACTTCTCACTTCTCACTTCTACGACAACACCGCCTAGCATTAGGCAGACACATTATCCCCTCCTCTAACTATAGCTATATAAGGCTACAGAATGATTTTTAAGCACAGTGGACATATTTATAAAAAAAAATTATGCAGTGTAAGTGGACTACAAGATGGGGATGTTAATTGCATATGGTTTGATGGTTTAACTCAAATAGATGTTTAATAGAATATTTAATGAAAAATCAATCTAAAAACAATCTACATCATCTTTTAAAGATGCAGGGATTAACTTTCTGAAATAACTGGTAAATAGCAACTAAAAGACACAAATGACCAAACACTTGCTATTTACTTATTGAGGTCCCCTCTAAAGCATATCTTTGCATTGAACTTCTTTCTACTTTGGAGATAATTGTTGGCTTACTGTCTCATTGACAATGTATGCTGACATTTTTTTTTATATTCTTCATGCTGAAAGTAACAAAGTATTTAGATATTATGCATTAAATAGCATAGACAGAAGTACGTCAGTGGTTGCCAAATCATGTAATTATTGTCTGTTTATATAGACCTACATATATTGTAAAGAGTACATAAACATCGGCTTCATGTAGATGCAACACTCTATACTATGAGTCATGGCTGTACCGACAGCCTGTAATCGCTGTGTGAAGTAATAATATTACATAATACCATCTTGTTTGATCTATTTTAGTTCAATTTTAATTAAACCTAAGAAAAGTGAAAGTAATGTCAACTTGGAGTTGAACACTTTTAGACCTGACCACCACACAAACAAGAATACAAACCACTGCCTTTTTTATTTCAATTAGGGAAATCTAATCTGAAAATATTAAATGTTATTTTTTTGCTAAACCAAAGCTTTTTACATAATTTTGGTTAACCACTCATGATATATAACTCTTTCTTTTTTCAATATTTCAATTCAAATTTATAAAGGTAGATAAATGCAGAAAGATGTTTACTTAGATTTACGGGTACATGTATATCAATTATATTCAGATCTTTCATAATTTAAAATATTGCTCATCAATCTCCAACTTGGCACAACTTAAAATTGTATACAATTTTTAAATAAGTAAAAAAATTTAAAACCACAAATAGTGTAATATTTGGTATTTGTTGCCAAAATTCTTCATCTTTTACTACCTGTATGAATGGGAACCGATTTCTTGGAGATTTGCCATACCAATAAACAAGTGGGCGTCTCTTCACACACACGAAATCCATTCAGCTAAAACATAAATTATGACAAAAAAGTAAATGACTCATTAAAGTTTATTGCACCGCTATGTAAAAATATGTAAAAAATAGTAAGTTTTAATCTAGTAATTATATGATACCCTATCTTTAGATATCAGTATCATTAATGATTATCTTAACATGATCTTAAAGTAGCAAGTATGTGTTCCTAGAGATATACCTATATCTATTAATTATTTCTATTTCTGTCATCATTCCAGTTCAAAAATCGTGAAACATTAGCATGATCTTAATGCTAGCAAAAAGGTATTATGAAGACTTCAGCATGCTGTTTTCTTCATATTTCATTTGTTTTGGTAGTTTTATAAACCCTAGATGGTACAATAGTCTTTTATTTTATGTCTTTGTGTTCTTAATTCAAACATTTTGCCAGAGTTTCTAAAAAATACAACTTGTGTAATTTTTGTAACCAAATGAGAAAAGATGTTTGAAGAAATACCTTTAAAAGATTGAGAGGGTTGAGATCTCAAAACTAGTTTTACTCGGCCACATGTTCATGAGCTTGTCCCAAGTCAAGAACCTTCTCAGTGTTGTCTTAAGGTGGGTCAATACAATACAATTTTCCATCCGATTTTTTACCTATCATGTCGTTTTGAAAAATTCTCACTGTGTGAACACTAAAATTGGATGTTGTGTGGTTAATTGAATGGAAAATCGTATCCTGTGAACAGAACAATGTATGATTTTCCTGGGCAACAGTATCAAATCAGATTGAAAATTGGATGGAAAATCATACCGTGTAAAAGCACCTTTATGTTACTGTCTTATGTTACCGTTATTTTTTTAAATTTTTTTGTTATTTGGAGAATTTGGTATTAATGGCAGATCTTTTATTTATCTCTGACTAACTTTTTTCAAAATGTTTATAGACTCAGGACGATTTAGAAGTTGACATATTATTTGTGTCTACAATGTATTGTTGAAGACTGTATGTTGCCCTCTTGATGTCTTTTGGTTATTTTTGTGGTTGGGTTGCTGTCACATCTCCTTTTATTCATATCTTATCTAGTGGGAACATCAAATATATCTGATTTGCATTCTACATATTTGTGTTATTATTTCTTAAGTTTCAAATGTTTTTGTTTTATTTTTCAGACAAATTTCAAATGTGGACCCAGAGTTACCATTATATTTAAATGGATCAAGATCAGACCAACTGACAGTTGACCAGTATGCTGCTGCTCACCAAGCTATGCTTATACAAGCCAATCAGTTGATGCGAGAACGAGGCTCACCTCCAAGATATTCAAGCTTAGATTCTCATGACACTCCATTAAACTTATCATTATCAAATTCAACTTTAGCATCACAGAATTCCTCATATTCCACACATGTTCCAAGACCATCTGTTATTACATGTGCACCAACAGTAGTAGATAGAGGGCAGCAAAGTCTGTCTCCATCGATTTCACCTCAGTCTCTTCCAAGTCCCAGTAGGAGGGAAGTTAGAACAGGTATTTGCATTATGTCATTAGTTACCGAGAGTGGAAAGGTCAAATGGTGTGAGCCTATAAAAATAAGAAGTTGTGGTATGATTGCCAATGAGACAACCCTCTACCAGAGACCAAATGACATAGAAGTTAACAGCTATGGTTCACCATATACAGCTTTCAACAATGACTGTCGAATTCATAACTTCCTTGTAAATTGCATCTTCATATGGAGTACCAGTTTCTTTCAGGGGAGATTTGGTTAGATTGGGTGGTATTAATTTTTTGTGATGTCGGTAGTAGGTTCTTTCATTTTCATAGTTCTGACACTGCTCAAGGTAGATTATTCTTAAGATTTACAGGTGTGAAGATTCATTTTAATTATCTTATCTATGAAGATATTCTCTGTTTCCTAAATGGACAAAATTGTGACATTAAATAAATAAAACACTTACAAATATTAGTTGGACTGTACTGTAAAGAGTAAAGATAACTTAAAGTTTGCATTATATTCAAAGCCTAAGTCAAATATTAAACACAAAGATTAAACAGAACATTCAGGTTACCTGGACAAGTAAGATTTAGATCCCCAAAAGATGGCATGATTTATGAACAATGTGTGTATTATATAAACTAATGGTTAAAATCAGTTTCACATATAATCACATATTGTAATCTTCTACATATTGCATAGAAGACTAATGCAGCCAGCTTTTGGATAGCTTGTTTCACCCTATAAATATTACAGATAGTTAAAAAATCAGTCAGTGACCTACTTTTGCCTTTTTGTTTCACTTCATTTTATTTAGAATTTTGGTTGTGTTTTCATTCAAGAAAACTTACCGGTAGGTCTTCTTTGCATTGAAGATAACTAAGAAAATAACATTGTATACCTCCCTGATTTTGTTTCCCAAGTTTTATTTTGTTTTATTCTGTAAGGCTAACTATGTAACAGTTAAAAGACTGCAATATTGTGTCCCTATTTAACTTAGCCTTTAAAACCTACGATAGGATATATCTGTGAATGAGGTACTGAAATATTGTCAACAAAGATAAACCCAATGGTGTCAAGTAGTAACTATGATAGTGTGAAACAATATGACAATGTTACTTAATCTAATCTGCCAAAAGAAGACTAATTGATGGTTCCATCCAAGGTTATACTCTTTACCTTTTGAATTACTGTAAAATTTACCAGTAAAAATCGATCATTTTAAACTGTAACAGATACTACGATTGGTACGGGTGTATGATCAAAGCGCAACAGTTGAAGTCTGGTACCGACAATTTATTTTGATCAAGGGGTACAATGGTATAAAGATAACATCAATAGCTAAATTTAAATTGATTTAGTATCTTTTTAAGTGATAAATTGTATACTTGTAAGGATTGTACCCTGAACTGATATCTTATTTCTGGCTGTAAACAGTATTAAAATGTTTTAGATTAGTAACATAGTATTATTAAGGTATTTAGCTTGAGTAGAAAACACTCAGGTCACCTAAAGATGTGTCTACAGAACAAAGTCAACTATAGCTTCTTTTATTGAAATTCATTATACCGCATTTTTTTAAGTTGATTACCACGTAAATTTTGCTCAAGGTAGAATTTTTTTTTTTCTCTTTCCTTTTTTAATCAGGTCTACATATTGTTCAAGCTAGTTGAATTGTTCTCTCTTTCTTTTTATTCAATTAGTCATAATACTGTTTTCATTATTATATGGGCAGAATATTTAAATGTAAGAGACTTGATTAAAACAAGAATACAACTGTCCTGTAGAGCTATCAAAGTGTCCTCATTTAAGTCATCAGATAATTCAAGGGATGGTAAAACATCAAGTTTAGATGTTCTACAAATCTTTACAAAAGAAATTTATATAAAAAGGATGTAATTCTGGTCAGTTTGCAAGTAATGTAAATATGTTTCTCATATCGTTTTCCTGCGTTTGACTCAAAGAGTTGATCAACAATAGTTAACATTGCATGATTTTAAATGTTAAATAAACAAACATAAAAAAAAAGTTCCAATCTGCACACTGTCAACAGTTAAGAATTTAGGTTCACTAAGTTAGGTATATAAAAAAGCTATATCATTGCTTTAACTATGAATGTCATGTTTCTAATTATTGAAAATTACAGATATTGCATTGACTAATTAAAATAATTTCAAATTACAAACAGAAGCTAATTGGACACAGAATATATTTATATTGTCAAAACTAGTTATAATTGCCTCTAACATGATAATGAGGTATAATTGAAAATTTGGGCTTTAAAGTCCCCACGTGGTCATGCATCCTTGCCTTCCATTCTTTGCACTTTTTGACATATTTATCTTGAAGACAAATCTCCAATTGGAGACAAGTCTTACATTTTATTATGAAAAACTTATTTTTAATTCATGAAATGAAAAGCTGCTATTAAATCAACAAAAAGGGTAGTACTTATCATATTATAGGCTACAGCTTTGTGGCAGATAGCGCCATCCGTCTGTCTGTGGTCCAACTAATGACCATAATTTTCCAAATAAAAACAGTTACAAAGAAAGGCAACTAGTGCCTAACAACCATATAATTTGTGGTCCTCACAGGAGTTGAAGTAGGATTAGAGTGTTTGAAATGTTGATTTTTCTGAATCAGTGCTCTTGTTTAGGTGATTTGACAGTCTTTAATCTTTTAATAAATTGCTTCACTTCATAGGATGCTGTAACATTGCTATATTTAATAGATTTATTGTGAAGGTGTCATTGATAGATAAGGTTTGAACAAAATAAAAAAAGTTGAAAGTTTCTGCTCAGCTCAGGTCCTAAGTGAAGAATATTTTTGCAGTGTTTGATATAAGTTATCTCTCTTTTTAAAAAGTTTCTGCTCAGCTCAGGTCCTATGTGAAGAATATTTTTCAGTGTTTGCTTTAATTTATCTCTCGTTTTAATCTTTTGCAGAATTTGGTGTTGATAACAGATCTATGATATTCAATCTTCAATTTATTCACAACTTTTCTAGACATGGGGAAATTTTTTAAAATCTTGTTGCGTTGTGTAGATAATAGTCTTTTTTTGAAGACGGTTTATTGACCTGTAGATATCGTTATCCCTGCTCCAACTGGTAGAGGTATACAGGTTTACCGCTGTCCTACCATCGATCCATTTGAAACACATTTTTTCATATTTTTCATATATTATTTCATTTTTTCAATCAAATACAAATCGGACCTTCTTGATATTTGGTTCCAAGCTTCGAATTGGTACGTGACACATCAGACAACCAACTTTGATAAGGTTATATAATATTTGAAATAAAAGGAATGAAAATAAAAGCATTCATCATAGCTAAGTGGCATTTGGTGCAAATGTTACTCTTTGTACTTTATTGCAAAAGCTAAAATTTTCTGCGTAATACATCTTGTCAAAACAAATTGTCACTTGATTCTCAAGTTATGTATCAGGTACTAATTCCCATTATACTTTCTGGATTATAGTCCAAATAACTGACATTAATGATTATTATTTATGTCATGAAAAAGATTAATAAATATGCTTTTTACAGATTTTTGTAATAGATCTACATTTTTATGTCAGTTTGAAACATGTATATATTACATAATATTAAGAAAAAATTCTGTACTCTGGCTTAAATTATTATAACATTTTATTTTGATAATTAATTAATGTACTATAAATTGTTGTTAGTCATATCAAAATATTTTCAACGGTTATGAAATTTATTTTTTTTGAAGGCGTTTTTTTCTTGAAATAAACCCAAGTCAATGTTGACATAGACTTAAGGTGTCACAATATTGACCTTGTACTGTCATATATTTAAAGTAGCTTACTTAATGCTACAATTACTTTAAAACAAAGTTAGTTGTACTGATTTACCCTTTAATAACTTTAAAATACTGCCTTTATTGGACCACAGCTTTTGTAAATAGTTGAAACCAAAGCATTTATGAAATTGTTTGGGTTTTAAATGGGTTTTTCTGTAATCGCTTGCAGTGCCTTAATGACTAGGCTAACATCCTCCCATTATTTAAATATTGATACAGTATAAATTTGCATTTATTGAAATAAATCGTATTTTTTAGAAATAGCAATTTTGTTGATGAAACTAATAAATAAATTAAAAAGTTCCATTATTCTACAAATAAAAAGAAACTAATGCATAATGGCTTGTTCATGTCTGATTAATTTTACATTAAGATTCTTTTGGTTTCTCGATCATTCTTAAATTTTATTTTAAGACTTTTTCAAAATAAGAATAATTATGTAGGTTTTTCACATGTAACAAGTGCAAAAGTAACAATTACATTGTATAATCTGCCTGTCAAATTATGATGTAAGCTTTGTGGGAAACCTCAATACACCACTGCAAACCACTTAATAGAAAACAAAATAATACTTTGAATAACATGCAATGATGTTACATAATAGATCATATAATACACCTAATTGTCATTGCATATACATTAGAAATTTTGCTGACATAAATCATTCTATTTTCCCCAGTTTAAATGCATTTGGCGAACGATATAAAAATACATATAGCCCCTTAATTTCTCCCTAATGGACTGACAGATGTTATAATAAGTCTTACTTCATAAAACAAGACAGATTTAAAACTTTTTAAAAACTAAGTAGACTGTATTGCTTCATTCATTTAAATTCAAATCATTATTTAATTTATGAACTATGTCACACCCAACATTTAACTACTGTAAAATCAAGATATAGAATTACATAGACAAACAAATTGGCCCTTGCAATTAAAAGAGTGCTTATTTGCATGTCAGTGAGCACAAAAATTTGTGAAGTTGAAAAATATAGAAACAAAAATTTCAAGACGTGAGACAACCACTTTGCTTGGACAGGCAAAATAATTATAGCAGGTTACTTGAGCATGTTTCAATGAATTTCAGCCTAAAACAGTAATTCTTAGTTTTTATACGACCGCAAAAAATGTTTTGTGGTCGTATATTGGTATGACGTTGGCGTCGTCGTCGTCGTCCGGCGTCGTCTGGCGTCGTCCGAAGACACATTGGTTTTCGCACTCTAACTTTAGTTTAAGTGAATGGATCTTTATGAAATTTTACCACAAGGTTCAATACCACAAAAGGAAGGTTGGGATTGATTTTGGGGGTTATGGTAATAACAGTAAAGGAATTAGGGGCCAAAAATAAGCATTTTTGTAACTTCCAGACATAACTTGTGTGTTAGTGTATGGATCTCTCTGACATTGTACCACAAGGTTCCATATCACTAAAGGAATGCTGGGATTGATTTTGGGGGTAATTGCCTCCAAATTTTAGGAATTAGGGGCCAAAAAAGGGGCAAAAAACAAGCATTTTTCTAGTTTCATGACAATAACTTGTGTGTAAGTGTATGGATCTTTCTGAAATTGTACTACAAGGTTCCATATCACAAAGGGAAAGCTGGGTTTGAGTTTGGGGGTAATTGCCCTAAACGTTTAGGAATTTGGGGCCAAAAAGGGGCCAAAAAACACATTTTTTTCTAGTTTCCAGACAATAACTTGTGTTCAAGTGTATGGATCTCTCTGAAATTGTACTGCAAGGTACCATACCACAAAGGGAAGGCTGGGATTGAGTTTGGGGGTGATGAATCATAATGGGGGTTCAAAAAATTTTGGGGGGGGGATTTATTTTTTTTTCCTTTTTTTTTCTTTTTTTCCTTTTTTGTTTCTTTTAAAATTTTCCATTTTAAGTTGGTTATTTCTGATTTATATTTAAAATCAAATAATAATGATATGGTAGGAGATACACACCAAACAGGATGTGTAAATTATTATATAATAAGTATTGTGCAATAGCAAGAAATTTTCAATTGCACAGTATTGCACAATAGCAAGAAATCTTCAATTGCACAGTATTGCGCAATAGCAAGAAATCTTCAATTGCACAGTATTGCGCAATAGCAAGAAATATCCAATAGCACAATATTGCGCAATAGCAAGAAATTGTCAATTGTACAGTATTGCGCAATAGCAAGAAATATTTAATAGCACAGGATTGTGCAAAAGAAGATACTTCCTATAAATTGCTTATTTCTTGACCAATTTCAATGGGGTTTTATTCTTGATTTCATGGGGTTCTTTAATATGCTGAATCTAACCGTGTATTTAGTTTTTGGATTTTGGGCCCCGTTTTTAAATTGGTCCACATTGAGGTCCAAAGGGTCCAAAATTAAACTTTGTTTGATTTCATCAAAAATTGAATTATTGGGGTTCTTTGATATGCCGAATCTAACTGTGTATTTAGATTCTTAAATTTAGGTTCCGTTTTCAAATTGGTCTACATTAAGGTCCAAAGGGTCCAAAATTAAACTTAGTTTGATTTTAACAAAAATTGAATTCTTAGGGTTCTTTGATATGCTGAATCTAAACATGTATTTAGATTTTTGATTATGGGCCCAGTTTTCAAGTTGGTCCAAATCGGGGTCCAAAATTAAAATTTGTTTGATTTCAACAAAAATTGAATACATGGGGTTCTTTGATATGCTGAATCAAACCATGTATTTAGATTTTTGATTTTTGGGCCCCGTTATCAACTTTGTCCACATTGAGGTCAAAAGGGTCCAAAATTAAACTTTGTTTGATTTCATCAAAAATTGAATTATTGGGGTTCTTTGATGTGCCGAATCTAACCGTGTATTTAGATTCTTAATTTTTGGTTCCGTTTTCAAATTGGTCTACATTAAGGTCCAAAGGGTCCAAAATTAAACTTAGTTTGATTTTAACAAAAATTGAATTCTTAGGGTTTTTTGATATGCTGAATCTAAACATGTATTTAGATTTTTGATTATGGGCCCAGTTTTCAAGTTGGTCCAAATCGGGGTCCAAAATTAAACTTTGTTTAATTTCAACAAAAATTGAATATATGGGGTTCTTTGATATGCTGAATCTAACCATGTATTTAGATTTTTGATTTTTGGGCCCCGTTATCAACTTTGTCCACATTGAAGTCAAAAGGGTCCAAAATTAAACTTTGTTTGATTTCATCAAAAATTGAATTATTGGGGTTCTTTGATATGCCGAATCTAACCGTTTATTTAGATTCTTAATTTTTGGTTCCGTTTTCAAATTGGTCTACATTAAGGTCCAAAGGGTCCAAAATTAAACTTAGTTTGATTTTAACAAAAATTGAATTCTTAGGGTTCTTTGATATGCTGAATCTAAACATGTATTTAGATTTTTGATTATGGGCCCAGATTTCAAGTTGGTCCAAATCGGGGTCCAAAATTAAACTTTGTTTAATTTCAACAAAAATTGAATATATGGGGTTCTTTGATATGCTGAATCTAACCATGTATTTAGATTTTTGATTTTTGGGCCCCGTTATCAACTTTGTCTACATTGAGGTCAAAAGGGTCCAAAATTAAACTTTGTTTGATTTCATCAAAAATTGAATTATTGGGGTTCTTTGATATGCCGAATCTAACCGTGTATTTAGATTCTTAATTTTTGGTTCCGTTTTCAAATTGGTCTACATTAAGGTCCAAAGGGTCCAAAATTAAACTTAGTTTGATTTTAACAAAAATTGAATTCTTAGGGTTCTTTGATATGCTGAATCTAAACATGTATTTAGATTTTTGATTATGGGCCCAGTTTTCAAGTTGGTCCAAATCGGGGTCCAAAATTAAACTTTGTTTGATTTCAACAAAAATTGAATATATGGGGTTCTTTGATATGCTGAATCTAACCATGTATTTAGATTTTTGATTTTTGGGCCCCGTTATCAACTTTGTCCACATTGTGGTCAAAAGGGTCCAAAATTAAACTTTGTTTGATTTCATCAAAAATTGAATTCTTGGGGTTCTTTGATATGCTGAATCTAACCATGTATTTAGATTTTGGATATTGGACCATAATAGGTGAATGTCCAATTTAAAATTTTTAAGTTCTTAGACCACATTCAATCTGTGTTAGAAACCTATGCTGTGTCAAATATTTAATCACAATCCAAATCCAAAGCTGTATCAAGCTTGAATGTTGTGTCCATACTTCCCCCAACTGTTCAGGGTTCGACCTCTGCGGTCGTATCAAGCTGCGCCCTGCGGAGCATTTTATTGCTATTTAATCTTTTGTCTTTTTTCTTCCAGAATTATGTGATCCTGCCATAGAAGAACATTTTAGAAGGTCATTGGGACGGGACTACTCAGACTTCGTATCTTCAAAATCTTCTCCAAAGACACCAAGTTTGCCATCCCCATCTGGTCCTCCCCCACAGCTTCCTTCTCCTCCTGTAGAGAATAAAACACAGATAGCTACAAATGTTTCAATAACAGGTAAGTTTTGTTTTAAAATAGCTTTTGATTTTAGCTCACCTGGACGAAAGGGCTAGTGTAAGTCTCAGCCAATTCTTGGCACATGTTCATTGTATTATAAATTTTCAAACCATTTTGAAACCATTAGGGTAAAGAAACCAAACTTGACAATAACCATACTAAACAATTTTGGATGTCCATGCCCACACAAACATGTCTAGCCATTACTACAAATTGAATAATAAAAGTTGAATCACTAATTTTTATCATTTCCTCTGCTGACAACCACCTCTTCTGTAATTAGTCCTTTGAAAAGAAAGGTTGGATAACCCTCCTCCTATTATAACCCCTGCTTAGACAATATTTACATCAAGTGCCATTTGGTATCTCAGCATAGGACCTTGTGGGGTTGTGCACTAAAAAATCCTCTTTGAAACTAAATGGCCAATTAAAGCCAGCCTTCATCAGAAATGTAACTGAGATCAGTCAGATGACTACTTTTAAACTTTTTATCTGATGCTTTTGTTGACCACACAACTTGCCATTGTTACTGTGAAAGTTGTAAAATATCAGTCAAGTTCATTTGCTTTTTAGTTAAGCAGCTTTCAAGAATATTAATTGATAGGGCTATATATAGTCTTGACAGAAATGGTACTTTACACAATTATGCCTCAGTCCCCTTGCATTAAGTTAGGCTTTTAGTGTGGAAGATGAACCTAGAATGTAATGAACTTCATGGAATAGTTCATGAATATAATTTCTGCTTTGAAACTATAAAAATAATTGAGAGCAAACCTGACGTAGAATGTTTTACTAGAATGTTTTCCGTTGCTAGCACATATGTTGATAGTTTGAGTTATCATTGCTAGGTGAGCAATACAGCTACTTGTCAATACTAGAAGGTTAGACTAGTTTCTAACCAGCATAAAGATTTCAAGTGAGAGCCAAATAATATAAAAAAAATATATTTTAAAGTTGTGGATAGAGAGCTTTGGAAGTAGAAATGTTATTTGCCAATTTTTTTAAGTACAATGCATAATTGAATGGAAATGTCATACAAGATGGTAAAACATTGTTTAAGAACATAAAATTCATAACAGTGACATGCCTTGCAGGTCTTAGTGACAGATCATAAATATAAAAACATAACGCCTACACTCAGGATTATAATTCTTACAGGAAAAATATGTAAAAATAACTTTTTATGGTCAAAATGATAAATCAGGAATTTACCATTGTTCTGTTTGTTATTAAAATGTTCCTAATTTTTGTGATGAAATGTATAAAAGGCATTTGAAAGACTTCAAACTGAGTAGAACAAAAATTACTTTTGTGCTACATATAAGTAAGGTTGTTTTGAAATGAAATCATTTTTCTGTTTTTTTTTTACACAACAATATAAATGAAAATTACAATTGAGCTGGGTTGGATAGAAATTGAACTTATGCAAATGAATATCAACTTATTTCAGGTTGAAAAATCTCTATGCATAGTCTGTAACTGTTTGAAAATTGATTTGATATAATAACTCTACAAAACAGACCAAAATTTATCTTTTATTTCGTATTTGAATGTTTTCGAAAATCAGTCAGTCTTATACATGTACATGGATACATGCACTTGCATATGGTCGATTTCTATGCGACGCAGCTCAATTTATTTCTTTAATAATTTTGTGCGTCCCAGATTTTCTGGATTTAATTTCATCAGGAAGGCATAGACCTAAACATTTGAAAGCCAATGATGTATAATTACCTCAATATGTTAGGGCATATTCAAACTACTTCAAGTGAGTTTTGTTTTCTTTATAAAGTCCAATCAGTATTACAGACTAAAAGTAATAACATTGTACTTATATTGATAGTATAAAGACAAAACAGCCTCCTTGAAGCCTTTACTTAAAACAATACAAGTCTTCAAAAAATTAAATGTCTTATTTGTCTTATAGGTTCTGTGGATGACCATTTTGCTAAATCCCTTGGAAACAGTACATGGACTGCACTGAAAGCCAAAAAAGATCCAGTAAATGAACTTTTCACAGGCTCAGTGGATGACCACTTTGCCAAAGCTCTAGGAGGAGATACTTGGTTAAGAATTAAAGCTGAAAAAGAAAATGGACATTGTACAAGCTTGTCACAGCAAAGACATGACTCTTCCCTACTGTCTACTCAACATTAATATTGTTTTATGTGTTCACTCAAGTGTGGATGACCATGAAAATATGTCACTGCCATACAGTTATGAAATGTTATGTTTGCTACGTTTCTGATCTCAAAGCTCATGACACAATTTGGAATATAAATTGAGATGCAAATTTGTAATGTTATTTTCTCAGTGTAAATTATTTGCTCATAGTTTCAGATTGGAATTAAAACAATTTAGACAGTCATTAAATTTATTTTGGGTTAATCTCAAAGATCATTTTTTTTTTATTAGAATAATATTTTCTTGCCAACAAAAAGTAAAATAGTTTTTTTTTTTTTTTTTATATATTTATAGTACATTGTATATATATAATGAGGGTAGTTTGAATAAACCTATCACTTATCAACTGCATGTTATCTGGCATTTAAAATTTAAAAGAAAAAACATTCACTACTTGAAGATAATTTTTTTAGCATTTTGGATCTCAATTTTTTCATGAATGAATTTCTTACATTCATTGACAAATTTAAATTACAGTTTGTTTTTTTTTACAGGCCATAAACACGTCATAAAAAATCTTTGACATTGAAAAATTGACTTGTAAAAAGACATTATGTATTAAAACTAGTGTTTGATGTTCTTAATGCAAATTTAACTAAACAAGATTCTTATAGCAGAATGTATTAATTACATGAATGAAAACATTGATGTTGCTCAGATGATCCAAATTGACATGACAACAAAACAAGTTGGGTGGAGGAGTTGGTGTTGATATGTTGTCTTATAATTAATTCTTTTATTGTGTAAACTTTATGGTATAAGTTTTGTCTTGCTGAGCTTACAATTGTTAGGTAAGCAAGTAAAACACAATTGTTTTCCTGTGTTTTATGTAAATTGCTCAAGGTCATTTAAATGTCAAGGTCAAATTTAAAGTTTATTTACAAAAATGAAATCCATAGCCTCCATGTGATTGCGGTTTTAAATCTTCTGAAAAATGAATTTTGGATAAACTTTAAACTTTTGACATAAACATCAGAAATAATTTATCAGCAAATTGAGGAACTGAATTGACTTGTTTATAAATCTGTCAATATATGGTACACAATTTTTCATTTGACCTTTTAAAGATTGTCATATTTATTTCAACATTACCTAGAGCTACTTGTTCCCACAGTGCAGTGTATAAAAACAATATTAGTGTCAGGTGGAAAGATTCTGGTTGTGCTATGAGAATGAACTAACAATAGAAAACATTCCTGATTTGCAGGTTTTATTGTTTGTTATCCTGAGGTGGAGAAGGAAATAAAATGTTGAGCAGCATATTGTGTGAAAATGTTATAGTGAATGGATGGAAAAAGTGGACATTTTTGTGCAAATTTTCTTTTTTTTTAATGCGGGTTTTGAAATGGCAATGTTTCTTGTCATATGCTTGTCTTGTATATTGTGAAGTGTGTTGTTTTTAAGACTATAGAAATGGTCATTATATGTTTCATTGTTTGAAGTGTCATTCTGAAATATCTTTGGGAAAAGTATTGTGTAAATGTATATAAAAATATATATATATTGGTATTTTCTAAACATTTGCAAAAACTTTTGTTTTTATCATCAACTGAGTTAAAGTTATATGATTACCCATTCTTTATCGTGACATTGTCTCACATTTGTTTTACATTCTTGAGCTTAACATGATATCAGTTTTTTTCATATTGATGCTTGTGGTTAAAGATGTACATTTCATTCATTGTAAATAATTTATGTCAGACATTTGAACAAGTTTTTTTCATTGTTATGTTGTAAAGAGTTATATTAAAAGTAAGTGATAATACAAATAATGCTAATTCCTTTTTTCTTTATTGGCCTTTGTGTATATAACTGACCTTAAAACATCTCAATGATATGATTTATACCTATTTATATTTTTTAATTGATAAATTTAGATAAACAGATTTACTGTAAAATGAAATAGAGTTTAAAAAAATTAATGCAAAGCTGACAGATTTCTTTAGATGTTTCTAAAAACTAAAAATCCAGATTCTTTCAGCATGGCCAGAAAATAAATCTTTGAATAAGAGCTATGTGAACTGTAAATCATCAGAGAATCCAGATTCTTTCAGCATGGCCAGAGAACAAATTTTTGAATAAGAGCTATTTGAACTGTAAATCATCAGAGAATGCAGATTCATGTAGCATGGCCAGAGAACAAATCTTTGAATTAGAGCTGTGTGAACTGTAAATCATCTAGAGAATCCAGATTCTTGTAGCATGGCCAGAGAACAAATCTCTGAATTAGAGCTGTGTGAACTGTAAATCATCAGAGAATCCAGATTCTTGTAGCATGGCCAGAGAACAAATCTTTGAATTAGAGCTGTGTGAACTGTAAATCATCAGAGAATCCAGATTCTTGTAGCATGGCCAGAGAACAAATCTTTGAATTAGAGCTGTGTGAACTGTAAATCATCAGAGAATCCAGATTCTTGTAGCATGGCCAGAGAACAAATCTTTGAATAAGAGCTGTGTGAACTGTAAATCATCAGAGAATCCAGATTCTTTCAGCATGGCTAGAGAACAAAGCTTTGAATAAGAGCTTCGTGAACTGTAAATCATTAGAGAAAGCAACTTACAATTTTATTAACTTACCAATTAGTATGTCACTTGTAATAAACCTTTCATTATAATTTCAATTAAATGAAATTACCATTATATTTTCAATTAAAAGAATTAACCTCAAGACAAATTACATGTACCTTGACATGTATGCATATTCAATGCACGTATATAATCACTATCTCTATCCCTTTGATGTGGAAATGTGAACATGAAGAGGCAGTCCTCAATTTAAGTTTTTTTTAGCATGTACAAATTTTTTTTGTTTAAAAGTAAAAGTTTATTGTCAACTTTCCCCAGTTTGAAAAGTTTTGCTACTGTGTTGAAAAATCCAAATGAATGAAAAAAATCTAATTGGTTACACTATTGGCTTATGCAGGGCAATGGAACTGCAGTTTTGTACCTGTAGAAATGCTGGAGTTTTAATTTTGATACTTAAGATATTTATTGATGAAATTATCTCTGAGAGAAAAAAAACAAATGTTCTCCTGTGTCTAAAACAGCTTTAATTGGCCTTGTTTTGATTCCATTTCTGACTATCCAGAACCCAGGTGAACAATTTATAATAGAAAACCTAAAATTGATTCTTTTATGACTTGCCTCGTCCAGGTGGGCTGTCCTCCAAAAGGGAATCTGAGATAGGTGGTTGCATTTCTGATAAAATATAAAAGAAACCTTGACAAAGTTGACCGCTGAAAGCATTATACAATTCTTTTGCCATTCTGAAAATTGTCTACCTGATGAGTGTAACCAGTTGCGAATATGAGTGTTTGAATAGTGAGCTTGGGCTACTGAAAACATTTTACATGCACCAATTGGACAGGTCTGAAATGACTCATTGGATTAACACTGATGCACGTGCATTATTATTTACACGTACATTTAGGTGTGATCCTTAACACTTTCACTTGCAGTCATCCAAGAAAAATGAATTTGGAAATTTTGCCAATTATGTGTTACTATTTGCTTTGAAACTACCCTCTTTCATGCCCTTAATATTAATAAAATATTTGAAATGTTTTGATTTTCAAATTGGTGACACATCACACACCCCCTGCAAATTTTCTGAATCCACCCCTGGTCATGGTGACCTTTGGTTGTGATACTGTGATAGACTCCAAAGAATTTAAAAAAAGAGAGATATAGAGTATACGTCAATGAAACAAAGACACAAAAAACAACCCAAAAGACACTCCAGGTCAAAATATGGTCTTAAAAAGAGACTGGTGGCTATTGAATTTGTCAACTTCATTACGGAATCTAATAAACTGCTACGCTGAGCGCAGCTAGATACGCCCGCAGAGGTCCAACCCTGAACAGTTGGGGCAAAAATGGACAATATTCAAGCTTGATTCAGGTCTGAATTTTGATTGTAATTAAATATTTGACATATTATAGGTTTCTGAATAAATGTAGTCAAAGAACTTGAAATTGGTTATATGAATTGAATTTATATTCAATTAAAGATTTCTTGCTGTTGTGCAATACTTAGTAAATCTGTTGTCAGACTATAAACAAATAAAGTTCAATTAATTCTCAATGTCATTTTCGAAATTTATGAAAATAAAAAGGGAGCTTACATCAAGAAATATAAACAATTCACCAAAGTTTCATGAGAATTGGTGACAGCATTTGTGAGTTATTGTCCGAAAACTGGAAAATCACCCCTTTTTTTAATGAATAAAACCCTATAACTCAGAAATGTAAAATGTAAAATGTAAAATTTATAAAATTCTAAAGGGAGCTTACATCAATACATACAAACAATTAACCAAAGTTTCATAAGAATTGCTGAAAGCATTTTTGAGTTTTTGTCTGAAAACTGGAAAATCCCCCCTTTTTTTATGAATAAAACCCTGTAACTCGGAAAAGTAAAATCTAAAATTTTTCTAAAGGGAGCTCATGTCAATAGATATAAAGAATTCACCACAATTTCTTGCAAGTAGGTGAAAGCATTCTTAAGTTATGGTCCGAAAACTGGAAAATCCCCCCTTTTTTATGAATAAAACCCTGTAACTCAAAAAAGTAAAATCTAAAATTTATAAAAATCAAAAGGGAGCTCATGTCAATAGATATAACCAATTCACCACACTTGCTTACAAGTTGGTGAAAGCATTCTTGACTTATTGTCCGAAAACTGGAAAATCCCCCTTTTTTTAATGAATAAAACCCCATAACTTGGAAATGTAAAATCTAAATTTTATAAAAAACGAAAGGGAGCTCACGTCAATAGATATAAACAATTCACCAAAGTTTTATGCAAATTGGTTAAAGCATTTTTGAGTTAATGTCCGACATGTTGACGACGGATAGACGGACAGACAGACGGACAACGGTATACCATAATACGTCCCGTAAACGGGCGTATAATAAAAAGGTTGTGGATAAAGTAAACCAACGCTAACAAATATCTGCCATCAACAACAAATTCTCCAAAAGACAAAAGACAATCACAAAGAGACTGACTTAGAGTATTAGAGTGGGATAATGAATATATGGTAGGTTAAACTAGCTTTGGTGATTTGATATATTTGAGCAATCTTCTCTACTGTGTTAGTGAGAACATACAACACAGTGCATTGAGGCTGTTATAGTAGTCTGAGTGAGGTTAACGTTCATTAGATCCTATTCATAGTTCATACCCATATGCAATTTATGGAGAATATATACTCAGAAACTCATTTTAAAAAATGGTTCGTAGATGTATCACAATACTTGTCAAGAAAACCATTTTACAAAAATTACATAAGTGGCAGAAAGTAGTGATCTATTCTACATTACAATTATGGAGAAAGGGAGATAACTCAATTCAAAATATTGTCTAAAATTGTTCAAAATGAAAAAAAATTAAAGCAATCTTTACACCTCGAGTGCTCAAAATAAAATCGATTTGAGCTCAGCAGTACCTTTTTTTAAAGTCCCGAGTTGCTCAACTGTATGTCAGTAAGTAAGATGATGGAGTATGGCATCTGGATTATGGTTTTTGTTGAAAAAGCAAGACTTAGGTGTGCTGTTTCCAGCAGTGTCAACAATGTATTAGTTTGTGATAAGGTCAGTTTAAGGGGTACAACTATTGGTAGGTCAATGACATTTGGTATGAAGTTGTATTAGCATTGGCACATCATATTTCCATGGAGATTATCTGGCCCCACCCCTCAGTCATGATTTATTGACTTTGAAACTTTTACATAGTTTACATGTTAAAGTTTGTGATTAGGTCAGTTTAAGATTAGCCACTAATGGTAAGTCGATGATATTTGGGGTGCAGCTGTATTAGCATTGGCATTTCTCATTTCCACAGAGGTTATTTCGCCCTGCACCTTTAGTCATGGTTTTGAATGTTTTGCATAGTTTACATGTTAAAGAATGGCCATTTTAATTTCAACATTTGCATTATACTATCAAAATTACACATAGGTTAGATGTATCTCTGTCAACAGTTTATCTACATGTACTTAACACATCTCTTTACTTGGGCCAGTAAAAGAATAAGGAATGGAGGTCAGCATAAAAAAAGAGATGAACAAATCATAATTTCAGCTTTTATCACTTCTATTTTACAGTAAAACATATTGCAGAAATTTAGTTTCATATAGGAATTCTCCTGAATAAACTTGTAATCATCAAGTCAACAACTATGTAGTAATTGAACTCGTCAGCAATTTCATCAGTTGCTCCTTAGATTCCTCAAGGTCTGCGTAAAAAAAAGATGATCTAGTTGACAAATTTTCTTATTTTTTTAATGGGATATCATCTCTATATACCTGTATGACATGAATTTGATAGTAAGTAGTAATATTATAAATGGGGAATGTGTTCATGGGACAGAGATGATGCCCCCGCTTGCATATAACGTTATAAAGGGATACAACTTTAGAACTGTAAAAGTGACGCTACCCAAATTTGTACTTGATCTGATTTTGTGGTAATAAGCATTGTGCATAAGTTTCATAACATTTGGTTGAGGCAAACTAAAGTTAGAGAACAGAAACAAATATTTCAGGAATTTTTCCATTTGTAAAGGGGCATAACTCTAGAATGGTAAAAGTCAAACTTGACCTGTGTTTTCTGGTAATAAGCATTGTGTATAAGTTTCATAACATTTGGTTGAAGCAAACTAAAGTTAGAGAACAGAAACGAAAAATTCAGCAATTTTTTTCATTTGTTAAGGGGCATAACTCTAGAACGGTAAAAGTGACGCCACCAAAATTGAAACTTGATCTGTGTTTTGTGGTAATGACATTGTGTATAAGTTTCAGAACATTTGGTTGAGGCAAACTAAATTAGAGAACCGAAACCAATTTTGGGACGTACGTATGTTGTGACCAAGTTGGACTTGTCTTACAATATGAATAATTCTTCAGGATGTCCAGACATCAACATTTTAGTTTCCAGCTTAAATCTTGAGGAGTATCTTTGCCAAACTTGCTTTGATAAATGCCCATGGGAAGAGGAAGATCCCGTATGATTTTATGGTCCAGATCACAGCATTTATATTTGGCAAAATTTTAGGTTCCGAATGTTAATGTTTCCACCATATGCCTAACTTTTTTCCAAACTAATTCAAAGGTATAGGCTTTTGATACTCATATTTATGTTTCCGGGAGTCATCTTTTGAACTACAAGTCCAACTTTTATCTAATTGGTGAGAAAGCTTCCAAATGTACGAGGAAGATTGACGCTTATGGATTTTTTTTGTTTTGTTTTCTGGATATAATGTTTTAACCATCTGGCTAACTTTTATATTCTTAGTTTGTTAAAATCTCATTGGATGGAGAAGATCTTTATTTATTTTAGGATCAATTAGTTAAAGGTCAAGGTCACAAGGGCTATTGATAGACTGGAAGGTCAAAAGGTAAAGGTAACAGCAATAATTGGGCCAAATATTTCATTTTTGGATTATATCTTTTGAACCAAATGTCCAACTTTTACCCAATTCTATTTGGTAATTTGCCATGAGATGATAAACACCAACTTTTTTTTTTTATTTCAACATTTGGTTTTTGGATGTTATCTTTTGAACCATATGTAGAATCTTCACTTAACTTAGCTGAAAATGACAATTGGAAAGAAGATGACCCTATTGTTTTTTAGTCAGTTGGTCTCAGTATCTATAAATAGACTGAATTCTGAAAAGATTTTTTTCAGGGCAATATTTTTAAGCCATACTTCAGATCTTCACCTTTCTTTGGTGGATAGTTTACCTTTAGGTATGTTTCTAAATGTTTTTTTAAATGTGTCTCAATCTAGTTTTGTTTGGATGTAAAAGCATTGACTGAAGAACATTATATATGAAGCTTCATAGGAAAAATATGTGCATGATCCAACATTTTTACAACCCAATAAAACTACAAAATGTAGTAGTCAATACTTATAATTACATTTTAATGCTAAAACCATGATTTAACGAGTTTCTGTCCCATTTTTCTCAACAACTACAAGTCATAGCTTCATTGATATATGAAACCAATCTTCATCTGGTTATGTCATAACATATGAAAGGTTTTAAGTTACATTTTGTACTTTGATGTTCTACTTCCTGTTGTTGCGAAAAACTTATATCTTGAGTGGTGGCTTAATTAGTGTGCAATTGCTCACAGTACATCTTTTCTAATATCTTATGCTGTCATGTTGAAAATTGAACTTGACCTACCAACTCTGGTTTATGTTTTTTGTTTGCTTAATGTCAAATGGTAAATATTGCATGCATATGAAATGGCAAATATTTCATGCATAAGTGAAATAAGTTTTTTTCCTAAAATATTTAAGATTGTATTCAAGGATAACTAACATCAGGAAACCATCAATTTCTTTCTGATTTTTCTAGGTACAACTCATTACAGAAACAGCTATCAGTCCTGTTTAAAACAGGTCAACAGATTATCTGAACAAAGAAGCTCTAAATCAATCCCATCATAATTCTTGATGTACAAAGGGAAGTAATTCAAATGCTACAGAAATGAAATAAAAACTTTGTACTAATGTGGTATGACAACAAAAATATTTGCGGGTCTCACCTGCTTTGCAACAAAATAAAACAAAACTTGGACTTCCAGTAATTTGTATGTTTTAGGAATGAGTATCACTTACCAAATCTAAAATGCACCTAATCATAAAACTTAATACTAATTATGTAGTTAACTACAGATTTAGTGAAGCATAACTTAACAGGTAGTCCTAACAATGCTCTTGCTCATATGATATTCAGATGCATTCACCATGACGATAATAGGTAATTTGAGTTGAGTTCTTTCCCATTGGCACCATGTTGGAGGGCAAACTTGAAGATTTTTTATTTAACTAACCAAATTTAATCATGTGGTACAAACAAGTCTGATAAAAGATCCTTACTTGAGTGATCAATGAACATCTTTTTTTAAGTCTAGTGGTCAGTATAACAAGTTTAATTTGGTGGATTTATGAAGAATTTTGTGCACGTTACCCCTCAAATTTGAAGCAAAGGAAAATACTTCAAATTATGAACCTGTCATCAGAAAAGAAATATTTGGCTCAATTTAACTAGTCCCCTACTTTCAAAGCTTCAGGGGTCTATAGGTTTTCACTCTCTGTCACAATTAAGTTTTCTAGACTAACTTATTTCAGATTCTTTCATCAGTTATCAATATATTGTATAAATGCATATAAATAGGAATTTCAATTCACCTTCATGTGTTGGTCAAACAAACATTGTTTTTTGGTCCTTACACTAAGAAAATCCAACCAATTTTAATTTTTCCACATCTCATTTCTAGAGTTGAGATACTGACTTGACATAATTGTAGTCTTGTTATTGAATGTACAGATAATGTTTCAGTTTTATTATGGTCAATAATTTTTTACAAAATTTCAGCCCTTGGACTTTACTTATACTGTTTTCTGCAGTTATTTGGTACAAGGTATTGAGGGTAAATCTATGTTATTTTTACCAACACATCAAATTCAAAGATATATTTAGATTTCTGATTTTTTTAAAATGGGTAGACCGTAGCTATATTTCCCTGATGTTATGCTTACAGTCATCTTTCAAGTCAAGTGGAATTACAAATAATATCAGCAGAAATAACTGTCTATCTTTTTTGTATGGGAAACCCCAAAAACCACACATTGAAAAAACAGGTGCACAACTTCATAAATCTGTGCAAGATTTTGTGAATTTTTCTGAAGTCGTTTTCAGGGGGTTGCGGATTAACAAACTGATATAAGCAAAATGGCAACATCCATGTTTTGGTAAAGACAAACCCCCAAAATCACTGAGATCAAAAATTAAATCAACAGTGAAGAACTTCATGTCCCAAAAAAGAATCTGTCCAAGTTGAATTCTGTTGAGCTGTTTTCAAAGAGTTAGAGATTAAAATCAAACAAAGATGACGCAAGACAACAGAAGTGATCCCTATGTGGTGCAAGAGATAGCTGCCAGACAACACAAAAATCAGCTTAATATATCTCTATAACAATGAAGAATTTTGTCAAAATATTTCTAAATGCAGCCAGGTTTGATTGACCAGTGGATGTTTCTATCTTAAAACCTACTACCTTTCAACTATATTCAGGATAACATTGCTAAGAAGATATGGAGAAAAACCCATCTGTGAAGTAAACCAACATGCTTAGGATTGCCAGCAAATAGCAGGGATATGGAAACTAAGTCTGATCTGACCAGTCTTTTGTCAATTCTTACTGCTAAAAGCTGTTTGTTTGACAAAGTACCAGCAAATACCAATTTAAAGTCGCTATGTTTGATAGAAGTTAGAATCATTCAAGGGTATTATAAATGTTTGATTAACCCCAGATTTTGTAGCCACAGGGAACAGAATATTTAGTGGTTTTTATTTAACTTTTTGTTGATTTGATTGGTTTGAACATTAAACAAAAACAAAATTGTAAAACAATAAAGTTATTTTTTACTTTAAGGATGATTGTAGCTAAGTTTGAATCCAACTGGTCTAGAGTTAAAAACGATGAGATTTTTTAAGAGAAAAATAATAACAGTCAAATGCTAGAAATACACATAGTTCATGTGTACTTTTTGGTCAGTGAACTTAACGAATCCAACGAATTATTCAAAATGTAATCTCTTCCAAGAATAGGAGTAAAATATATAGAACTATTATCAATTTTGATGTATTCTGTATCCATTAAAATTACCTGTAGCAACATGATCAATCTTTTCAGCTTATTACATATGAATATGATTAATGCATCTATATTGCTGTGTACTGTGGATTCATTTATTTTCGTGGATACCAATTTTCGTGGATTAAGGAAAACTTACATATTCTTGGATATCTAATTTCGTGGTTTTGTCGAATTTTGCATACAAGCCTATATAAACGTGTCATTTATTGAACATTTAATTTCGTGGTTCACCTGTACCAAAGAAATCAACGAATATTGGTATCCAACAAATAATAATGAATCCACAGTAGTTGATTTGCATAAAATAACATAACAACATAATTTCTCTCATATTTTATATCAAACATTTTGAGGTGATTTCTTCGACAAAAGAAATTATTCCATAAACAATATCTAACAACAAAAAACATTTGAGTTCACAAACTTTGAAATATCTCAAGTTAAAAATATCTCCATGGGGCAAGTCATTAAACATGATTATGTATAGATACAGTTCTAAAACTTCTGAGCAGAACTATATCAAAGTACTTATATAATAGAACTACAAATATCACAATAGCATTTGTTCAAAAGACATATACAAATGTGTCTGTTGTACAAATCAATAGACAGATTCACACCAGTCTGTTACACAATCTGTCGTAACTCGTGCAGATGTCAGATTTATAGAAAAACACTACTTAATTTGTTAACACATGTGTACACTGGCTGAAAATTATACCAGTATTGACATGCCCATGGAAACAATACCCGGTATACAAAATCCGTTCATGAGCCTCCAGAGAATCGAATACATCCATGAAATAAATAACTTAAAGTAAATGATAAGATGACTGGAGATTCATGAATCCTTTGTTTGTCATTGGTAATTATTTTGTTGTTGTCCAAATATGGGTGCAACACCAGCTGAAGCGGAGGGATCTTCCTGCATCATATTGGCTGAAATAACAAAATGAAAAGTGAATATGAAACTTAGCCAGTTTTCTTATATAAGTCCTTATATAGTATAAACTATCTTGTAAATAATTCTTGCTAATGATATTTCATTTCATAAAACTGTGACTTACTCATGATAATCTGAATAATACACTTGAATACATAATATAATAATAATTACAATATATACTATGTATTCTTGAAATACTAAAGGAATGAATGGATATAAGTGTTAAACTTCTAATTTAGGACAAGAAAATGTATAAATGAATATATCGCAGGGAATTCAATCAACAAAATCTGCACCTATTGTTCAGATGTTAACCCACCAAGGTGGAATGATATATTAGAAAACAAAAGGAAACCTGTAAATAATATTGATAAGTGTAATAAAATGCTTCGCTGGGCGCAGCTTGATACGACCGCAGAGGTCGAACCCTGAACAGTTGGGGCAAGTATGGACACAACATTCAAGCTTGATACAGCTCTGAATTTGGATTGTGATTAAATATTTGACACAGCATAGGTTTCTGACACAGAAAGAATGTGGTCTAAGAACTTCAATTTTTTTAATTTACCTATTATGGTCCAATGTCCAAAATCAAAATACATGGTTAGATTCAGCATATCAAAGAACCCCATATATTCAATTTTTGTTGAAATCAAACTAAGTTTAATTTTGGACCCCAACTTGGACAAACTTGAAAACTGGTCCCATAATCAAAAATCTAAACACATGTTTAGATTCAGCATATCAAAGTACCCCAAGAATTCAATTTTTGTTAAAATCAAACTAAGTTTAATTTTGGACCCTTTGGACCTTAATGTAGACCAATTTAAAAATGGGACCCAAAATTAAAAATCTAAAATCACGGTTAGATTTGGCATATCAAAGAACCCCAATAATTCAATTTTTGATGAAATCAAACAAAGTTTAATTTTGGACCCTTTTGAACTCAATATGAACCAATTTGATAGCGGGCCCACAAATAAAAAATCTAAATACATGGTAAGATTCAGCATATCAAAGAACCCCATATATTCAATTTTTTTGAAATCAATCAAAGTTTAATTTTGGACCCCAATTTGGACCAACTTGAAAACTGGGCCCATTATCAAAAATCTAGACACATGTTTAGATTCAGCATATCAAAGAACCCCAAGAATTCAATTTTTGTTAAAATCAAACTAAGTTTAATTTTGGACCCTTTTGACCTCAATGTGGACAAAGTTGATAACGGGGCCCAAAAATCAAAAATCTCAATACATGGTTAGATTCAGCATATCAAAGAACCCCATATATTCAATTTTTGATGAAATCAAACAAAGTTTAATTTTGGACCCTTTTGACCTCAATAAGAACCAATTTGATAGCGGGGTCCACAAATAAAAAATCTAAATACATGGTTAGATTCAGCATATCAAAGAACCCCATATATTCAATTTTTGTTGAAATCAAACAAAGTTTAATTTTGGACCCCAACTTGGACCAACTTGAAAACTGGGCCCATTATCAAAAATCTAAACACATGTTTAGATTCAGCATATCAAAGAACCCCAAGAATTCAATTTTTGTTAAAATCAAACTAAGTTTAATTTTGGACCCTTTTGACCTCAATGTGGACAAAGTTGATAACGGGGCCCAAAAATCAAAAATCTAAATACATGGTTAGATTCAGCATATCAAAGAACCCCATATATTCAATTTTTGTTGAAATCAAACAAAGTTTAATTTTGGACCCTTTTGACCTCAATATGAACCAATTTGATAGCAGGGTCCACAAATAAAAAATCTAAATACATGGTTAGATTCAGCATATCAAAGAACCCCATATATTCAATTTTTGTTGAAATCAAACAAAGTTTAATTTTGGACCCCAATTTGGACCAACTTGAAAACTGGGCCACAAATAAAAAATCTAAATACATGGTTAGATTCAGCATATCAAAGAACCCCATATATTCAATTTTTGTTGAAATCAAACAAAGTTTAATTTTGGACCCCAATTTGTACCAACTTGAAAACTGGGCCACAAATAAAAAATCTAAATACATGGTTAGATTCAGCATATCAAAGAACCCCATATATTCAATTTTTGTTGAAATCAAACAAAGTTTAATTTTGGACCCCAATTTGGACCAACTTGAAAACTGGGCCAAAAATCAAAAATCTAAATACATGTTTAGATTCAGCATATCAAAGAACCCCATATATTCAATTTTTGTTAAAATCAAACAAAGTTTAATTTTGGACCCTTTGGACCTTAATGTAGACCAATTTGAAAACTGGACCCAAAATTAAAAATCTAAATACACGGTTAGATTCGGCATAACAAATAAATAAATGTGGTCAAAGATTTTACAAATATAATGCGCCATACTGTCCAATTAAAGATTACTTCTTGAAATTTTTCAATATTTGAAATTTGAAAAAAAAATAATATTTGAAGAATAATTCTTTTTAATTTCTGAAATCTGAAATGAGAAAAAATTGACCCCCCACAATTTCTTTAAACCCCCCCCCCCCCCTTTTTTTCCCCAAAAAATTCTTTCCCTCAAGATATGGTCATAATCTCAATTCAAATTTCCAATGGAGTTTGCAACCATAATTACCCATTTAAATTTACCATAGTGCTAACTTAATCTATTTTATAATAGAATTTAAAATCTTTGATATGGATTTTGTTGTAAAAAAAAAAGATGCAACATTTGCAGATATTTTTACTGGTCTTCCTTTATAAATATGCATTTCTTTAAACACAATTTAAAAGCAGTGTAAGGGAAGTAACCAAAACGTTGTATTTGGATTACCTCCCTTACACTGTTTTAAATTATCTTAATTGTTCATTAACCATTACTTTATACATAATTTAAAAGCAGTGTAAGGGAGATAATTTCAATGATGTATTTGATTTATCTCCCTTACACTGCTTTAAATTATGTTTTGTACTAAAGTATTTGTCCATTAACCAGGACAACCTTGTTTTTCCCCCTTTTTTGCCCCTAATTCTTAAACTGTTTGAGCCATAACCCCCCAAAGCAAATCCTAACCATCCCTTTGTGATATGGAAACTTGTAGTATAATTTCAGAGAGATCCATACACCTTTCCACAGTTATTGTCTGGAAACTAGAAAATGCTTATTTTTGGCCCCTTTTTGGCCCCTAATTCCTTAACTATTCGTACCATAACCCCCAAAATCAATCCCCACCTTCCTTTTGTGGTATTGAACCTTATGGTAAAATTTCATAGAGATCCATTCACTTAAACTAAAGTTAGAGTGCGAAAACTAATGCGTATTCGGACGACGACGCCGGACGACGACGACGACGACGACGACGACGACGCCAACGTCATACCAATATACGACCACAAAAATTTTTTTGCGGTCGTATAAAAAGCAATTGCCTAAAGGAAAGATTCAGTTCTGAAATCACCATTTAGAGAATATAAATGTTATCTTCGTGCATATAGCAAATTAGACTAAAGAGGTCTATTAACTGTGCAAGTATAATTGTAGTAGTTTAATTATGTTGTGGTAATCTATTACATTGTTATTTACAGACATTTTTGACAAGACAATAATTTTGTAAAAGATATTAAAATCCAAATGTGATAACTGAAGTTGCTTTGTACAGTTATGAAAATGTTCACATAGGCAAACTAGTATAAAAACAAATAACAAAAAAATGTAAAATTAAACAGCTGTTTCAAGTTGCTGTTTTATATCTAGTTAATTCTACCTACAGCCATGAAAACCAAAAACTCAATGGAATCTTATGCTTTTACCCAAATTATTAAACAAATAATACTTTCATTTTCTACCCTGAAATTATATCATTTCAAAAATGTATTTACTTATTAAAGTCATTATGAACCTTGAAACAACTGAGTGGTTGGAATGTGTTAACCTGGTGGCTTGTTTCCATAACCTAAATGTATTTTTAAACTAATAAGTGTTATAACATATAACACAGTACTTATTGTACAAATAACAGATTCCTAACTCGTTTTTAATTATTGTAGTGATATGTGGACCATTTTGCTTTCAAGAAAATTAAATGAAAATCATTAAAATATAAAATAAAATGTAAGTCCAGCAATTTTTTTCTATCAAGAAGTCAAATAACTGAATTAGTTTAAATAAATAACTGAAAAATCATCCCTGTCACTATTTAAACTAGCATTTAAACCATTTTTTATACTATTTTTCACTAATATATTCTGACAGCTGATATAAATAACCTTATTTTGCTTATTTAGAATATTTGACAGTTTCCAAAACAGTCTATTCCAACTCGATACCCTTTTAGAAAAGAAAAACAGGCAATTTTGCCTAAAAAAATTAGTCAAGAAAGAATTACACCTTACCTGCATTAAATTGTTCTGCTGAATATCGTGTAAACATTATACCCAATCCTTCAATAACGGCTAGTAATACTCCACCTATAATTATACATTAATGTGTTGTATGTTTATATAATTATTTTTGCAACAAATAAAGGACAGTAAATAATGTAATTTTACTTTCAATATGGATGTTTTTTCTCTTACTGCTCATTTTATCAGCTCTGAATGGAAGCATTTGTAGCAATCTCTTTCATTCATACCTTAATCAGGTGTTAAAACTGCTTAATTTACTTTGAATATGAGGGTCATAATGTATGCTGTATGTACAATTAACTTTGATACATAACAAACGGGATACACGTTTTTCTTTGTTATTGTGATTTGGTTAAGCACATGTATTATAACTTTTCAGATTTTGGAAGTTTACTGAATGTTAATCAGGATAACTGAAACTTATTTATCATGTACACTAGCTTTTCACCTTAATTATAGGCTGTTGTCACAGATGCCAGGGCATATGACATCCAGATTAATTAATGTATCTGGGATGGTAAGCCATCTGAATTGCAGTGCTGAGATGAGATGTAGACATTTCATTTTTATGCTCTTCTTTGAAAAAAAGTTTGCAATTAATTTATTTTTTCACTATGACTTGTACCAATTAATATCTCTGAGGCCAAGGGATGCAATATGTAGTGCTGAGACGACCAGTTGACATGGTTTCTTTTTATACTTATTCACAAAATAGTAGTTGAAATGACAGTTATATTCCTGATACATTGAAATTGAGCAAAAGAAATTAATTGGTTTTCCATATAATAAAAAATAATAATGAAAGATTTTGTGGTTAAATAAAGATTTCCATATGGACATCTACAAATGTACTTCAGAAGAGAAAGTTTTAAACAGTGGAATGTCACAGTCAAATACATATCAAATAAAGTTAACATACCAACAACTGCAGATCCTAACATTGCACCAGCTCCATCTGAAAATAAAAATTCTATATGAAAAAAAAAAATTAATATCCTTGAAATATGTTTGAAATGTGAAAGTGAGTTAATGAATCTGGCATTCTGTCTCATATATAATTCATATGAATTTTTCATTAAAAATTATTGATAGATTTATGCAAAATCTTAAACATAAGAACATTCAACTATTAAACCTCAATGGATAAATTTAGTTTTTTTTATTTATTGAGCATAGTTCACATATTTGATTTAAATAGGGTAGTTTAAGAAAACAGAGAATATCGACAGAAAATAAAGTTGTTCCTTACATAAGATATTCCTTGCCTGAATGTCAGTAAATATCAATTTGACAACGGCAACTAATTTTGTAGTGTTAGGCAGCATTGGGGCATATGTCGTTTTCATAATAAACTTAATCAAATTAATGTAGAAATCTGAGAGAACTCTTCCAATTCTCTCCATGAATTCAGCATTGAAAATCCTGGTGTGGCACTGTGAATTAACCTGGTGTTGGGGGTATGGAATTCTGTTTGGTTGTGGGTGAAGTATATGACAACAGTTATTAATTCATTAAAAAACTCATCATAAATAAAAAAAAAAAAACAAGAGTGAGCAAAGAAGATTCCTGTGAAAACATTATCTCATGGTGGAAACTTACGTCTTACAGATAGTATTGCCCCTGTTAAGGCACCACTTGTTATGGAATTCCAGGGGTCTTCTTTTTTCCTGATGTATACTAAAGAACAGTCAATGGCAGAGAATAAACCACCCCACACTGCAAAATTTCCTGTAATAAAATTGTATGATTAATTTCTAATGAGTCTCATTTTGTAAAAATCTTACAATGCTACTTCAAAACAGAGATTATCATCTATAAAGTTGAATCTCACTATTGGCAATTCACTATAAGTATTCAGTAAACAGGAAGTTGATAAGCTATAGATGTGGAAACACATCCAACATTTTAGCATGCTCACGTGAAGCTTGATACCAAATGATTCATAGATCCTGAAAAAAGCAATGAAAATTTTATATATGGCCATTATATGGAAGAATCTATAACTATTCATAGTAAATAAGTAATGAATGTGTAATGACATTTCATTGTATAGCATGCTCACAGAAAGCTTGCCATTGAATTTTTTATTTGTAATTCCTTAATTTTCGCTGATTGGGAAAATACACCGAATGTATTGTTAAAGGTATAAACAACATGAAGTTGATTGACTGAAAGATAATCGATAACAAAAAAATACGAGTACTACAAATTAGAATATAAAAAATCTTTCAATAATCGTGTAAATTATGTACATTGCGGCATACTAAATTGTGACTGCATTAATAATGCATATTTGTGCAAATATAACAGTAAATATGATCTATTTTAATTGAATTTTTACATTATATTCAAAATGTTGGGGTTATGACAACAATCTATAAATCGTCGCTCAATATTTTTTTTGTGAAAATGTCACTGATTGCTGTGTTGTCAAAAGGTATGACATGTATGAGTAGCCAATTTAATTATTATGAAAACAGAAATCTTAATTAATTACGCACACTCTTTTGATCAACCTATCAACATAAAAGAATGATTTGATATATAATGAAATTTCACCTTTAGGGTGAAATGAATTTGGTTCAATGAGTTTACATATCAATTTCGTGTAAACACGACAATTAACAGTATGATATATGAAACATTTCAACAGCTAAAAATCTAGGAATATGCAGGAAAATTTACGCGGGGTCAAATTTTCACGTTTCTTTAGGTGACACGAACAAAGCGAAAATTAAACACACCCGAAAAAAACCTGATATACGGTATCTATTCAAACTTTACACCTGGGTTATTTCCCCACCATGCAGGTTAAACTGGAAACCCAACTCTTTAATGATAGAAGACTACTGTAGGTACTCATTTATAAGCAGGTAATTTGGGAATAAAATAATGGATTCAGGAAGGAGTACCATCTCAAAGGCAAGTCTAGTGCCAGGGTAAAAAAAATCTAAGTCTAAATGTCAAATAAAAAGTTTTATGCAAGTCCTCAGTTGTAAAAATATACGAGGATGGAAGCCAGAAGACAAATTAACTGTGAACTGGAAGTCATTACAGTTCTAACTTATTTTAATTATGTTAATTAACAATTAAAACAACAAAAAAATGTCTTTCTCACTGATAAAATTTATTCCTACTAATTTGTGTGATTTTTGTCTGATGGATACCTACTCCATATCCTCTTTTTGCATTTCAAAGAGAAACGAACAGAAGCTGTCTGTTTAAAAAGATGGATATTGTTATGCGTTTACTTTTCTACATTGGCTAGAGGTATAGGGGGAGGGTTGAGATCTCATAAACATGTTTAAACCCCGCCGCATTTTTGCGCCTGTCCCAAGTCAGGAGCCTCTAGCCTTTGTTAGTCTTGTATTATTTTTAATTTTAGTTTCTTGTGTACAATTTGGAGTTTAGTATGGCGTTCATTATCACTGAACTAGTATATATATTTGTTTAGGGGCCAGCTGAAGGACGCCTCCGGGTGCGGGAATTTCTCGCTGCATTGAAGACCTGTTGGTGACCTTCTGCTGTTGTCTGTTCTATGGTCGGGTTGTTGTCTCTTTGACACATTCCCCATTTCCATTCTCAATTTTATTTTATATGTGAAAAATAATAGTACATATAGCACAAAATGTTGAACTGTGTTTATCATTCTTTCTTTCAGAAGTTTAAGAAATAAATCTCCTACCTCCAGTAATTGGAGCTCTTTGTCTTAAAGTTAAAAAACTTCCAGCTAAACGTCTGTATGTTCCCTAAAATTATACAAGAATGCATTTATAATTCGATGGAAACAAAGACAAAAATATCACTGTAATCAAACTATATCTTATTTTTCAAATTAAACAATTATCTGAACCCATGAATGTTGCCTTTTTAAATTGACTGAACATCTTTGACAGGAAGATATCATTTACTGATATATCTGACAAATATATGACTTGTATTATATGGATTTTCCAATTATATAACATACAGTGTACATACATGTAAAATAATGAAGCTATCTCAATGATATCCTGTACAATGTCAGGCTATTCAGACCTTGTGTTGTTCATTAATATTGTTGTTAGCCTTTGTTTTTACATGTATCTTTTTATAGGATAGAGATGAATCGTATTAATGTCCAGTGGCAAATATAACATGCATTTCTGAACAAAATACCACAAGATATGTCTATAAACCCTTAGCTGATTTGTACTAGACAGACACTCTGAGTAAGATTTGTAACATGCTTGTTTGCAATGCAACTGTTCGCAGGAAGGCATGTCACCCAATTCTGACACATTATTTCAACTCCCAGCTGACCAGTCTTTGCTCTTAATCCTCATTGCTGCGGATGTCTGGAGGAAAAGTTGCAAAAAACAATTTTCAAGTTTTCGGTATGAACTGGTTGGGATAGAAATAGACAGCCTCTCCCATGGACAAATTATGATGAGAAAACCAAATGATTCTTTTTATTAGGAATTGTGTGTAGGTGTGGTCTGTTTTACTGTACAATACTTTCATTACTGTTGCCCTTTTTTGTTTCATGTAAATACATACAATTTTTAAAAGGACTAAAATTTAATGACTTACCTTTTACACATTATTTATCCTTTTTATGCACATTAAAGACTTATGGTTTACAGCTTACCTTTGGTGCATTTCTCATTCCTTTAATACCATGAAAGATCCCTCCACCAATAGCTCCCATGGAAAAAGCTCCACCACAGTCATCTACAATTCTCCAGGGACTAAAAAAGATTGTCAAGTACATGTATAGTAGCTATCAAATGAAGACTAAGGGGGAAGATAAAAACATTTTTTTTATTAATAATGTTTAAAGATAACATGAGCCAAGAGGTAGCCTCCCTAACTGTTACTTCACTTTTCTTGGCTGTCACAGCAATTTCTATTATTTTCCCTGATATTGTTCTTTTTTCATTGTCAATAAATCTAGACAGAGAATATTAATGTATTGAAATATAAAATTATTTCAAATGAATATTTGCTTATGCAAATAAACAAATGTTAATGTTACCTTCTTTGTCATGTTTGTTATACAAGAGTTGAATTTGGAAACAAAGTGAATCTAATTGATTGATTGACAATTGCTTAACATGGCATCGTTAGCAAGCATTGTAATCAAGATTGACATCTGCAATCAATAGATAGGCGGGGCTTTAGCTTGTATACGTTTTACTTTTAAATGTTATTGGATGTCAAGTATTATCATTTTTGAAGTTCTACAACAATAGCTTTTAGACTCTGGCATCACACATTTACTCTTGTATTAACTTAAAATTTTACAGGAATTAATATTAAGCATTGCAGCAATATACCAATAAGGTGTATTTTATCTGATACCTGGATCTGTGCAACAATCTCAGTCAAAATACTTCTTCTGCTGCCTCTCGTTTTTCAATTCATGATATTCTTATGATTAAACATTTACATGTGCACATACTTGTATCATTAGAATCCATGACAACTTGCGATCGCCCCACACCAAAATTGGCCCACTCTGGTTTACCAACTCGCCCCACTTATGAAAAAGGTAAAAATCCTGTTGAATTTAGTCCTGCCAACTCGCCCCACTTATGAAAAAGACTAAAAATCCTGTTGAATTTAGTCCTGCCAACTCGCCCCACTTATGAAAAAGACTAAAATTCCTATGAATAATGGCCTGCCAACTCGCCCCACTTATGAAAAAAAAAGAATTAAACCATACTGCATTAAAGACTACTAACTCGCCCCACTTATAAAAAAGACTTTAATCCCGATGAATAAAGGTCTGCCAACTAGCCCCACATATGAAAAAAAGAATAAAATCTTACTGCATTAAGGACTACCAACTTGCCCACTTATGAAAAGGAGATTAATCCCATTGAATCAAGGTCTGCCAAACTCGCCCCACTTATTGTAATTGAATGAATGGACATTCTTAAAATGTTATGATAATATATCGCATTATGATACAATTAACTGGTTTCTTTGCAATAATAAGTAAGCTTGCAAGAATAAAAATATTCTCAAATAGATACTACAATTATATAATAATAATGTATCTACAATGTTATTTTTAAAAATGAAGCATCATTTAAGTTCAATCATAATCATTTATTAAATTTTCTATTTTTATTAGTATTACAAGTGGTTTTTTTTCTAATGTTATTTTAGCAGTACAGTTGGGAAGATTTATATGTAGATTAAACTACTTTTCATAAATGGGATGAGTTGGCAATACTACATTTAAGGGACTTAACCCTTTTAATAAGTGGGGCGAGTTGGTGGAAAAGTCAGGTAAATTGGTGTGGGGCGATTTGGCAGTGGGGCGAGTTGTCTTGCTTCCTATCATTGTAATCATGTACTTATGTAAAAAAAAAACATGAAAAAATTTCTATCTATTCCTGACGAAGGTGGCACATATCAAAATGGCTTATTATAATAAGCTTTGTATAACAAATCAATTATATATAGGTATACTATATAATTTAGTTTATATAATTATATATTTGGCAAAGCAAATATACAACACTGAAATAACTTCCTTCAATTTTGATTACTTTGAACAATTGTTATATATCATATTACCAAGTAATTCTTAAGTTTTTGTGTCATTTATTTCAATAGAATTCACTATGCCCTCAATCTGATAAATATAAGAAACTTCTTATATACAATACGCAGTATTTTTCCGCTTATGCAATATACCCTTTTCGAAAATTTGGTATGAATGAGAGCTAATGGTGGCATTGTGATTTATGTTTTCTGTTCAAATCAATTAAGTATAATTAATGTGCACAAAGAACACTGTATGATTCATTTAGAATTTGAAATTACCATGGATCCCTGGCATATTCGTCCATGTCCTTGCTTTTGGTCTCACGTTTTTCAACCACCGGAAGTAAAAGGTCAGACCAAATTTAGTTCGACAGTACATTTACACATCGAGAAAGTTCACTACACAGGATTTCTTTCAATTCATGGCCTATAACTGTAAGGGAGCTACCATTTTATTTTCCTGGGGGGCTAGGATGAAACATTAAGCAGAGATTCAGTTAAAATAGACACACATAAGTATTTACAAAGTTTTAAAAAGTCTATGAGTAAGCTCATATAAGCCTCAAATACAATAATCACACATGCCAATAAAGATTTATTTCTGTTGAATTGTTGTAACATGGAAGTATTATATCAGAGACATATAATACATATGTCTCTGATTATATTAACTTCCAAGGTTGTAATAAACAATGTAATCAATATGTAAACGAACTTGATTATACAGCTCATTACTGGGGTCATAATTGCCAATAAAAACTTTGTATTGTATTGTGCACAAGCATCAAATAAAACGGCACATGTATCAAAAGCATATCAAAATGTCAATAAACTAATATATTATAAGGAAAAAAGTCTTCCAATATGCTTGTCCATTGGCATTGGCATTGGCATTGGCATTGGCATTGGCATTTTGGTATTGGTATTGGTATTGGTATTGGTATTGTATTATATTGTATTGTATTGTATTATCTATTATTTAATTTTAATTTTAATTTTAAATTTTATTAATTTTAATTTTAATTTTATTCCATTCCCAATATTGTATTGTATTGTATTGTATTGTATTGTATTGTATTGTATTGTATTGTATTGTATTGTATTGTATTGTATTGTATTGTATTGTATTGTATTGTGTATTCTACATCTACATCTACATCGTACGACGATCCATCAGCACATTGATGACTATACGTCGGCGCATCACAAGCAGACACTTATCAAAAATATAATAATTTTATGAGTGCAATAACCAAAATTAATTTTGTGCAAAAAAACCCAACATATTTACAAACAGGTTAGATATCTATAAATATACTGACTTTGGATCAGTATTTTAAACTGATCCAGAGAGTTAACACCGATAATCTTTTGTGGATGTGAATTCCACAGTACAACTGTGAATGAAAAAAGCTGTACTTGAAGTAATCTGTTCTAGTGCTGAATGTTTGGTAGTGAAGTGAATTGGTGAATCTGGTGTTTTTGACTGGCTGTGGTGAAAGGTAAAGGTTTGGATCTACTGCAATAGATTGTGTGTGATTTTGTACATCTGATATTGTTACTCGATTGATGTTTCTACGAGTTTCAAGTGACTTCCATTTCAGATGGTTAATCATGGAGGTGACACTACTGGTGTTATGGTACCCGTTGGTAACGTATCGTGCTGCCCTTCTTTGTACTTTTTCTTTTTTTTTTTTTTTTTGGGTGTGAGGAGACCAAACTGAAGAGCAGTATTCTAGGTTTGATCGTACCATGGATTTGTAAGCCAAACTTTTAGTTTCTTCCTGATTTATTTTTAAATTTCTTTTTAGAAAGCCCAAGATCTTATTTGTTTTAGCAGTGATGTTGTTGATATGGATATCCCATGACATGTTGTTAGATAAGGTGATACCAAGATATTTTGCGGTGTTGACAGATTCTAAAATGTGGCCTTTTAATACATATTTATGTTTGAATTGTGACTGTGATCTTGTTACAGTGAGAGAGTTGCATTTTTCTGGGTGGAATTGCATACCCCAAGTTTGTTCCCATTTGGCTAGGCAGTTTAGGTCATTTTGTAGGATGGTACAGTCTTGTATTTTTTATTGTTCTGTATAAAATACAGTCATCTGCAAACAAGCGTGTTTTTGATGTTACTTTTTGCAGGGATGTCGTTAATGAAATTAAGGGAAAGAAGTGGACCCAAGACTGAGCCTTGAGGCACCCCACTGACCCCCATGCTGATTATTCACAAGAATGTTATGTGTGTCCAGATATTTTAGGATGTTACTTACTACAATGTGTTCTAGTAGTTTGCAACATATACAGGTTAGGGAGACAGGTCTGTAGTTACTGGCTAGGTATTTTTCGCCTTTTTTTAAAATAGGGATCACATTTGCCTGTCTTCAGTCTGATGGTACATCTCCTTTCAAGAAAGATGTGTTAAAAATGAAAGTGAGATGTGGTGCAAATTCTGATGCAAATTGTTTTAGAATTCGTGCTGGTATTTCATCTGGACCTGTAGCTTTAGATGGGTAAAGATTTTTTAGATGTTTTTCTATACCATTTGAAGTTACATGTATTTCTGACATAGATGGATAGTTGTCTGAAAGAGTTGGTATTTGTTCGTAATCATTTTCAGGTGTAAAAACAGAGTAATATTGTTTATTAAGTATTTCAGCTTTTTGTGTTGTATCATCTATCAGCATGCCCTCAGATCTTAATGGTGCAACTCCTGAACTGTCTTTTTTGATGGACCTAATGACTTTTATGTAATTTCAAAACTTTTTCTGTTTTTGTGTAGTTTGTAAGCTTTCGTCGTAACAAATGATATTTTCTAAATATGTCCAGTATGCTTTTCTTGTCTCTTTCTGAAGTTGTTTCTTTGTGTCCCTGTACTATTGTATTGTATTGTATTGTATTGTATTGTATTGTATTGTATTGTATTGTATTGTATTGTATTGTATTGTATTGTATTGTATTGTATTGTATTGTATTGTATTGTATTGTATTGTATTGTATTGTATTGTATTGTATTGTATTGTATTGTATTGTATTGTATTGTATTGTATTGTATTGTATTGTATTGTATTGTATTGTATTGTATTGTATTGTATTGTATTGTATTGTGTTGTGTTGTGTTGTGTATTGTATTGTATTGTATTGTATTGTAGTTAATGGACTACACCACAACTTTTGAATAGTTCTAATTGGATCTGTTCTTAATATTGACATGTTAATGAAAAGTACAACCAATACTCTTCAATAAAAAGGTTGAAAACACTTAATGTAAAAATTGCAGCTGACGAAATGTGAAACGTGTGTGTCTTAGACGTAGGATTAATTTACTCCATAGCAAGCAATCATTTTCTTGTACTAGTAAATGATAGATAATCTTTTATCGGGTTTATTCATAAAAAAAGCAATGTTTGCAGATTCATAAACCAAATAATCTCGCTGGGAGGGGTACTTCCTTCTGATAGTGATAGGTGTAACATTTTTATAGTTTTGTGGTCAGTTATCCGTTCGTACCTAGTAAGCACGGTGACCATAAGTCAAGTGTGTACTTTTCATGTCACGTCGACGCGATGCACGGAATATTAATAGGTCATTATTGTGCACAAATATAAATTCGTTTCAGTAATCCATATACTTGGGTTGGAATCCTGGTCCAGGATTCTAACCCAAGTATATGGATTACTGAAACGAATTCGATGCAGGACGTGACGGCCATACTGCCATGACGTCCATAGGATGAAACGGCCATACCCCGAAAAGATGAAACGGCCATATGACAAAAACGGCCATACTTTGTGAAGACGTATCGTCCATGGTTTTTTTTTTTTTTTTTTTATATAGATGTTATATATGAATTATGTTGATACTTATAGATGGTTATTATAACTTTTAGATAAACTTTACTGTTTTTATATTATTTATCATGTTATATCATTTGTTTAATCATTATATATATATCGTAAATGAATGTGTTTAATCTAATAGTAAAAATATTAAAATATCATATTGTTTTCTAAATGATTTTTTGATATCTTGCGTATAACAAACAGAACAAAATGAACAAATATGAATGACTATATCCGAATGGGAGACTAATTTCTGTCAAAATTACAACAATAAGTTCAGTTTTGAAATATAAAACAAGGTAATCAAGTTATGATTAAGTTTGAAATTTAAGAAGATTGTTGATTGCTTATTATTACTTCTTTGATGAACACAAGTATTAATTATGCTTTTGTCAAGAAATTGTAATGGAAATACAATTCAAGATCACTATAAAAACACAACACCCAAGCTGAGTTCAAGCGGAGTGCAAACATACATTTGGTAGTGAAATTCTTGTAAAAATACAAGCTGTTTGAGCAGTCTTTTTGATGTACCGACCTTGCTTTATAAAAGTAACCAGAAATGTCGGTGGCACTCATTTGGAAAATTGCTGTTCATCATGTCGTACCCTTGTGTGCTATGTGACCAGCAAGTCCGACCAAGACAACATGCTCTCCAATGTGAGGATTGTGATAAATGGCAACACAGGCTTTGCAATACAGGTATTTACAAATTTATTATTAATTTAGTTTTTCCTTTGAATCATATTTCGTACTTTCGGTCATATTTTAGATACATTTTTTGTTTACTTTAATTTTGGTTAAGACGCTTTCCTGATAAGAATTAAATCTATATTTAAGTGTTATTTGCATTACACTTTTGTCCAATAAATGGACCATAGGTATCAATTAATAGACATAAAAAGAAGATGTGGTATGATTGCGGTATGATTCCCAATGAGACAACTCTCCATCAGAGACCAAATGATACGGAAATTAGCAACTATAGGTCACCTTACTACGGCCTTAAACATTATTATCAGTGTATTAATATTACTTGACTGTAAAGAAATATATGTCATATTTTAATTTCTTGTTATTTCAGGTATATCAATTACTGATTACCGCCTGATGGTAAATGAAGAAGTCGACATTATTTTCCACTGTGCAGAATGTGTCCGCATGCCACAAGATATGGAGGTTGAGGTACATATACGTTATTGTATTATTTCTTTAAATGTTGTTAAAATAGTAACTTTAATGAGTTCATGAAGTAAATGATCATAATATAGTATATTTTGGTATGTTTAGTGCTTTTGTTTCAGTTGTGACTTTTATAACTGCATGTTTATGTTGTGACTTTTATAACTGCATGTTTATGTTGTGACTTTTATAACTGCACGTTTATGTATTTTAGTGCTTTATGATATAGGTTATATGTGTGAATGTGAATATAAATGTTTGAATATTGGGTGAAATGTGTATGCAGTGGAATAAATGAATGAGTGACATGAGCATATGAGAGAAAAAGTGTGAGATTGTTAATTTAAAAAATGTATATAAGATGAATGTTCAATGGCATATGTATATATGTATGTTCTTACATTTCGATGTGTTTGATTTTCTACATGCCTGAACGAAAAGAATAATATATATGAGTGTTTTGTGTATGTATGATTTATATGTTTGTTGTATATTTGTTTATCTGTATGACTGAATGAATAAATAAAATACATTAAACAAAAATATTATCTTTTTGTTTCTTATACTAGAGTATATTGGTATGATTGTCCATAATACAATTCTCCATCAACAAATGCACAAAAATGGGAACATTTAAATTGTCAACAAATAGTATTCAACACAATGAACAAACTTAAGCAAAAAGAACATTCAGTATGATAAAAATGAAACTGGCCATCTTTTATCATGTTATTAGGGTGCACATTCCTGTCAGATATTACGGGTAATTTGTTATGTTATTGGAAAATTCTACAGTAGTCTCCGTCTTGGAAAGATGTTCAGCAAATGGAATGACTCTAAACTATAAGAAAGAAAAAAAATACAGAATTATTAAACTATGTACTGTCTGATGATCATGACAAATATAACTCGAACATGATGAACTGCCTTCCTTAGAGTTAACCTTAACACTGAGTCCTGTTTTAAATTTCACCAAGACTGAGATTGAGAAATCTTTATTGTTTAGAATAATATATTTTTTACAGATATAATAAAAAGATCTGTGACATGTGCTTGTATTTATATATCGTCATCGACAGCGACAGTCAACATTCCTACAGTTTAAACTTCATATAAAATAAGATGCCTTTATATCACATTACAATAAAAATGATTCTTCAGAAATTGTTTATAACTGATAATGAAGAAATAGTCAATATACTTACATAATATGGCCCCAACAAGTTGTAAACACGAGTGATGATGATCAAGCAAAGATAACTCTTACAAGAATAAATAAGATCTCTTGTACAGAAAAAAATACTACAAAATCATATTAATGTTATTATTATGAATAAATACTTATTTTATTATTATATTTTATGCTATAACCTCAATAAAATTTTTTTTTTAAAGTGTGGACGATACGTCTCACAAAGTGTGGCCGATATGTCCCATGGACGATGTGACGGTATGGCCGAAACATCCCATGGCCGTCATGGAAGTATGGCCGTCGCGTCTCGAAAGCAACGAATTTATGTTTGTGCACAGTGGTACCTTCACCCTGATTAACATTTCTCTGATTAACATTTGCCCTAGGACCTGTTTGCCCCGATTCACGTTCGTCCTGGGTCAATTTGTTCTAATACCTGTTAGCCCTGATTTATATTTTATTTTGTTGTCTTGTATGATTAGAGGCAGGTGGTTACCTGTGAAAGAGGACAAATATTGATAAGATGTGGTATGAGTTCCAATGAGACAACTCTCCATCCAAGTCACAATGTATAAAAAGTAAACAATTAAAGGTCAAAGTACGGCCTTCAACATGCAGCCCTGGCTCACACTGAACAGCAAGCTATAAAGGGCCCCAGAATGACTAGTGTTAAACAATTCAAACAGAAAAAACAAACGTCTAATCTATATAAAAAACAAGAAACACTTATGAACCACATCAACAAACGACAACCACCGAACAACAGGCTCCTGACTTAGGACAGGTGCATACAAATGCAGTGGGTTTAAAATGTTTCAACAGGCGCCAACCCTCACCCTAAACAAAAGTATGTATAAATTTTTTTTTTTTTTAATTCAAGCATACTTTAACTTCAGACATGTCAGAATCTGTTGGAAAAGAAACGGAAATACGGAAATGTTTCTGATGTTGGTCCTGTTGTTAGGGGTTTTAGTTGTGACTTCAATTTCAAGGTAAACAGAAACGCTATCATCAGGTAACGTTTTTTTTTTCATATCAAAGAATTATGAAAATAAAATTGTTATAATCTATACTATTAAACGAGAAGACCTCATTTTGTGTGTCGCTTCTCTTCCTTCCCCAATAAATTAATCATCATGCCTCTGTGTCCTATAGGTACCATGCATAGTCGCATTTGTCATCCATTCTTATGATTACTCAGTTTGGGTTATTTTGGGAGAAAAAGGAAGAAAAAGGCGTCCGGATATTGTTTCTGTCATCAGACGGACTTTTAAGTCATACCCAAGACTTCCGATTTTATAACTATAAAAGAGGGGTTAAGGGTTTTTTCGTGCAACGTGTTTTGCCACTTTTTATTTCACGTGCAGCCGTGAAAAAGGTTCGTTATTCACCGTGTTTCTTGAAATCGATAAAAAGATCAACGTGCAAGAAATTTTTAATTGTTCGCTCATCGTGAAATGGCAATTTTATTTCGCGTTCTTTCGTGCAGATACCTCCCTTTACTCCCCTCTTTTAACATGATTTTCATAATTACTCGGGGACAGGACAATTATTTTCGCGTTATTCTGCATGTTTACTATGATTATAATCCTATAATATATAGAGACTATATGATATAGTAATGGTCGCCGTGGAGAAGAAACTTGGAATTGATAGTTAAGGGGACGACCATTTGATATTCTGGCGGGGGGGGGGGGGGGGGGGGGGGGGGGGGCAGGAGGATTTGTTTTGGATGGGTTATTTATTTTTGTGGACCAAAAGGACAGATTATTTATTTTCTGCACTGTTGAAGCATGATTTTTCATTTTCATTAAAACAAGGGACTGATTATCTATTTTCAGAATTATATTTATAATATTTGAAACAACAATTTTTAAATTAATTTTTTTATTCTTAAATAAATTACATAGTCGATTAAGTCAATCGGAATTAATCATCATCCTCTGGAAGTAAATCTTCTGAATTGCAAACTGCATATATTGCATACATACAAGGTATTAAAGCTGGGCTGTAACTAGCCTCTTTTAAAAGTTGTCAAACATTTTCGCTGAGCGGAGCTAGGCGGAAAAAAAAATTGGCGAAGAGTCTGGGGATTGCTGAAGGCCCCAAGAAGCTATAGAAAAAATGGCGCAAAATCGTGCATTATGCGCGTTTCCCAGACCCTTTCTTAATCTGAAACTCAAGTTCTGTTTTGATTTTTTGACGATATTCTGGTCTCAAAGCAAAATATATAGATTCAGTGTAAGTCTTTTAGTTTTTAGGGACAACATCAAAAGACCAATATCTAGGACAAAGCAAAAAATGTTTCAGTTTGCAGAAAAACCTTTTATACCTGTCAATTATGTTTTTTTCAAATTAAGTTAAGAGGGGGCTGATTATCATTGATATAACTATGTCAAGTCAGTTTTTATAACACATTTCAATTACAACTTGATGTAGTTCCTAACTGGGATACAATTTTAAGTAGTTTGTAATCGACAATAGGTCCTTAAATATAATAAAACTCAAGTTTAAAACATAATTACTAAATTACAAATAGAATGCAACACTAAGAGAATAGTCATAAAGAAGGGCAATCAATGAACAAAAGACAAACCCGGGAACAGATAAAACACAAAACGACAAACATTATAGAAAATCAACCCTGAAAAATAAAAATAGATGAAAACATGGATCTCAAAAAACATGGGCTATGTCAGAGGGTGAACAGAACTTGCTTCTTGCAAGACACTTGCTGTGAAAACAATTTGATATGAAGACAAGCTTTTGTTTTGAAATTTCCAACATGAGGCATTTGCCTCAATGTAGTTATGGCCCTGTAATAAAAGTGAGGTAAATGTTCACGAGACAAAATACCTCAAGTGAAATGAAACCCATTTTCAAACATTTCAAATACATTAATATTTATATTATTAAAAGATTTGGGAAGTTTTTCCCGAAAAAAATATGAAAAAGACGAATTTTGGAAGAATCTGGTGCCATCTCATACTTCAGAATAGCATTTATAAAATGGCTTAAAAGACCTGCCGAATTATTTTCAATACATTGTAAGTCAAGTTATTTATTTTCAAACTACCACAGAACAAACCATTCATTTTTTGTCGAGCCTTCGACTTTTGTTGAAAAAGCGAGACATAGCGATCCTACATTCCGTCGTCGGCGGCGTCCACAAATATTCACTCTGTGGTTAAAGTTTTTGAAATTTTAATAACTTTCTTAAACTATCCTGGATTTCTACCAAACTTGGACAGAAGCTTGTTTATGATCATAAGATAATATTTAAAAGTAAATTTTGTAAAAAAAAAAATCATTTTTTCCGTATTTTACTTATAAATGGACTTAGTTTTTCTGCCAAGAAACATTACATTCACTCTGTGGTTAAAGTTTTTGAAATTTTAATAACTTTCTTAAACTATCCTGGATTTCTACCAAACTTGGACAGAAGCTTGTTTATGATCATAAGATAATATTCAAAAGTAAATTTTGTAAAAAAAAAATTCCATTTTTTCCTTATTTTACTTATAAATGGACTTAGTTTTTCTGCCAAGAAACATTACATTCACTCTGTGGTTAAAGTTTTTGAAATTTTAATAACTTTCTTAAACTATCCTGGATTTCTACCAAACTTGGAAAGAAGCTTGTTTATGATCAAAAGATAGTATCCAGAAGTAAATTTTGTAAAAAAAAAATTCCATTTTATCCGTATTTTACTTATAAATGGACTTAGTTTTTCTGCCATGAAACATTACATTCACTCTGTGGTTAAAGTTTTTGAAATTTTAATAACTTTCTTAAACTATCCTGGATTTCTACCAAACTTGGAAAGAAGCTTGTTTATGATCAAAAGATAGTATCCAGAAGTAAATTTTTTCCGTATTTTACTTATAAATGGACTTAGTTTTTCTTCCAGTTAACATTACATACAGTCTGCACTTTAAGTTTTTAAAACATTTATTAGATTCATAAACTATCCTGGATTTTTACCAAACTTGGACAGAAGCTACTTTCAATCAAAAGATAGTATAGAGAGGAATATTTTTATTAATTTTCCTCATTTTTGTTGAGCCTGCGATTAACAGCAAAAGTAGGCGAGACACTGGGTTCCGCGGAACCCTTACGAATTTTTGTTATTATCAAGGCTGAGTTATTTATCTTCAAAATCCTCCTGGCCCCCCAGAATATCAAATGGTCGTCCCCTAATAGCAAATACACTTTATTTATATTATATGTAGATCTATGTTCATAGTATACAGAAATGCGAAAATCATGAAATTTAACAGAGAGCAAAAACATAACGGACTTCGGAAAAAAGGGAGAGGGCTTAAAATAATTGTCCTGTCTCCAAGTACCTATGGCTCAGTTTGATACCTTTTCTGAAATTCTCCAGACACAAAATCTTTTACAAAAATTCATCCTATAACAGTTTAAATACTTTCAACCAAGCTCTAATTTAAATACCAGCGATCTCGCGGATGTGTTCTAGTTTATATCTTTAAACGACAAAGATACCAAGTCAGCTTGTTATTCTAATCAGATACTGAAATCAGACTCCCAGGAGAACACATTTTGTTTGCTATAAAATCATATGTTGAATAAGCTCCAGACACATTTTAAAATGTAAGGAATTTATTAGTCCCCTACCGACAAAGTCGAAGGGGACTTTATGTTTGCACTCTGTCTGTCTGTCTGTCTGTCCACCTGCAGTCCGGCAAATCAGATTTCCAGACTTTTTTTTCTTCGTGCTTGAAGATATTGATTTGATATTTGGTGTATTACTTTATCATGACAAGTTACAGATCAAGTTCGAATTTTGTTCTGGTCTGACAATTTTGTGCAGAGTTATGGTCCTTGAACTTAGAAAATTCACACAAATAATCAGTTTTCCGCATTTTGTTTTGTCATGCTTGAAGATATTGATTTGATGATTGTTTTAATTGCTTAACTTACAGTAATCTTTCAATAATCAAAAACAACAAATTTAGAGGAAACACTATGCTCCTTCCTATATTTTATTCAAAGTTCCGTGACAAATGAGACCGGAAGAAAGAATGAGATTTCTGCGCAACTACGGGAAACTCAGAAAAAGTTAAAAAAAAAAGTTAACAATTTTGAGTTCATTAGTATTTTGATTGAAAACAGAATGTTACAGTTTGTTGAAAATTTCGATGAATCTATTTATGATGTATTGCTGCTTCCAGATAATTATTTTGCGTTGATTTGCACAGAAGTGTTCAGGAATTAAAGGTATTTAATATAATCTGAGGGTCACTTCCAGTCTGCGATGTTAAGCAGTAGCCCGAAGCCCCTGTCTAGTAAAAATCTCATCGGACTTGTGCAGAAGCACTGGTGATTGCCCAATTGGTCTAGTGAACATCTCAAATCGTTTGCCAAATTGTAGCCGGTATTTTATTGAATCTATGAGAACACGCTACAAATTTGTTGCTGACATCGTTTTCATTCGTTTACTTGTATCCCTATTTTATTATATATAGGTTTTGTTACTTCTAATCAAAGGCAACCAGTCGTCAACGTGATATACCTAATTAGCAACGAAATTGAGAACGAGGCTTGACCATGTGCTTGCAATAAACACAATCTATAAATACCACTCAATGTAAACAAACAATCAAGGATTCAATCTCATTCGATGCTGAAATGGAAACAAGGGGCTACCCCAGGTTAAACATTGAGAAGTTTCGAGTTGAAAAAAAGCTATGCAGAAAAATGATCTAGGCATTTTTAAACAACATTAACGAAAGTGTCAAATTATGTAGGAGGGTGTGGATGGGGGGGTTTACAGAATAGAGAATAATGGGCAAAAATCATAGAATATTTTTGGTATGTTTCAGGTTAGGGTGAAGGTTGGCACCTGTTAAAACATTCAAACCCGCTGCATTTTTATGCACTTGTCCTAAGTCAGGAGCCTGTTGTTTAGTGGTTGTTGTTTGTTGATGTGGTTCATATGTGTTTCTCTTTTTTAATATAGATTAGACCGTTGGTTTTCCTGTTTGAATTGTTTTACACTAGTCATTTTGGGGCCCTTTATAGCTTGCTACTTTGACCTATAATTGTTTACTTTTTACACATTGTGACTTGGATGGAGAGTTTTCTCATTGGCACTCATACCACATCTTCTTTTTCATATGTATATATAATTTGTAATTTTGGAATCCATACCACTTAATTTAAGAAGTCACGACACTTGAACACGTGGAATGGGATATTACTGAAAAGTCTGTGATGTCTAGTAATAAATGGCCTACAAATAGTGATAAGGTGTATGGTAACAAGTCAATCCACTATCTACAAAATAATTGAAATCCAAACCAGGTTAAATCAGCATCAGCTGTTTTATGAACTATTAAAGATTTATTATGTTGATTTTGAGTCTATCCCCATTTTGGTCTTGATTGTGCTGTCAGGTAATGTCATTTATGAATCTGTAAGTCTATTCATTAAAAGTTATTACGATATGAATAGTCAAACAAAATAATCGAACTTGGGGGTAATTGAATAATTAAATAATTCTAGGATTTTTACAGAATAAGGATTAAAATCTAGTGATATCTGGCTAAAGCTTGCATAATTATATAGAATGATACTGCCCATTTGATGATTTCTTTATGGAAATACATTGTGTGTAATCATCATTGCAGTATTAAAGATAGACAACAATTAAGTCCCAATATTTGTTCAGTACATCACTTATAAACTGTTAACACAGATATATGCCTTGCTTTTTTGTTATTTGATAGTAAAATGCAAATGTTGAAATTAAAATAGCAATACTTGAACATGTAAGTTATACAAAATATTCAAAGTCGGTGAACCATGACTGAAGGTACAGGGCCAAACAATCTTCATGGAAATGAGATGTGCCAATGCTAATACAACTGCATACCAAATATCATTGATCTACCACTAGTGGTTCCCCATAAACGGACCTAATCACAAACTATTACATGTAAATTAAGCAATAGTTTCAAAATCAATAGACAATGACTGAGGGGGCAGGGCCAAATAACCTCCATTGAAATGAGATGTGCCAATGCAAATACAACTGTATACCAAATAACATTACCTACCACTAGGGGTTCCCCATAAACTGACCTAATCACAAACTGATACATGTAAGCTAAGCAAAAGTTTAAAAGTCAATAAACCATGATCAAGGGGGTGGGGCCAAAAGATCACCATGGAAATGAGATGTGCCAATGCTAATACAATTGCATATCAAACATCATTGACCTACCACTAGTGGTTCCCAATAAACTGACCCAATCAAAAACTAAAACATTGTTGATGCTGCCGCCTCCACTGCCACTGCCACCGCCAGAAACAGCATACCTATGTTTTGCATTTTAACTCCATCAAGGTGAGGCAAAAACTATGTTTTGATAAGAAAATTATGTTTCATTGTTGAAATTGACCAAATGTGGTACTATTGAGGTTATATCAGCTTCCCTTTGTTTATAATTGCACGGCATGATAGTTGACACAATAATTAAATAACAACAACCTATATAATTTCTTTGGTACTCAAATTATACATCAGGAAAAAACATTGACAGAGGACAGGTGATAGCTCTGTTGAATATTTTTTAATTCTTTTTTACAGGTTTAAGTTGATGACACAACAGTGCATGTGAAACAAAATGGTAAATATACTTTATGCAAATGTGAGATTCATTTTGCTCTTTTTTGCATAATTTGAATATAATATTTTTAATGAACATATCATCAATAGATGCCAGTCAGTAGGATAATAAAACACAAAATAATGACGGACTTGGAGAAAATCTAAAATATTCTGTTAGGGAAGTAATCCACCATGCGCATGCATTTTATGAATTTTCATCACATTTTCAGTGAAATTTTCTATTCATAGTAAAGATTATAGCATATGGTTCAAATTAGTTATTGTAAAGTGTTTTTGAAGTTAATTAACAGCTAAAACAACCATATGCATAGTCTTCAACAGGAATTAAAACATTTGCAGCTGTTTTGCATTTGTAATGCCTTAATATTATGGATTTCCCTTCTCGTGCAAAGAGTTAAGGGAAGGTGTTGATTGTTATTCCAACAGGAAAAGTTTTATCAAAGGAACTTACTATCAGAGCTCACACTGTTACACATCAATACAACAATGCCAGCAATATCACATTGATCCAGAAATTTTGTTTTATGAATAAATAGCTGAGGAAGCCAACGAGTTTTCCATAGTAAACTCAACACTAAGTTACAAGTATAGAGTACTAGTGCTTCAACTGGCAGCAAGCATCTGTCTGTCACACCCTACATTTAATATTTTCTTTTATTTCCAGATACCAAAGTTGTTTCAATGGTTGTTTGGTGTTGGTGCCTTCCTCAGTGTGTGGTTAGCAGTAGTATTGGAATATGTCGGCATTCAGTCATCTAGTTCATTTAAATCATTATTTATTTTACCAGTAAGTTCACAAACTTTAGGGTGGACATTTTTATATAGAAAAGAGCCTAGGCTTAGGTAGTAAATTATAAGCAGAATCAGAGTTTGAAATATGTGAGTGGGTGAATTTGCCTTAAATAAAAATGGATCTATTCTTTTAATTTATATATAAAACTAAATTGGAAACAAATCTATGGTAAAAAAAAATGAGGACTACTACACATACAATGTAGTAACTACTTTAAAAATAATTTTATAACTGTAATAATGAATTGCTGACTTTGCTGTATACTTTAAAGAAATTGTGGCATAATTTCTCACATGATCACAAAAAGACCAGGCTGTAATCATTGTTATCACAACATTTATAGCAAGACTTGTGTACATTTCTGATAATTACATAAGATTAGTATTTTTTAAAATACGGCAATATACACACTGTAGCAATGGGAAATATTATAGAAGTTCTGTAATATTATAATTTCAAAGTTTCGATGAAAATGCCAAGTAATAATATTATTTTGGTTCAATGTCTCTATTATATTCATTTTGAAATTCTTATCATGATCTTTGAATATGAGCATCATATAGAAAAAGTTCAATTTATTTTATCTTTTGCAGCTGCCATTGATTGTTCTAGTCTTATTTGCAGTAAGTATATTGTATCCGATAAACAACAATAGTATTATAAAAAAAATGAAAGAAACACTTTATAATTATGGTAATTTAATGTTAAAAAAAGTCAATTAATGACTATTGAAATCATGACAATTTGTTTCAGCTCTGTATAATTACAGCTTATAAATATCATTGACTTTCATTGGTTGATAGCTAGTGTAATTTTCATGTAATTTTTTGTATCAGATTAATTTTGTTCACATTTTACCACTGCCAGGATATATTCACAAAGAAAAGTTAAAGATATCTCTTTTTAATCCTCTCTGACGTGTCTGAGATGATATTTGCCAAAAAATATTCATGTTGTTTTTACTCTTCATGAAGACAATTGATCATTGTGCACCTAATAAATGCAGCTGATTTTGATTACAACTTGGTGGCGGGAAAAAAAAGGATTCTGTATTGATATTCTGTATAATTAAAAACAGATTTCATATATTCAGGAGGGGTATTTGGTGAAATAATTTCCTTTGCCTAGTGTCTCAGGAATTTTAACCTTATCTCAACTGGTATTTTTATGGCCCCGCAACAAAGTTGTCGGGGCCATATAGTTTTACCCTTATCCGTCTTTCCACAGCGAACAGTTATACAGACTTTTTCTAAACTCCTTCACATATTGAGCTGATTTTTAGTATGTGAGTCAACTATGTTGAGTTACAGATCGAGTTTACGTTTGGTTCCGCTCTGCTGATTTTTGCCATAATAACAGGCTTTGGAATTTGAACATTTTGTTAAAAAAAAACAGTTATATCGACTTTTTTTCTAAACGCCTTCACATATTGAGCTGATTTTTATTATGTGAGTCTACTATGATGAGTTACAGATTGATTTTAAGTCTGGTTCCACTCCACTGATTTGTACTGAAATTATAGGCTTTGGACTTAAAATTTCGTGAAAATAACAGATATAGATACTTTCATTCTCAAATTTCCACTCCTAAAAATGGCTTCAAGCTTTTATTGCTAATGGAACCATTTGTGTTGTTCCGACACATCTAGTTTCACAAATACCCCTACTGAACTTAATATTTTGTAAATAGAAAATTATATCAAAATTAGACAGTGGATAACCATATGTAAATTGACTATTTGATTTAACTTTTTCACTTCAAAAACTGTATAATAAATTTTGAAAGGAGATGTTGTTTTATTTAATGCGGAATTCATAGTTTTACAAGACATCACTTGGAGATATAATCTATATTTTATCATATTAAACTTAAGTGGCTATATTATTATTTATTTCACTTTCTCCAAAAAAGCAGCCTTTAAAATTTGTTGGATTTTAGTACTTTGCCTACTGGATAAAGAAAATTTACTTTTTTCTTGAAAAGTTTAATCCTATCAAATTAGATCTTAAGAAATCAATTTGTTCATGCATTGCATACCTGCCAACTTTTCAGTATCTCCATGGGGGATTTTAAGTGCAAGAGGTCCTAATATTCCTCTTATATTGTCATAAGTGTTCTAAATCTACTACTATATTGTTTGAATGAGTATATATGTCATTTGAATGCCTGTTTTGAGGTCTTCAGTTTACATAATAAAGAATTTCAAAATTCAGGTCAACACCTCTCATGGGGGATATCCCCCATAAATCGGGTTTAATCCCTGGCTGTGTCAAATTAATGACATTAAAATTAATCTTTTGTTGCTTGACCACTAAGCGTGCAACATTAATATGGAGTAAGAGCAAAGACTGGTCAGTTCAGAGAATGATGTGTAGGGTGAGGTGTCTTCCAGCTGATTGCTACCTTGTGAACTAGAACCTTAAAAATCAAGCTCAGCTTGTCAGTTTAGTACAAAGCAAGACTCATATTCATATTGAATTAACATGTTTTCCTGAATATGCATTTAAATTGCCACTGTACTTTCAACAGCCATCCATCCATCAATCATATACTTTCAAATAAAGCATCCATGAAATATTTTTGCAGATATATTCTTTGGGTGTGATAATATATCGAGTTGCCATATTTAATAACTGTGAAGAAGCATCAGAGGAACTTAAAACGGTAAGGTCACAATATGTCTGAAGTTTGTTATCAGAGGAACTTAAAACGGTAAGGTCACAATATGTCAGAAGTTTGTTATCAGAGGAACTTAAAACGGTAAGGTCACAATATGTTAGAAGTTTGTCATCAGAGGAACTTAAAAGGGTACGGTTACAATATGTCAGAAGTTTTTCTGATTTATTGCTTAATTCATGGTTTCTTATATGTCCATTACAAAATAATTTAATTCTGGATGTAACACTTCTTCTGATTGGCTAAAAGTTTTTTGTCAATAAGCTCATGGACATAATTTTGTCATGTGACCGTGATGTCATCAACGTTTTTTCATGATTTACTCCTTAAAAATGGAATTTAGAATTAAATTATAAGGACTGACTGTAATATATTTTCTGTCTATTCAAAATAACCTCAAAAATGTGGTGTACACTTTTAAATAACACGCTACGCGGGTAATTCAGTGTGCACCACATTTTTGATGTTATTTCTTCATAGAAAAAATATTACAGTCATTCCTTAAATATAAAATAAACGTTTAGAAAAAAAACCCAATTAAAATAATAAGCATAAACAAAATTTAAACATTAACATTTAAACCTGGAATAAAAATACACCATTTGTATACCTGCCAACATTTCAAAATCTCCATTTTGGGGGATTTTAAGCACAAGAGGACCTAGTGCATACATATACATTTCATTAGAGTACTTAATTAAAACATCTATGGTTTTGAATGAGTATACATGTGTTCAAATGTTTTTTTTACTGGACATTAAACAAATAACAATCAATCAATCTATTGCAGTTTATTAACATTCTCATTGAATAGTCTATTTGCTAATTCTGTAATTGAGCCAGTAATAGAGATCCATTTTTGGAGTAAATTCCCTTTGCATGGTCAGAAATTTTAATCATGAAAGAAGAGCCTGCAGACCAAATTTATCTGTGTAATGTGTGTAATCTTTAGGTTTTTCAAATTTATTCATTTCATTAAAATCTTTTGTTAAGCTAAAAAAATTTGATATCCAATTGTTTAAAATGCCTTTATATCACTTTTAACTTACCATGCTTTGTATGGGCAGCAGCCAAGTTTTTCTGATATGGAACCAGACTACAATCGTCAAAAGGAAACAACCTGTGTTAAAAGCTTTTAATAACAGAATCAAATCGGTAATTGGCAAATATTCTATTGCAGCTTATAATTAATCTGAAGTGTTCAGTTGCTGAGAAATTTTACTAATTTGCTTTAAAACAAGGAATTATTTGAATCTGGAACAATTTTGAATTCTGGAAGGTTAATAAGAAATGTATTTTGAAAACTGACCCAATTAAGGGGGGTTAGTTCATACTGAAATATCAGTGAAAGTAACGTGAACCTTAGCTATGCCCACATGGCTTTCCTTTTTTTGTTTGGTTAGTTTTCATCACTCATTTCTTATAAACTTTCCAGAATTCAAATTATTGCAGATTCAAATAATTCCTTGATTTAAGGAAAGTACAATTAAAGTCAGTTTTAGTAGTGCAGTGAAAAATCACTTGAAGGTAATTCATTATTCAGGAAAGTCATACATGTACCAATATAAAATTTATTTAATTATTTTTTTCAGCAAATAGAGGAAGCCAAAGCTGATTTACAGAAAAAAGGATTTAAATTTGATAACACATGACTTCACTAATCACTGATTATTTTGTATATAAACAATATTTAGAAAACTGTACATATAAAACTGGAAGAAATATTTATTCCTATGATTAAAATGGATCTGGTATAAGTTCTTATTTCACTTAAATCAAAAGCCATTCTTTCTGTTAACCAATTTTTATTGTCTCGCCTGCGAATTTCATCCCCGGAAGGCAAGACATAGGTGTTACTTTTTCGGCGGTGGCAGTGTCAACAATTGTTAGGAATCTGCTGAAGTCAGTTTGATATGAACAAATTTTGATAAATCAATATTTTCTATTAAGTTGCATTACTATCAGTACATATCAGTTGATGACTATTTTGAGGCCTAGCCCCCATAGGTCGTGGTCCTCTGAATAGCAAAAAGTAAAATAACAAAAATACCAAACTCCACAGAAAATTCAAAACGGAAAGTCCTTTATCAACTGGCAAAATCTAAAGCTTAAACACATCAAACGAATGGAAAGAACTGTCATATTCCTGACTTGGTACAGGCATTAGATAGGTTTTCTGCTTAAGTTAGTTTGATGGGAATTATTTACGATAGCCAATGATATTTTCAATTTTCAAGGTATCTTACATTATCCCATATTATATTCTTAAATACTAAGAAGTTCAATTAACACTGAATCGTCTCAGTTTAATGATCATTTTGAGGCGCTGCCCTCTATATCATGGTCCAGCAACTTTGAATTAATTAGAAATGATGTCCATCAGATTGTCTTTTTCTGAATTTTCTGCCAACTGTTGAGACTGTATCTGTGTCAACAGTTTATTTAAACTCACAATTGGTCTACACCCTCAGTGTTGATATGAGAATTTAAACAAACTGGGTTTTGCTCATTGTTGGCCATACAGTGACCTATAGTTACTTACTTATCATCATTTGGTTAGGTGGAGAATTGTTTCATAGGCAATCATACCACATCTTCTTATTTTTATATTGAAAGCTATTGAAATCAAAATTCCTCTGGAAAAAAAAACCTCATCGAAGATACCAGTATATATCTTGTATATATATGACTTTTGTTCTGTCTGGTATCATTAGTGGTTCTCTTTAAACTGACCCAATCACAAACAGCATGCTCAAGTCTAGTCAGTCCATAAGCAGAATTTTATGTTATCTTTGGATTTATTCACTACTAGTAGACAATAGTAGACCATACAGAAGTTTCTATATGAATCTGAAGGGTGTATGTTCATTTTTGGTCATATTGTATTGTTAGGTTATCACATTTACTTTATGTATGATACTTTGACCACTATCATAGTATCCAGAGCTTATGTACTAGTATTACTTCAATTATTAATATTGATAAATTTTTAGTTTTACTGATAAAGGAGTAAGTTTGGCAAGGGCCATATTTGGCAAATGAAGTCCATTGTTTCAATGTAAATATAGTTTCAAGTTGATGAAAAGACATGTAAGAAATGGAAATAGAATTTTTTTTGTCAAGCTTTTCTTATAAAGTGTTAATAGTTCAAATAATAAATGGAGAATGTGTCCATGGGACACAGATGATGCCCCTGCTTGCATATAACGTTATAAGAACACAACTAAAGAACGGTAAAAGTGACACCACACAAGTTTGAACTTGATCCTAGTTTTTGTCGAGCCTGCGACTTCTGTCGCAGAAAGCGAGACATAGGGATAGTGATCTGGCCTCGGCGACATTAACTAACTACTTAAAAGCTTAAAATTTCAGAAGGTAGAAGACCTGGATGCTTCATACTTTGTATATAGATGCCTTATCTTATGAAGTTTCCGTCTGTCATATGTCCATTGTCCTTGACCTCATTTTCATGATTCAATGACTACTTGAAAAAAAAGTTACAATTTGTTGTAATGTTAAGTTCTCTCGTATTATGAGTAATAGGATAACTATATTTAGTATGTGCATACCTTGAAGGTTGTTATGCCTGTCAGACAGTTTTCACTTGACCTCCACCTCATTTCATGGATCAGTGAACAAGGTTAAATTTTCCATGTCAAGTCCATATCTCAGATACTATAAGTCTACTATATTTGGTGTATGGAATGATTAAGGTGTACATGTCCAAGTGGCAGGTGTCATCTGACCTTGACCTCATTTTCATGGTTCAGTGGTTCAAGTTTAAATTTTTGTGTTTTGATCTGTTTTTATACGAATATTGGTATCATGTCGTCAGCGTCGTCCAAAGACATTTGGTTTCCGAATAATAACTATAAGTGTATGGATCTCTATGAAATATAACCAAAAGGTTCAATATCACAAAAGGAAGGTTAGAATTGTTTTTGGGGTGATGGTTCCAACCGTTTAGGAATTAGGGGCCAAAAAGGGGCCAAAACAAGCATTTTTTGAGTTTCATGACAATAACTTGTGTATAGGTATTTTGATTACTCTGAAATTGTACCACAAGGTTCAATACCACAAGTAGAAGGTTGGGATTCATTTAAAGCTTAGATGTTAATTTTAAACAAAATAAATGTGGATAGTGTCCACATGTGGATACAGATGATGCCCCCGCTTGCATATCATATAGTTATAAAGGGACATAACTGAAGAACGGTAAAAGTGATGCTACCCAAATTTGAAATTGATCTGAGTTTTGTGGTAATAAGCATTGTGTTTAAGTTTCATAACATTTGGTTGAGGCAAACTTAAGTTAACAGAAACTAAAAATTCAGCAATTTTTCTATTTGTAAACACGCATAACTCTAGAACAGTTGTGTATAAGTTTTATAACATTTGGTTGAGACAAACTAAAAAATTCAGCAATTTTTATGTTTATAAAGGGACATAACTCAAGAATGGTAAAAGTGTCGGCACCTTATTTCGTACTTAATCTGTATTATGTAGTAATATGCATTGTGTATAAGTTTCATAACATTTGGTTGAGGCAAACTAAAGTTAGAAAACGGAAACAAAAAATTTGTACTTGATCTTAGTTTTGTGGTAATGAATATTGTGTATAGGTTTCATAATGTTTGGTTGGGGCAAACTTAAGTTACAGAATGGAAACTAAAAATTTTGCAATCTTTCCATTTATAAAGGGGCATAACTCAATAATGGTTAAAGTGACACTACCCAAATTCAACTAGATTTGTGTTTTATCAGTGGAGGTCAAATTAAACATTGCATTGTATAAAGCATTGATTGTAGTTGATTCAAATATAATCATGGACAAAGGATAACTCCAATTTTAAAACTAACTTGATATTAAGAAGAAAATAAAAATTTTGCAATTTTTCCTTTTATAAAGGGGCATAACTCTAGAACGGTTAAAGTGACACCACCAAAATTCAAACATGATCTGTGTTTTGTGGTAATAAGCATTGTGTATAAGTTTCATAACATTTGGTTGAGGCAAACTTAAGTTAGGGAAAGGAAACTAAAAATTTTGCAATTTTTCCATTTATAAAGGGGCATAACTCTAGAACGGTTAAAGTGACGACACCAAAATTCAAACATGATCTGTGTTTTGTGGTAATAAGCATTGTGTATAAGTTTCATAACATTTGTTTGAGGCAAACTCAAGTTAGAGAACGGAAACCAATTTCGGGACGTACAGACGGACAAGGGTAAAACTTAATGCCCCCACCGCTACGGCGGGGGCATAAAAACCTATTTCCTATCTAGTCATTGTTTTAGCTTTTATTCATTTTGATATTGGTCAATAAATCTTAATTTAAATTTAAGCTAGAATTTGGGGCCGTATTAGGGCCTTATTGAACCTACTTTGTTGAATAGCCCAGTGCATATATGTTTGTAAGTTGGTATTTGCTTCATTTTTTAAGGTGTTTTTGGTTCATTGTACTTCACTGTTTGATACTTTGGTATCTAGTAATCTCGTATTACATTTTAACCCATTTGTCCTGCTCTTATTGAGAATGACAACTAATACTGTTGTATCCTAACTGCTGTTGAAATTATAATATCGTTTTCCATACGTAAAACATTTTATTTTTCTAAAACTATGGTCTAATTAATGATATTCTATGTTCTAAATTTGGTTAATATATAGCTTTAATAAATTTTTACACATTTACTTACATTTAACATATATCACATCAGAAATAGAATCTTAAGAAAGGGACAAATATAACAAAAAAATAATCCACAACAAGCAAACATTGGTTCACTACAATATTAAATGCTTATATTGTTCTATGACGAAAATATGGTTTTATTATACCCATGGAAATGTAACAAAAATATTTACAAAAAACATGATATAACGTAACAAAAAGCATACAAGCAGTAAAAAGTTAGTATGAAAGGAGAAATTCTCTATGAGTATATACAAACAGGAGAAAAACATTGTAGAAAAGCTAAATATGAATTGGATTGCATTTTGTACAAATCAATGATTGTTGACAATTCATATACATAAAAGCAAAAGTGATATCAAGCTTGATAAGAATATAGTAACTTAACTGGATATGCCTTTGCAATCTTAAGTTTTGACATTTCAAAACAGTTCTATCAGAAAAAAATGTCTGAAAGATGTTAAGGACAAAATATAGAATTTAATTTAAATAAATGTAACAATAAAATCCATTGTAATATGTTGTCCAATTTGTGATCTTTTTTTTAAATGTAGAAGACCTGTATTCATAGTCAATATCTTAAAATATCACTTTTATAAAAACAAAAGAATGAACTATTTTGAAATACAATGATCTGTAATATTTGATTTATAGAGGAAATGAACTTCAATGCCTGTACAATGTATTATACAACAGACTGATGATTTTGTATTGCAGGGTTGTCCTCAATTTCTTTTTTGTTAATGGAGGCTCAAATTAGAGTTTAAAAGATGTTTTAGTCAAATCTAAATTTCAGATTGAAAGGTTATCTATTACACAGGTTCACTTTATACTCAAAACATTATCATCAAACTGATCTATAGAAGCAACTTCACATCAGGCTACTTGAAAAATCAACTTATTTTTTAAATTACTATAGAGATAAAAAAGAAAAATGTAAAAAAAACTCAGTGAATCATCTTGATAAAGGCATGGTGACCTACTTACAGAAAAAGGCTTAATGCATCTACACAATAATTAGTATTGGTCAATAATTATCAACCAAATAAATGAAGCAAGACATTTTCCTTGAGATTCTTTAGATTTTATTTAGTTATATTCCCATATCAAATCACTCCTAATCTATTACAGAGAACATTATGTGGGCATTAATATTACTTTGTTTGGAGGTAGAGAAAAAACCCTAAAATATAGCTCCTTTCCAAGAGAGTTGAAGAGACTCTTAAAAGTTATTGTTTTTGTTTCCATTTCAAACAGTAGCACCTCTAACATATCAAGATGTCCGGTCTGGAAAGTTCTCCCTCCTTGGAATAGGAGTAAAGAAGAAAAATCTCCATACATGTATCACATTTTTAAGAAAAAAGAATAAAAGTAATTGTGTCTTGTACATTACTAAAAACATATTGGATTTACTTGTAAAAATACTGGTCACTGCTGCCTTTTCTTGCAGCCTTATCAAAATATAAATAAATATGTGTTAAAACAACCATTTCAATTTATACAACCACTGGTAATATTTTGTGATGTTAATGTACAAAATAAATGCATAAGATGATAAAAATATTATAATGTGAAAGTTGATATTGAATATGCAAACTGTGATCTTCCAACAAACAATTATATCATATGGCACATATCTTAAGCACAATAGAAAATGTGGTTTTTAAATGTCATGGATATTTTTCTATTTACAAATATATATAAATATATGAATATACCATGTGCTCCTTTCATTTTGCATTGTAAAACTTGCATCATAGCTTTGACCATTTTAGACAGTTTAAAAGTAGTGCAGAAGAAAACACTTATATTTTTGTTTGATTATATTTGAAAGAAGACCCACAATGTATAAAAATATTCTTCATTTACATCAAACAATAACAGTTTTTCTTTTTTTTTCATTTAGATTTATTATCTCCCTTTATCAGTAATTCATTCTTTAACAGTTTAAGACAATCAGATACTAAGTACAGAAACAGTGAAAAAGTAAAATACTAAGAAACATTTAACTTAACATACAAAAATATATAGTCACTAGAATTCAACCTACTTTTACTAGGATATTATGATATATTTGTTCTATAAGTACAATTCATGTAAAAATACCTATTTTTGAATTTTAAAAATCCTTGTACTAATAAGAAATTCTGAAGTTTAACTGAAATCCAAATATAACTTACTCCTCAAAAGTTGAAAACTGTAAGTCATACGGGCAGTACTATTACTGTTTTTGTGATGCAGTAAAGGATATATCTGTAAATTAACAATAGATATTAGTTATTCCTTTCAAAATCAAAGAAAAATCTCAAAAAATACTTCTACATGTATTTTAGCGATTTTCTTATTATTTCAATGTTAAATATTTCCTGAAATTACTTGTAGCAGTATTCTATATCAAGAGAAGAAAAATCTCCATTAGCCAATGATTAACAAGTGTAAAAAAAATCTTAAATTTTATGCTGACAGATGCAGTATTTTTTTATTTTAATAAAAAGCCCTTAAACTAGTCAATTTCACTTCATTTACACATATATATGTTCTACTTTCTGTGTGTGCATGTGTATGTTATACTTAAATCAAAACAAAAAGGCAAACATTAAATATTTCTTCTAATAAAGCTAAATACATAAGCATTAGTTGCATGACAAAATCATCATATTAAAAAAATAAATAAGTAAAACAGATTTTAATAAAATCAGAGTTGTATAAATGCTTTAAAAGTATTAATTCAACATCAAATTTACAAACAATGAATTTGTATATATATCTATATATTATTTAATACATCAAAAATAATGTTATACATGTAACACACAATAAACCTTTTACAGCCTCATTTACATGTAGTAAAAGACATATATATTCACAGTACTGACATGATTCTTTTGTTTGTTCATTTGATATTCATAAGGATACATGTTATTTGAGGTGGCATGCAATAAAACCATTTTGATTAGCAAATCAAGGTTAAATGTACTTTAAAGGTTTATGTATTCTTCACTGATAGACCTATAAGAAAAACATTCTTTATATTTTCTTGAAAGCCTAAATATAAACACAACCCGCTAGGGTTTCTTATAGCATTGAACCTGATTATCCTATTTTTTCCCCTTTTATATAAAGTTGCACTTTTTATTGCAATTTTCAACCCACTTTCTATTCCACAGATTAAGGAAATAAAATGTTTCAGAATATAAACTGTTTGCCTAAATCATGACTATTGTATAAAATTGAAATCACATATCATTTAATTTTGACATTTTACAATGTTGAATTTGACTAGTGTATTGCCATAGATGAATTTGTAAATGGCCTAGAATAACAATAGATTTTCAATAGTGGTTACAAATCTTATACAATTAAATTTTACTGACACAAAGTAATTTATCTCCAAGATCTAATAAGCATATTTTGGATTTCGACCAGTAATATCTTCATTTCTTGAAAAAAAAATAAAACTATAGATCTATGATTATGTGTATGCTGCTATAATATTAAAACTTATTTATTGTCACAGGTGTTATGATAAAAAATAAATTAAATACAAATCTTAACAGTAGTCTAATTGAATATTTTTAAGTACTATGCCACATAATTTATTACCCTAAATGACTTTTTTTTAAATAAATACCATAATATCATTTTAAAACTTTTTATCCACAAAAATTATGATTTACAATTGGTTTTACCTTGATTTGTGAGTTGTGGTCAAATATAAATTTCTGTAATCTTTAAAACCTGTGGCCTCCTCCCTTTTAAGCATGCAATTGTAAGCATAACATGTGAAATGAGGATCCATATCCAGAACTAGATAGCTTAATATCATCTCTGTATAAAATATATGGTTTACCAAGAATGATTTAGTCTTATACAAAGGGTATTCATTGTTCAAATCATCGTAAACTGCTATTTGGAGGGTAATCAAAATAAAATTTTGAAAATTTTGAAAGTCATCCTCAGTATAAGGACTTTCTAGATGTTTTTCCAATCTACTTGCACTGTACAAAATCAAAACTATTTCTATAATTTAAATCCTTGTTATGTTAATAACTATAGCATTTAAATTTTTTTTATCAAATACAGAGGAATAAAATGACCAATTGTACAGGGAAATTTTTCTCGTGATAAGTGAACTCTTATTGAGGTTATTGAGGTAAAAACTTGACACCTATTAGGAATCTCACTTATAATTTTGGACATCACAACAATGTCTTTTATCATTAAAATAAATCTATATATTCCATCTGATTGATTTAGTTATTTGTTTTAGAAGACACTAGATAATTATTTTGTGATCATTTTACTGTTACTTTAATTATAATTAGTTCAATCATGTCAATATTTTCAACATTTACAATAAGCATACCCATCAGTGTGATTACTGCCTGTCATTAAATTGTTTGAAGTAGGAAGTAAAGGAAAACAAATGTGAAAAATAAACAGATGAAAGAAAGATGCCAAGTGATGACTTCAAATTGACACTGACCCTTTGGTCCTATTAAAAGTGCTTCAATGGCTAATTTTCAAAGGACTGACCACCTGATAAAACCTTTTTACTCAATTTTACTATTCATGCCCTTCAGAAGTAGTCTGGCATACTTTGTTACGTTTCAAATTAAAATATGCAATAATAAAACATTTATATAAATAATTAAATATTGACTTTTGTAAAAATCATATAAAAATAAAACTTGAACAAAAAATAACAATCAATGCTTCAATAAACAAGTGGGTATATCTAACAACCAGTGTTTGTTAAATTTTTCAAACTTTTGTTCAATGTAACAATAAACATATATTCTACCCCTAAACATGGATAACTAAAAGGAGAAATGGATGTGGATATTAAATTTTTAGACTCACATGTAATCAAGCATTTATCTATTTTGGTTTACTTGACGGGTTGCTGTCTCTGTGACATTTACATCAGGATTCTAATGGATTTTATTTTTAATAATGAAATTAAATTTTCACAGTGCTAAGTGGTCAATAACACATCTTAAAATCTGAACATAAAAGTGAGACCAACTTAATTTGATGAAAAATAACTCCAATATTACAGTCATGTCAGTTGGCTTATCAATACATGAAACAGGAATGAAAGAGCCAAAATCCAACTAAACCTGTGTCCAGAAGTAAACACACTTGTAAATATTTAATCTCCGCTCTTAATACAGGATTTTAATAAACAAAAACTATTGAAAGCTTTATCTGATTTAGACACTGATTTCTAGAGACAGAAATATCTGATTTTTTTGAAAATTTGGAAAAGAAACAAAACTCCATAAAACCTGAAATTACAAATAGCAACATTGAAGACAAGAACTAAGTACATATGTTTTATAGTTAACATATAATTTTATATAAGAATCCTTAATTAAGTTAGTAAAAAAAAATACTGTTTTTTTATCATTAACAAAAATTGGGAAGACAAAAATAAGGGGAAACAAACTTTTTTATCTTTCCATACTCTTTCCTTAATTTTGTGTTTTTCTTGAGACATTAAAATGAGTGGTCTGAGTTTCCTTCCTAAAAATTATAGTGCCAATAGGTAGATTGTTTTCAAAAGATATGGCTTAGTTCTGTTATTATGCATACTGCTTTACCTGTATATGCTCTATCAAATTGAAAATGTTTAACCAGTTTTTGATCAATTCTGTGGCACATTTTGATGACAAAAATTGAATTATTGAGAAAGGGCTTTAACTCAACAACGAGAAAAGCTAAAGTTGTGAAAATTGAACTTGACCTTCATTTAGTCACAGGAAACAACATATCTAAATTTGAAAAAATTTCGACAAAGGGTTTTCATGTTAATGAACAGACACTGTTTGGCAGCTGCCCACCCGCCGTACATCCCCAAATCAATAACCGAAGATCTCTTTCGAAAATCCGGTTAAAAAAGTTAGAGAGTATTTTTTTTGAGATTTAAAAAAAAAAAAATTTTATGAAGACATTTGGATCAGTGTTCAAAGTTAGGGCCAGTATGGAAACCCTGAACACATACCTTTATTTTAAGGCCTTACTTTTTTGAAGATATACTTACTTTCGTTAAATAATATAATGGCCTCACTTTTCTTCACAAAAAAAAATTTAGATCTGATAATAAACATTATACCCTCCTACTGTTCAACAAATTAACAAACAAAAAATAAAATAACCAAGTAAATAATTTTGGCAATATTTCAACTTTTGTTAAACAAACAGTTGCTTGACAATACTAACTAACCAAAGAAGCACCACATCTTACATTCTTAGAAACACTTACAATTAAATATTTTGTATCATCTAGATAAGATTAACTTTTGATATATTCTTAAATGAAGCTTGTAAAAAATATATATTCAATAGTTCTTGTCAGCACACTTAATTCATTTCTTTAACAATATATAAACATCAGTAGACATAACCATCACAACAGAAATATCTATTTATATTTTTTTATTATCCTTTTGAAGCATAAATCCTAAAATCCTTGTTAAAATAATAAAGTATCTAAATAGGGTGGTAAGAATGTACATTCAGTAATTAGGGGGAAAAAATGAAAGGTTTCATGGACAGATACATAATATCCAATAAACATGATAAAAATATAAATGTCAAGACAGATAAGCTAAGTTTTTTTAAATTTTCTTTAAAAAATATTTATGTAAAAGTGAAAGATACCATCTTTTGGTACAACACGATTTACATATATGTGACTGATCATACTGATACTACAAAAACTATTAATGATACTTATTCCAGAATTGCTTCTGTGACATAAAATGTAACAAAAAATAAATAAATGCAGTCTCATAATATACATGCTACAGACAAATTTTCATTCATAAAATCTATGATTCATCATGTTATATAACATCGGGTGTCTGTAAGCTTCCTGATTTTCACCTGTGGCAGCAGCTGTGCCTGGACGTGGTACAAAGTCTCGTTCCTGAACCACGCTTGCACCTGATGGATGTGATAATTTAGCTGAGGCAGCCGCTGCCGCAGCATATTGTTTGTCTAAACTATATGGACTGTTCTGAAAATAACCCCTTGTGTATTCACGGTCAAACACAGAATGCTGTCCCGGCACACCTGGTGGTAAAAATGGACTATTTGTAGCATCAGGAATATGCTGAGCATGATACACAGGATCCCTTGAGTACATGTATTTGTCAAGATGAAATGATGAGTTCAACATGTTACTACTAAACATACTAGATGCAGTTGTCTGAGGTAGTGCCCTGAAGTCTGTGATGCCTGTAGATGATTGACGGTATCGTTCATCAAATGTTTTTTGAGATGTATGTGCAGCAGCAGCTCGGTTATACTCAGTGAGAGTTGAAGCCCCAGGATATGTATGCCCACTGAAGTAACTACCAATGTCAAATCTGTCCATTGAGAAAGTGTCATGTGCAAGTTCTGGCCTCTGTGTTTGTGGAAGACCAGGAAAGACATTTCTATCAGTAACTGCACGTCGCGATGGCTCAAACATAAATTCACGTCCAGGAAGATAGTTGTCCTTTCCAAATATTGTTGATGGAGCTGCTGTTGGCCTATCAATTGAGCGTCCCAAATATGGACTTTGACTCCAATGAGCTGGTCTAACTTCCTGACTAGCCCAAGTGTTGTGAAAGGGATTTCTAGCCATATTTGCCATAGCAGCAGTGGAACTACTGAACATATCTTCACGAGGTGGCACAGTTGTTGGTCGTCGAAGTAATGATGCATTGTTATGTTGTGCTAAGGCATTGTCTGCCATTCTATGCAAATTTTGTAATGCATTTGGGTCACCCTGTGACAGAAAAGGAGTAGTCATTCTTTGCCTCTGTAAAATAGCATCATTTTCTGAAAATCGCATGAAAGTTGAAGGAGTTGATACTGACGGGAATGGACTTTCTGCTGAATGAATAATTGGTGCTTCTCGTGTAGTTGGAGGCATAAATGTGTTCATAGAGCTGATGCTTTCATAAACATTATCGGGTATTCGATCAGATGATCTTGATACATTTTCACTTCTGCTACTATAATGATCCTCGGTTTGACGGTCAATGGACAATATTTCCATTCTCTTATTTGACATGTCACTACCCTGACTATTTTCTCTGTCATTACTATTTGTACTAAGGTTCAAAGGTGGTGCATTTGCACTGAGATTCAAAGGTGGCAAGTCTTTCTGGGGTGAACTTGGAAGATCAATTGGTTCTGATGTTTGTTCATTTTGAGAATTCATCCTTTCAATTCGATCATCCTCTGAACGGCTAGCTGAATCAAACTGTTGAAGATACTGCCCTAGGTATTCTTTGTCAACCTCTGGCATAGTTGATTCAGATTGTGAGCCATAATCGGGATTGGCATTTGATTGTGGTTCAGGTTGTATTGGTTCCATGACAGGAGATTGAGTATTAGGCAAATTTTCCGATTCCAGATTAGAATATGGAAGACTGACTTCCCTTTCATCTCGATTTTCTTCAACGGAAACTTCTCTTGACGGTGTAGCTGTATAGCTTCCAGATAGTGCCTCAACAGAATCTCCTTCTCTCTTATTTTCAAATCCTGTTTGGCTAAGAGTACTTGGCCCGTAATCTGATGTTTGAACAGATTTAGGAGGAGATGACTCAAAGTCCCTTGGTGTATGTGCAGGAACACTATGAATATGTTCTGTGATATTTGATTTGGGTGGAGTTGACTCAAAGTCTCGACCAGGTGTGTCCATCTCATCTGGGCCTGATTCAATATCTCCCTCATCACTGTCAACAACAGGTGGAGGTCTAGGAGCCGGGGGAGGTTTCAAATCATCTTCAAAATCTGTGTCAATTCCACTGCTCATCTTATCCGATTCATGTTCACTTTGCTTTTCAACTACACTGCTTTCATTTTCAATTTGAGGTTCTTCTTTCTTTTCTTCAGTCTTTGCTTCAGTTTTTGCTTCAGTTTTTACTTCAGTCTTTTCTTCAGTCTTTGCTTCAGGCTTAACTTTAGTCTTGACTTCTATTTCTTCCTCATCCTCCTTTTCTGATTGCTTGTTTTCTAGTATCGAAACAAGATGTGCATTTTCTTTTAAGTTCTCATCTCCTATATATTCTCTAGTGTCATCATCATCTTCATCAGGATTCGGAGTACTTAATAGAGGAACATCTACAGTGTCATCATCATGTTCATCTTCCCTTGGAATAGTTTCATCTTCCTCTTTTTCAGAATCATTTTCATCATGATTACTTTCATCATCTTTTGTTTCCTCCTTTTTCTTGTCTTCTTCAGACTCAGAAGGTGGTCTTACTTTTCTTGGTCTTCCTGCTTTCTTCTTAATTTTGTTAATGGGTGATTTTACTACAGCTTTTTTGCTGTTTTCTTCGACAATTACACTTTTAGGTTTTCTCCCTCTTTTCTTTGGAATCTTTTCTACTTTTTTACGACCTCTCCTTCCTTTTGGCGTGATTTCACATTTTTCATCCTCTTCCTTTTTTTCCTCCTCAACTTTTTCAACTTTCAATTTTGATTTTCTTGGTCCCCTCTTTCTTTTCACAACAACATTTTCCTCTTTTTCTTCCTTTTTTATATTTTCGTCCTTTGCATCCACAGTTTCAAAGCTAAGATCAGTTTCAGGTTCTGCATAATTTATTTTCTTCTTTTTCCCTCGCCTCACAACTTTTGGTTTGGGAGTTTCTATTTTTTCAATACTGTCTTTATTGTCAGGATATTCTGTATCAGTTGGTTCATCTTCATTTGCAATTTTAGCTTCTACTTTCACTTTATTATCCACTTTCTCATTTGATTTATTTAAATGATTAATAGGTCTCTGAACAGGTAATGGTAATGGAACCAGTACAGATTCATCACCAAATTCATCGTCAGATTTAAATTCATAGAGATCAACCACTTTATTAGCGACAGGAGAATCAGACTTTGTATCATCATTAATAGTACTACCAGTAGTAGTCTTAGCACTATTAGATTTATCAATTACTGTATCATTTTGAGTTGCAATATCCTCACTTTTTGCTACTGCATTTACGATTGCAGTTATTAAGTCTAAGCTTGAGTCTAATGAATTAACAGTGATGTCATTCTCTGATTTTAACACTACATCACCAGAAGCAGATTTTTCCTTTCGTTTTTCTCTTTTTTTGAAAACAATGTTATGAATTTTTTGCAAGTGATAACGGAGAGAACTTTTCTGTCGACATTTGAAATCGCACATATTACAGGACACTGGTTTTTCATTTGTGTGCTGCCGAAGATGGACTCTCAGATTGTCTGCATGTCTAAATGCTTTACCACAATATGAACAACCATACTTTCTCTCTCCTGTTAAAAAAAATTGAAATAAGACTGTTAGCACAGGTTTATGTCTCAATTGCTTGTATCAATACTGAAAAGATAACAAGATATCTCAATATACATGTAGTATACATATATGTGTATATTTTATTGCTAATATGTCAGTTTTTGGTGGGGTTCGTGTTGCTCAGTCTTTGGTTTTCTATGTTGTCTTTTGATCCTTTTCGATTTTTGTCATGGCATTGTCAGTTTTTTTTCCACTAATGAGTCTAAATGAGTTTGAAAATGCCTTTGGTATTCAAATTATCTTTAAACTATATGAGATACATTTTCTGAGACTTTTGCCATCTTGAACCTTGTTCTTTGTGTAAAAAATATGCTCATATGTACTAATTGTAGGTTGGTATCTTTTGCCTCTCTTTTACTGTATTTTTTCCTGATGTTTTAGTTCAGTTATGTGAGGTGAGGTTTGTAATGATTCAGACGCTGGACTATCTACACATACATGACAGAGGGTCAGTATCAATAATACATGTATGTAAATCATAATTTATCCTTTTAATTATATGAGATACATTTTCTGTGCCTTTTGCCATCTTGAACCTTGTTCTGTATGTGATAAATATGCTTATACATGTTATATGTGGGTTCAAATGACTCAATTTCTTTATTAACTTTAATTACAGTTATGAGGCTTTTTAATTTTGTTTAAACATGTTAAATATAATTATATATTTTTCCTTACCTCATTTTAAAAACTCAAAAAAGATTAAATAAACCATCTACTAAAATGAAAGAAAGTGGCAAAAAAAATCACCAATTTACTTTGAGTGAGATTTAGAAAATGAAGAAACCCAAGAGGTGAATACTGGCCAAATATCATGCCTCAATTGTATGCACTACAGTGCATGGACATAAATAATTGCTAATTATAAATCACGATCTTTTGCTACAGTATAAATTCCATATAAAACCAGCTTTTTATAAAAACATATTGTTGGGTCATTAACATTTCTGTTGGGAATTTAATCAACTAGTATATTACCTAAACATGCTAAATGTTTTACAAAAAAAAAAATGTACTTCAAAACCTGATGACCTAGGCCAAAAAAAATATGTCTATTTCTGCCTCCTGCCAGACCCTATTCAATATATTTTATTGCCTTTTTAAAAAAAAAATATTCTAGAAAAAGTGTTTTGTGTTTATGTAGACAACGAATCCTATTTCTGCTGGATTATTCAGTATAATTTTTAAAAAATTTGATAAAAAATCGAGTGAAAAACTGAACTTGGAAATTACCATTGCATTACTGGATCTTGAAGAAAATCAGTATTGAACTTGGAGACAATAAGTACTTTTTCTGGATTTTGTCGACACACAAAAAATAGAAAAAAGAGAATTCTGACAGACCCTTTTTCTTATGGTCATGATGGTTGGAGGCGGAAAAAAGACATTTTTTTTAGCCTAATACCATGAATACCTTACTGAATGTTTTGCTAAATGATGCCACAGATTAATAATATCTAAATTATGTATACCCTACATGTGTTCTATATAACCAACCAAATGACTAATAGTACATTATTTGAATGTGTTACTAAATGATGCCACAGATTAATAATATCTGAATTATATACAACATGCATGTGTTCTATATTACCAACCAGATAACCAATAGTACATTACCTGAATGTGTTACTAAATGACGATCTAGATGACTTCTCTTAAAAAATGAAAAATCACATCCAGAATGAGCACAAATAAATTTCTTTTCTGCTTGATGATGGAAATCTTGCAAATGATTTTTGAGTAGTTTATGTGACCGAAATGATTTTTCACAATCCTCAACAGTACATTTGTAAGGTGTTCCTGTTTTATGAACTACACAATGACCGGATAATGCACCTGAAGTCCGAAATTCTTTATGGCACTGTTTACACTTAAAAGGTTTGTCAATACTGTGCCATTTTAAATGCCTTCTCATATTATCTTCAGAGTGAAACATTTTTTCACAATCCTCATAAGTACATTTAAATTGCTTTATTCTTGAACTATGAATGTTTACAAGATGTTTCTTTAAGTTTGCTTTGTAGTTAGATTTGTACGAACACTGTGGACATGAAAACTTTTTCGGACCATCAGGATCATGTTTTAAGATATGAGATTTCAACGATGATTCATACTTGAACTCCTTTTCACAATGAGGACACTTAAATGGAACTGGACCCTGACAACTTTCCATATGTTGTTCTAGTGTGATATCAGCACAGTGTACATATCTACTACACTTTCGACATAGTTTATGATCCATACGTTCCTTGTGTTCCCGGTGCATATGATCTTTTAACTCATCATCAGACTCACAGAAAAAGCTACATCGTAAGCACATAAAAATATTGTGAGAATGTAGATGCTTTGCCAACATTGCTCTTTTGTGTGCAGTATAGTCACAATGTTGACAATTGTAAATAATGTCTGTTTTTGATCTCTTTTTTGAAGAACTTTGGTTTTCAATAGATTTATTTTCTGAACTAAGACTATCATTAAGATTTTCTTTATCTTCACTTTGATTTTCACTTTGGTTTAAATTTTCTTTAGATACATCATCACATTCTATATTGCTCTCATTTATTGTTTCTGAATATACACATGTTTTGTCTTCATCCTTACATTCAACATGAGATTCATCTTTCTTTGTGTCATCAGTTGCTTCCAATTCTGTATTCTCATTTTCTTGTCTTTGCATTTCCAATTTTGCTTGATAAACAAAGCATTTTTTCAAATGTCTTGTATTAGCTGCCTTTCCAACTGAAACTTTTTTACAATAAGTGCAGACAATCTCTTCTAATGGTTTCATTTTCCTTTTTTCTTTTTTCTCTCCTTTCTCATTGTCTATTGGTTTTTCACTTTTTCCGTCATTATTACCTTGATTATTACAATTAGGTTTTTCACTGTTATGTTTAATATCATTTTCCTTTTCAGTTTTTGTAATATCTTCATTGTTAACATGTATATTATCTGCACTTTCAGATTTAACTTCTATCTTATCGGACTTAATTTCAGCACTATCAATATTTTCTCTGTTTTCAACTGTTTTTTTCTTTCTTATTTTCTTTTTTTTTACTTTTACAAAAGTACTTTCTTTCAAATCACAAGACTCCTCTATTGACAAAGATTCATCCTTCACCTTCTCAACACTTTCATTTTTATCAGTAGCATCATCTACTGAGGTTTTTATTTCACTTTGAGAAAGCTTTGCTTTCTTCTTGACAGCTTTTGGTTTTAATATTATATCTTCTTTTATCAAAGATTTATTTTTACGAGATTTCACAACCTTTTTACCTTTATTATTATCAGTTGATTCATTTGTGACAGAATCTATATCTTTGTCATTCTTTTCAATTACAAAATCATCATCTTTTATATTCATGAATTCATTTTCATCAAAGTTCAGTTTGCGCTTCTTTGGGGTAGAACAACGTGGCGATTTTGAACGAGATCTTTTCTTCTTACCAGAACTATCTGCTTCTTCCTTAGCTGGGTCAAGTTCTTCATCACTTTGATATTTACGATTTTTAACAGGAGTCCGTTTTGAAGAACGAGGAGAAACATTTAGACTGTCAGATGTGTTAAAACTACTTGACTTTTCTGAGTCTTCTTTATGTGATTCATCAATATCAGTGTCATCTGTCGTATTGGATTTTTGTTTTGATTTTGTTGATCTCGATTTATTCTTCGATTTTGGTGAAATTTTTTCTTTACTTCCCAAATCAACAACACAATTATTTAGGACATCTTTACTTGCTTGACTCTTATCATTTTTCTTGTCTGACATTTTTCTCCTTTTTGCTTCCTTTACAGTGGTTGTTTTCTTTGCCTTTGAAGGTGGTTCTTGTTTTCTTTTTTCTCCTTCTGGTTCACATTTTCTAATATCATCAATGTCTTCATTGTGAAGTAGATTATTCTCTACAACTTTCTTTGATTTTTTAGGTGGAGTCTTTTTCTTTGCACTAATTCCTACGTTAACATCCTCCATTTTTTCATGATTCTCATCTTTATCATTTTTATTTTCCTCAATTTTTTCATTGTCAAATTCAGGTTCTTCATCATCAATATGATTTTCCTGAACTCCAGAGTCATTATCCTCTATCATTTCTTCCTCCTTGTCAGAAGAGTTCTCAATAGTTTCTTCTTCAACTTGTACTGACAAGGCTGACAATTTAGAAATGCCTTCATCATGAGTAACTAGTCCAGGCTCTCTTGACCTAGCTTTGTCAATTCTCTTTGGTTCCTTGTAAGTCCTCATCCTGATTTAAGTCTAACAATTCAAATTTACCTAGCCCATACTATCTTTTACCCTGTAATGAAAAAGAAAATTCAGTGTGATGTAATATGATTAAAATTTATATTAAGCATAAATAGCAAGCTGTTTACTTCTATGTCATTTGGTTTCTGGTGGAGAGAGTTGTCTCATTGGCAATTATACCACATCTTCTTATTTTCATATGACATGATTTTTCAATAATTTTACCAAAGAGGGGGGGGAAACAGCAATTGCCCCCATCCTTTGGCTTCTATGCTCTAAAGTATATCTACGTTATACATATTATGATAAAATATTTTCGGGTTGTTCTTGTACAAAGTATACTTTTTCAAATACAGTTGATTTATTTATTATTTGTAGGTTCAAATTTTCCTGGATTGAGGAAGTACCATACCTGATTTCGTTGTTTTAACCAGTTTTGTTTACAAAGCTATAGAAACTTGTCCTTTCTTGAACATTTAATTTTGTAGTTAACCTTTAACCGCGTTCACTAAATCAAGGGTAATTTGTATATGATACATCATATTGTGGTGCCTTACTCATTTGTTAAAGCCTATGTCAAAGGAGAAAAAATTATGTTCCAGACACAAAAAATATAAAACAAAAAACAAACAAGAGGCTGTCAGAGTGACAGCAAACCGGATTTCCTGCATAGGTCGAACCCTGAACAGTTGAGCAAGTATGGACACTACATTAAAGCTTAAAACAGCTCTGAATTTGGATTGTGATTGAATATTTGACACAGCATAGGTTTGTGACACAAAATGAATGTGGTCAAAGAACTGAACTAGAGGCTCTAAAGAGCCTGTGTCGCTCACCTTGGTCTATGTGCATATTAAACAAAGGACACAGATGGATTCATGACAAAATTGTGTTTTGGTGATGGTGATGTGTTTGTAGATCTTACTTTACTGAACATTCTTGCTCCTTACTGTTATCTCTATCTATAATGAACTTGGCCCGGTAGTTACAGTGGAAAATACTTTGTCAAAATTTACAAAAATTTACAAAATTTATGAAAATTGTAAAAAATTGACTATAAAGGGCAATAACTCCTTAAGGGGTCAATTGACAATTTTGGTCATCTTGCCTTATTTGTAGATCTAACTTTGCTGTACATTATTGCTGTTTACAGTTTATCTCTATCTGAAAATTTCAGGGCAGATAGATCTTGACCTAATGAACAATTTTATCCTCATCAGATTTGCTCTAAATGCTTTGGTTTCAGATATGAGCCAAAAACTGCATTTTACCCTATGTACTATTTTTTAGCCATGTCGGCCATCTTGGTTCGCGGGCGGGGTCATCGGACACATTTTTTAAACTAGATACCCTAATGATGATTGTAGACAAGTTTGGTTAAATTTGTCTTAGAAGTTTCAGAGGAGAAGATTTTTGTAAAAGATTACAAAAATTTACGAAAAATGGTTAAAAATTGACTATAAAGGGCAATAACTCCTTAAGGGGTCAACTGACCATTTTGGTCAAGTTGACTTATTTGTAGATCTTACTTTGCTGAACATTATTGCTGTTTACAGTTTATCTCTATCTATAATAATATTCAAGATAATAACCAAAAACGGCAAAATTTCCTTAAAATTACCAATTCAGGGTCAGCAACCCAACAACGGGTTGTCCGATTCATCTGAAAATTTCAGGGCAGATAGATCTTGACCTGATAAACAATTTTACCCCCATGTCAGATTTGCTCTAAATGCTTTGGTTTCAGAGATATAAGCCAAAATCTACATTTTACCCCTATGTTCTATTTTAAGCCATGGGGGCCATCTTGGTTGGCAGGCGGGGTCATCGGACACATTTTTTAAACTAGATACCCTAATGATGATTGTGGCCAAGTTTGGTTAAATTTGGCCTAGTAGTTTCAGAGGAGAAGATTTTTGTAAAGTTAACGGACGATGACGACGGACGAGGGACGAAAAGTGATGAATTTTTATGTTTATAAAGGGACATAACTCAAGAATGGTAACAAACTAAAGTTAGAAAACGGAAACAAAAAATTTGTACTTGATCTTAGTTTTGTGGTAATGAATATTGTGTATAGGTTACATAATGTTTGGTTGGGGCAAACTTAAGTTACAGAATGGAAACTAAAAATTTTGCAATTTTTCGATTTATAAAGGGGCATAACTCAATAATGGTTAAAGTGACACTACCCAAATTCAACTCGATCTGTGTTTTATCAGTGGAAGTCAAAATTAAACATTGCATTGTATAAGCATTGATTGTAGTTGATTCAACCACAATCATGGACAAAGGAAGATAACTCCAATTTTAAAAATAACTTGATATTTAGAAGAAAATAAAAATTTAGCAATTTTTCCATTTATAAAGGGGCATAACTCTAGAACAGTTAAAGTGACGCCACCAAAATTCAAATTTGATCTGTCTTTTGTGGTAATAAGCATTGTGTATAAGTTTCATAACATTTGGTTGAGGCAAACTTGTTAGAGAACGGAAACTAAAATTTTGCAATTTTTCCATTTACAAAGGGGCATAACTCTAGAACGGTTAAAGTGACACCACCAAAATTCAAACTTGATCTGTGTTTTGTGGTAATAAGCATTGTGTATAAGTCTCATAACATTTGGATGAGGCAAACTTAAGTTAGAGAATGGAAACTAAAATTTTGCAATTTTTCCATTTATAAAGGGGCATAACTCTAGAACAGTTAAAGTGACGCCACCAAAATTCAAACTTGATCTGTGTTTTCTGGTAATAAGCATTGTGTATAAGTTTCATAACATTTGGTTGAGGCAAACTCAAGTTAGAGAACGGAAACCAATTTTGGGACGTACAGGCGTACAAGGGTAAAACTTAATGCCCCCACCGCTACGGCGGGGGCATAAAAAATATACCTCAGCTTGTCAGTGTTTTTTTAGAGATTTATTTTACAATTTTTAATCACAGCATACTTTACTCAAAAATCACTTAAAACATTGAAAAGTACTCTGTATTTTACAAGAAAAGTATGTTTATGTAATTTTTTAATTATGTAACTCTGCATATTTGAAAAGCTTTGTCTTTTCACAATATCAATTGCTAAAAACTTTTTATCAATTTGCAGTCTAAAAAAGTATGACTTTATCTATCAAAACCATGATGACATTTTATAAGTAATTTGTTAAACATTATTTCCATGGTTGTTATCAATGCAACTTATTATCAAGTGGTCTGAAAGAACACAGAAATGTATTTGTTAGATGAGTAAAATTTTTAAGAGAAAAAATCCAATCACATGATACATATATTAAAGGGACATAATCATAGGTGTACATAACATAAAGATTCTGCTGTAAAATATATACAATGACTGAATGTAAATTATTTCCCTTTACTATCAGCGGATTAGTAATAATGTATATTTAAATTACAAGTAAACAGTAACATCTTGTACAGTAGAAAACAAAGCAATAATTCATTGGCAAACAAAACAATGTACTAATTACTTATAAAATGTCATTATTTCATATAATATCCAAGTCAAACTTTTTTAAGCCAGTGTCCCTTTTATATTAAAAGGAGTAGTTCAAATTTGTGCATTCTCTCGACACAGACAGTCAATCACTGGAATTGGATGGTTTAAATAATTTTAATTCAGTGCACTTGCTTCAAATAACAACCTTCACTGAAGCAATGAGCTAAAATGTTAACAAGGTGATAAGTTTGTTAAGGTGAATTTCAAACTGCAATTGGGTAAAACATTTTAGCAACTGGTATTGTGAAAAAAAAAAAAGCCTTTTGAATATGCACAGTAGAATTAAACGCATATTGACTGTTGTAAACAAAGAGATGACTTAAATTGCAATAGCTGAATATAGCTGACTACAAAGAGATTTCTGTGAAACAAGAGGCTCCAAGGACCCCTAATTGTTCACCTGGCAAGAACAAACCATACTTATATTTATCTAATAACACAAGAAGAAAAGTTTTCAAACTAATAGGAAGAAATGGAGAAATTGGTAAAAGAATTATCATTGTATAAGGGCAAAAGCTCTAAGGAGTTAATTGATAGTTTCCGTCAAAGTACTATCTTTCTTGATCTTGTATTGATCATCTGTTTTCTGTCTATTATCTATGGAAGTTTTCAATATAAAAATAAGGAGATGTGGTATGATTGCCAATGAGACAATTATCCACCAAAATTCAAATGAAGGGAATATAAGCAATAATAGGCAACTGTATGGCTTTAAACAATGAAAAAAAAAACCATAAGATAGGCAAAAATGCTTAAATCGCTATTAAGGATGGTACTTTCTGTAATTGGTCATTGTTTCAGTGATATTGGTTTTGTGTAGATGTTGTATCAGTGATCATCTTTGATTTTTTTATAGTTTCTGTCTACCTATATTAATTTTCAAAATAATAAAAAAACATTAAGGGGCAATATCTTTCCAAATTGTCCTAAATGTAGCATGCACTTTAACAGGTTACTATACAGTTAATCATAAAGAAAATTGGTTTAATAAATTAATTCCAGAAACACAGATAAATTACTGTACTAACGGGGAAGATCCATTTTTTTATGATCACACTTACCTTCTGCAATTTCTCTTTTATGGGGAAGAACCCACAGCTGAACATTCTCTTTTCTCGTAATTCATCTGAAAAAATAAACAGTAAAAATTGTTGGAGGCAAATGTAATCTATTAATCTTTGAGAGCACATGCAGAGGTAATGTCCAAATATTAGTAAATAGAACAAAGTACTACTTAAATCAATGCTATATATTGTTGCAATTTTTCAGTAATTGTTCGAATAGAACAGCAATAAAGCACCATGAATACAACATATCTTATTATACCTATCGAACATTAAGTAAAATTGAGAAATGGAAATGGGGAATGTGTCAGAGACAACAACCCGACCAAAGAGCAGAAAACAGCCCATCATGTTTCTGGGTTGTGTCATGTGCATCATCCCATATTCCACTCACAACTTTATAAGTTTCTACATTTTTGTTTATGATGTATATTATATTTATGCCAAGAATGGGATGGGCTTTGCAAATGTCGCAAAACAAAGTATTTAACATCATCTGGCAACAAAATATGGCTGCTTAGGATATTTCGGCACCACTTTTTTCCCCATGTCATAATTTTCATGTTCTGTTGCAATTGTAGTCATCATTTTCATGTTATGTTGCAATTGAAGTCATCATTTTCATGTTATGTTGCAATTGAAGTCATCATTTTCATGTTATGTTGCAATTGAAGTCATCATTTTCATGTTATGTTGCAATTGAAGTCATCATTTTCATGTTATGTTGCAATTGTAGTCATCATTTTCATGTTATGTTGCAATTGAAGTCATCATTTTCATGTTATGTTGCTATTGAAGTCATCATTTTCATGTTATGTTGCAATTGAAGTCATCATTTTCATGTTATGTTGCAATTGAAGTCATCATTTTCATGTTATGCTGCAATTGTAGTCATCATTTTCATGTTATGCTGTATATGTAGTCATCATTTTCATGTTATGCTGTTATTGTAGTCATCATTTTCATGTTATGCTGCAATTGTAGTCATCATTTTCATGTTATGCTGTAATTGTAGTCATCATTTTCATGTTATGCTGTATATGTAGTCATCATTTTCATGTTATGCTGCAATTGTAGTCATCATTTTCATGTTATGCTGTAATTGTAATAAAATTGACATAAAGAGACCAGTACAGGTAAACTATGTTGTCTGTAATCAAGCATGCGCTGATAATCACATGTACAGATTCATTTATTTAGGGCTTCCATTTCCTTTGATTATTAAATAATTATTAGACTTCAATTGTTGTGTAAAAAAATTATTATCTGATTGACCAAAACATGCACCGGTTGATCATAGGGTCAATTTCTAAGGACAACTGAAAATAACTACTGCATTAAACCCAAGGAAGTAGAAGTTTCATAATCTAATCTTATAAAAAAAAAACATAGTCAAATAAATATGCCTGATGTTTAAATATTTATGTAACAAAATTAATAGTTTTGGTGTTTCTTTAAAGTTAAAAGGTATCACTTCTGCTTTCAATATAAACATACCTCAATGTTCTGTCGTGCCTGCATTTGAAGTTAAAAAAAAGGGGGATCCATCAAACTTGGTGCAAATATTTTGAAACGGACTTAAAAATAATTTGATGCTGGCAACTTATTTTGGATACAACTTTTTGGAGGCCAGTGCAGTGCCTTTTAAAGCATGTTTTTAAAATGGGGCCAAATCTACTTAGGCTGAATCAACTGTCTGGAGGCCGATTGTTTTTGGGTCAGAAAGACCTTATGCCAATATTGTATGTAACCAAAAAAACAATAAGAGAAAATTATGTCCTATTGAATTGGTAATATCTAGATCCACACAATAAAATGACTCTAGTTGACATTTTTTCAGATTACTGCCAACAACTGAAAGTCTATTAAAATGACCTGCAAAAGAACCACTGCCAACTATAGGAAATATATGAAACCTGGAACTTTGTTTTTCCTATCCGGAGTTTCATACATTGTACATGTGACCAACACTGGTATAGACCTTATTGTTATTTATTGTTATTAAGTCCAATCTTGAAAAAAACAGTTGCTTAAACAACTTCCTGTTGGGATCAAGTGTTGTCAAAACAAAGGTCATCATTCAAATAGCTAAAGAGGAAAAAGATAAGAAAAGAAACAGTTTAAAATTATGATAGTTAGTAAACCAATTTTTTTAAAGACAATAAAAGTCATAAAAATTGCTTTGTTTGAATTGTTTAAGATGGTTCCAGACATAAGAAAATTTGATGCACAATACATTGTTTAAACAGGCCTAAGAGTTAGATTTGACCCGTCATGAAAAAGATGTGTAATTTCAGAACTTATTCAGGTTGGAACAAATGTTGATGAGGTGTATTACTGATATTCAATAGACCTTATCGCTTTTTCAGAATCTGGGACACCAGAACCAAAATTTTTCAAGATTTGAACTATCATGACTATTGATGTCATACAAAAATCACATTTGCACTGATGTGTCAGACATTTTCTCATATGAAGTGAAACTTTTAACGGGAACATTTGTGATTGCCATTAATTTTGGACAAATAAATAGTGATAAAGCGTATTTCAAACTTGATATTTTTTATCACATTTTTCAATCCTAGGATTAAAATGATACAATATAAAACTGCTGAAATTTGTGTTGCTAACAATGAAATTAATATGTTGAAATTCCGATAGAGTGTAAAAATGACTGTGAACATCAAACATAACGTCAACACCAAAATTAGTACTCCAAATGTCATGAATGTACGAGGTTTGCTCACAAGTAATCATAAACGATGATGGCACGTCTGGATAAACAATGTCATTTTTCTGTTTAATACATTATTGCATGCAATACATTTATACAACAACAAGCAGCACTAGTCGGACTTGGCTTGTGAAAACCGACATTCGATAACCCAAATAAACAAGGGTAATTATACATGCATTTCCATCAACATTCTTAAGCTGCATTCGGTAAGACCTTATTGTTGACATAAATGGTGTCTTTTGAAATATATGTGACGTGTTTGCTTGAGAAAATTTACTTGCAATCACCTATATTGAAGCCAATTTCACTTTTTCATAGCATATCTTCTTCTTTTTGCTAAATATAGCAAATTGATTCTAGACAGCGGTAAATAAAATTCTTTAATTTGATTGGATAAAGTTATAGTCGGGATGTGTGTATTACAAATTCACTGGGAACAACATTATAGAAACTGTCACGAATTGAACCAACGCATAAACAAATAAATAACAGAAATATCTGTCAATGATAAGTGTGTTGGTACTAATATGCTGTGGTGTGTGTTTTTTGTTATCCGCAACAATTTACATAGACAGTAAGAGTTATCTCCCGTTACATTAATACAGAGATATATAATGTATTATATGTCTCTGATTAATACTAGCTCAATGTGAGATATGTTAAATTTGCTGTCTGCTTTGTAGGGTTTGTAAAAACTGACGTTCGATGGTGTCCAGTTGTAGACATATACACTTACAGTTTCATATCTCTGTCACAATACACACATTGCACCGAGTATCCATTTTGCAAAAACAACAAAGGAAGTCTTATAGGTTTTCTTAAAGACTAAACAATTCGTAATTTTCATGATTATATGCCATTATACACGTCTTTCAACATAGCTTAATACACTTAAATATTACACAATACGGTCACATTATACATCAGCAGAGACATATAATACAATATGTCTTTTATAACAGCAGATGAAGTTTGCATACGGTATAGCAAGGATTTGTATAGTGATACAAATCCTTGGGTATAATAAAAACAAAAAATAGTAAATAGAAAATAAAATAAATAAATAAAAATGGAAAATGATGCACCCGAGGTCATATGTTATAGGGCTAAGGAAGGCTCCAGTGAAAAAAGTAAAATTTACCGAAACGTTGAGCGTTGTACATGCGACGTCCACAACTGAAAGTCTACCTTTAAAAATGAGAAATTGAAATATGCCACATACATTCTTTTCCTCAGAGTTCAGTCTTTTCATACAAAATGCATAACATGCAAAATCTGTCAAAATACGTGCAATTTGGGTACAACTGTCAGCGTATATTTGTTCCGCCGAACAGAAGTTCCGCGGCCTGGAAACTTTGTTATAAACAATGTCATAATATCTGTTCCTGTTGGAACAAATATGCTATGAGCTTTATTCCGTTGGGAACAAATACTGTAATATGTGTTCCAGTGGAAACTAGTAATATTATATAATTATTGACTTTTGATGAGGTTGATACTATCAGATTATTACATGGCATTTTTCATATCAGATCATGTATTAATAATCAGCCCAAGGTTCAATATCAGCCCAAGAGCCGAAGGCTGATATTGACCAAGGGCTGATAATACATCTGATATGAAAATGACATGTTATGATCCTTTTATCATATGCTTCAACAATGGAGAAAAATAACAGTTGAATATATTGATCCTTTTAGGTGGTTCTCAAGTAGAAGTTCAAAATCTTATATGAATTCATAGGTTCATAGAGCCTTCATTTTTTTTTTTTTTTGCATTTTTCAATATGTATTTTCCTGTTTCCTTGTATTTTTTTTTTCTAATCCAACTTTGTTATGTTTTCAATTTGCGGAGTGACGTCGAGATGCGATAACGTTACGGAAAGGCATGAAGCAGTTGATAAACTTTTCTTATCGCACCGCGGATAAATTATGACGTTGTGATTGGTTTAACGCCGTCACGTGGTGACCCCCTATGGATCCGTACTGGGGGGTTAGTAAATTTCATATGGGGTTCATGACTTCACGTCTTCTGTTAATGGTGACATCATCTATTGATGTTGTTGTATTTCATTGTTTTGTTCTACAAAACGCGACAGGAAAAGTCCCGCGTGCGATAAATTCGTTATACGGTTCACTACTGACCCCCTACGGACCATAGAGGGTGAGTAAAATTCATAGGAGATTCGGCCTTCGGCCTCACCCCCTATGGATTTTACTAACCCTCTATGGATCCGTAGGGGGTCAGTAGCGAACCATATAACTTATAATATCAGCCCACTAAGCACCATTTCGAATAACATGGAATTACCGTAAATTTAATGCTATTATCATACTGTAAAAAGTAAAAGTTATTTACTCTAAGTATATGATAAATAGATAATATTATATGGCTTTTTCAATATCACATCCGTATCAACCTGAGACATCAATATAATCCCAAGAGATCTGCTCGAGGGATCATATTGGTTCAAGCAAAGGCGGATTTAGAGGGTTTTTCAGGGGGCCCGGGCCCCCCCTTTTGTGACAAAAATTTGGTTGATTATATAGGGAATCACTGAAGCATAACTGGAGCGGGCCCCCTCTTAGGCAGTCAGTGGGCCCCCACTTATGAAAATTTCTGGATCCGCCACTGGGTTGAGGGTTGATACGGTGTGTGATATAGAAATATAGATTATAACATGACATTTTTCATATCAGACCCCTTATCAGCCCTAGGTCATGATATCAGCCCGAGAGCCGACAGGCTCGAGGGATGATTTTTATCATGGGCTGATAAGTGGTCTTGTACTATTGTTACAATTATTAGTACTATTAAAAACAAATGTTTAGGTTTTAGATTTATGTAGGGGTTTATATCGCTTTAACCTCAGGGCTTTTGCCCGACAAACAGAAGATACAGAAATACTCTGGACCCTTTATTGGACAGATTTGTCAAAATTTCTTTATCTTGATTTCCCATTTACCAAATAAAAAGAGATTTGTTCTATATATAGTTTTGAAATATTTTTATTTTCACTAAATATTTTACTAAGAAAGGTATACGAAACACCACTGGTACCCACGATACTACACTAACACCATATTCGCAACACAGTCTTCAATGTTAAAGAATGACGCTTTATCAATAACTGTGATTTAATCGTTTTCAAAATAAGATTGAGAATGGAAATGGGGAATGTGTCAAAGAGACAACAACCCGACCAAAGAGCAGAAAATCTATTTTAGACTAGATAATTACTATAACGGCCTTGTAAAGATTAGTCTTAATTTGCACTTGCACACAGTTTCAATGCACAATCTGTAAAGTTTCACGGTTTAAAGACAAATGGTACTGTACTGACTACACTCGTATTTTTAAATGATGTTACCTCTGTAACTATGTATTCTTGGATCTCTCTAGATAAGACCCTATATGAATTAATGATATTTTTTGTCATCTACTCTGTAGGGAATACCATTCAACTTCTTTGTATAATTTTTCATTTTCTTAGACCAGTAATTATTCGAGCAGCATCTTTTTGAACTGACCCGATAAGTTTCTTCCTGTCTATAATTATCTCAAATAACATTCCCATATACTCAAATGGGTCTTATTGATACTCAGGTCTGGGAGAACATGATTTATATTATTTGTTAGTTGTTATTGGCTTTGAACTAGCTTTCAGTAGCTGCGAGTTATCTTATTTCGGTTCTTTGTGTCTGTTGTTTTTATGTTAGTTGTTTTTGTGCCTCGTACCGATCTGTGAGTAAAGCCAATTGCAATTGATTTTTACAGTTTGATCTTATGTTGTGCTGTGACACCACTGTCCCAGGTTAGGGGAGGGTTGAGCGCTAACAGACATGTTTAACCCCGCCACATTCTTTATGTGCCTGTCCCAAGCCAGGAGCCTGCAAGTCAGTTGTTGTCGGTGGTTCATTTCTGTCATATTTGTTTTTCGTATATTGCTTGGTTATAAATTAGGCCGTTAGTTTTCTCAATTGTATTGTTTCACATTTTTCATGTCGGAGACTTTTATAGCCGACTATACGGTAGAGGTTTTTTTCATTGCTGAAGTCCGTACGGTTGTCCATAAATGACTACATCCACTTCATTTAAACTTTGGTGGATAGTTGTCTCATTGTCAACCTTATTTTTATACTTATAAATCCAATTTTTTTTTTCTCAAAAAAAATCTTTGTCAATTTTTTTTTAGATATCTCATGAAATAAATGCTCTTACAGACAGTATATATTTCTCTAATGATCAGTCCACTTGGGATTAGATGAAAAAGGTAAGGCCAAAGTGTTTATGCTCAGACAAATTTTCTTATAGAATGATTTTCATATACAATGGTGTGACATCATTGCTGACTTTTTTTTCCTGGTAAATAGCATAGATTTGATATTGGCAGCATTAAATGTTACACTTTAGTCAGGAGACCAGTGACTTAAGGATTCTAGATCATCATTTAGAGACTCGGCTACAGATATTTCCTCATCAACGATACATTACAAGCAAGTGTCATCTGCAAACAGTTTGATATTGTTTGTATCAACAAATCAACTGTGCCATTGACAAACAATAGAAATAAGAAAGGACCTGAAATAGATCCTTGGGGAAATTAGCGTTCACTGTCTTCCAGTACGAAACATAGCCATTTATGTCCACCCTTTGTTGCCTTTCGGATAGATGATTTTTGATACAGTTAATAAGATTTCCCTTTATTCCATATTTTCTAACTTTATATAAGTTTTAGTAAACGGCAATCCAGATTTTCTAATAATACCTACCCATGCATTTATTCATACTTGATTGTTATGATTTTGTTGGCGTCTTCTTATGGAGTTTACATTCTCAGTCGGTTCGACATACGCGTGTTTACTTGACAATACGAATTTATATGAACGTGATAACTTACGCACTAAAAAAACCTTTTATAGCAGGGATAAAGAAATTATAAGTTTATTTGACCAAAACGTTTAATTTCATCACAAATGTACATGAAATTTCGAATTAACGAGACAGTTTTGTCATATGACAATCACTAGATTCAAACAAAACGATCTACATTATACAGAGTATTTTCCACCGAACAATTCTTTAGTAATGCGAGTTTTGACTCCTGAAACTCATTCGCCGGACTAAATTAGCGAGGTACTCGTCGAATGAGCATAACCAAATCAGAGATCTATATATTCTAATTAAGTTGGTGCTGATGTTGTTAGAATACACGTACAGTCAGTCGAACCACTTGTAACGACACTGCCCGGTCAGATTTGTCCACATCATATGTCAGTTTGGGGCGAAAAACACTTATAATTTTGATGCTTACCATCAGAGACAGTATTATATGTCTCTGTTACCGTGATCTG